CACAACACCGAGGGCTGTGTGAACGAATATTGAAACAGTTGCGCATCAAATCGAATTGTACAAAGTTAATTACGCAGTGTCAGCCCTGAGTAGGGTACCCACGACCCTTCGCTATGAGCGGACAGTCCGTCCGGTGCCGCGCCTGATTGTGTTGCTTAATTATTATTTATAACTCGTTACCTCCTCTGATACGCTACTAGAAGTATGCACACGTTTTTGTAACCACATTACCACACGAAAGAATACAAATAAACTTTTTCACTTTAAATGTATGTAAGTAGATAACTTAGCCAAGTTTTCTATTCAGTGCTCATGGCAACATTTTCAAGTTTTATCTCATTTTTATTCACTCATTCTTTGATTTTATTTTATGAGTATTTTAGTTTAATTTACATAATTTATTGGAAACACGAAGGTTTGAAGGGAAACACGATAAAAACGGCCAGATAATTATTTCCAGTGCTCACGGACCGCTTTCTTTACCTTTGAAAGTCCATTTAAATGATAATTTCCTCTACTAAGAGGGTTAAGGCGCTGCAGATTTCCTCACAGTTCTCGGTACAATTAGCCTTATCCGTACCTAATTTCTTTAGCTTCTTTTCTTGGCAGAGTTCTTATAAGTCGTAACACTGATGTGTTCTAGCCCATTAGCTGACACGAACACTCTTTGTCGCCACTTATTCCGCATAGCAGAAAATTAATGTTCCGTCTCGGGTAGGTGGTGTATAAACAAGATGGTGGGTGACTCCGCCCCGGTATTTATTGCTTCTGGCACGCCGCGAGCGGCCCATCCACCAAGCTGCCATAAACGCGAGCACTAAAACGTGCCATTTCCCTAAATTATTTTAATGACGTATGTTCCCTCGGTTTAGTGGATTGTAATTCGGTTACACTGTTGGGAATCGCTTCCCGTGCTCCAGTGGACGTATCCGTTGCCAAATATTCACCAGTTTGTGAGATTCAACCGTGATTTGTCATGGTCGACCGCGCGGAAACTAAATTGTTACAAGTTTTGGAAACGATACGGTTATGAGTCAGTATGCGGATAGAGAGGAATACAGGATATTGTATCTACTCATTGAGCATGTAGGATGGCAAAGATCTTTACGCTTTATTTTTCGAATCGATTCGTATTACTTAGTAGAAAATGATGAATTGGTTCTACATCCAATTGTAATATCTCTATATGGCTCCTTTCAGTATCTTATTCGTACCGGGGCATGCCGACGCGCTCATTACACTGTACGCTCGGCACGCTCTTTTGTTCATGTCGGTTGTGAATTGATTTACTCGCTATTGTGTGTTGCGGCGGCACTGGCATGCGGCACCGACAGCGCTGCACTGCCGCTACACCTCCGACTCTTGTATGCGCTCGATATGCCTGTTGGCGTGCACTTCACCTCGTTTTTATTGAAATATAAATTCCGAGTCCCGGTTATAAAGTTTTTTTTTTCTAAAATTCTGCTCGTGAGGCAAGTTCGTTTGTCAAGATAAAACGGCAGCTGCTCGGGTCCGACCCCTCTTGTTTGCAGTCAACTAGCGGGAGAGCATTGAGCCAGCGTTCATAACTTCGGCCGAGCGTCCCCTCCGCGTCGCACACAATACCCCCTCTCGACTGGCTCAACTTGTAACGTTCACGCCGTCGTCCATAAAGGATTTAATAGCGATACGTTGTGTCGAAATATTAATATGTTTGTGGCATTATCGTTCTAACCTATATAGTATTGTCGCCGGGCTTGAGTAGCGGTCGCGCAACGCGGTCGAGTGAACTCGAGTGCCGCTGTCGGTGGGCGTAAGACTATCGCACATTTGTCATTCGACTAACAATAAAGCGTTTAATTTTATTTATAGGCGTCGCGTGGGCATGATTTAATCGATTATTTGCTGTTATCGCAGTTGAGATATTCAGATGGTATGACTTCATCGTAGAAGATCGGATTATATTAGCGTGAATTACAAAGTGAATGCACTTCAGTAACGACTTTTTAATTTTTACGTTGTAATGTTTAATTCTCAACCTAAGCTTAAATCCTAAATCCACGTGCAGTTTTCAATGAGAAACTGTTACATCTGATACTTTTTGAGATCGCACAATTCTCTGTAGCATCGTTATTGGAGCGTATATTCAATCCACTTCGTCATTGTTAGAAACTGAAACGTGAAAAGATTATTGCTTGACTATAGTATCTGTCGATTCACATAAAATTTTGTTATTTTTCCAAAAGTACTCGTCGGAACGACATCTCTCGGATTCAACGCCGGAGTGCTTTAGTTCGCAATTTGTGATGCCATTAACCGTGTGCGTGAGCGAGACGGGCGATGGTGTCGCACCGTTCTCATATCGGGCGCTGAATGTAAATGGCTTCATTTGATTATGTTCTACGCCGTAAACGCTCTTTGAATTTATGCAATCCCGGCGACTTGGTACCGCGGTCGACTCAACAAACGTTACGATTTTCCGGGGAGATCGCTATGAAAAATATTATAATATTCAAGAGAGTCCCACTTCGATCTTTTGTTTTTTTGATTTGGCTTATCGTTGCCATTTACAGTATTGTTTGCGAAAAAAGGAGATGACTTTTTTAGAAATACATTCTACAGAAACCTATATCTGATTATTACCTAGTAGTATGATTACTTTATTAGTATACATATTCACGATTCCATGTTTTGTTTAGAGTTAATATACGAAAAAAAATTCGGCTTGTAGATATTTTTTTTGGTAAACCTATTCTCAGTCGAAGATAAAATGCACTTCCAACTGAAACTGCACACATTATTAATTTGTTCGTACCATTATCGGGGCAAACAAGCCATTAACATTTTAATTACACATGTATTTACCTCAATAGTAACATTTGTAAAGTAATTTCAACATAATTCGTGCGAACAGTATCAAATTAATATAACGGGAACAATAAGTTTTAATTAATAACAGTTGGGCGTGCGGTGCGGTGGAGCCGGCTTGGAGCGGTACTATTCGATATCAAATTGATTAATTAATCATACCTACATCGACGTACTCAACATGTGATTATCGCATGAATATTTTGAAGTCTTGTCATTGTTTGGGAAATATGTTATCTTGTCTACTTAACCACCAAAAAAATGTTTTATGGATACTGCGGTAGGTCAAGATGAGCTGAACAAAGTCCAAATTTGTTTACCTATACCGTTTTATAAAGATGATAATAAAATAATTTATTTTTAAGTCTTATTAACTTTAATGTTGGTTTTCATTTCAATATTATCTAAAACTTTGGAATTTGCAAGTAGGTTTTTGTTGACGTTCAAAAGTGTCTTCCTGGTCTAATTGAAATAAATGATTTTGAATCTTGATTTTGCAAGATGCAAATATGTTGTTTTGTAATTCAGGTGCACATATACTTATAAGATACTAGCGACCCGCCCCGGCTTCGCACGGGTGCAATATGTATATACATACAAACCTTCCTTAAGAATCACTCTATCTATTAAAAAAAACCGCATCAAAATTCGTTGCGTAGTTTTAAAGATCTAAGCATACATACGGACATACAGCGAAAGCGACTTTGTTTTATACTATGTATTGATAAGTATTAATCACTGCTTACTCTATAACTCGTGGAACAATAACTGTTGAAAGTATCTACAAATATTACGCCAGCCTCACTAAAGCAAATTAAAACCACAATAACGAGTTCTGATTTATAGTGGAAACATGGAGTGTGTTGTTAGCATAATATAACAGAATAACAACACAGGAGTAACAGCCAGTTATTAAAGATACGTTCACTTGCTCAATTGCCATTCGCCATTCACTCTACGTTCATCGAAATTGCGGGAAATATTAGAAACGAACGAACAGCTTTAGTAAGTCCACAATTTAAAAAGTTAAAACCACACAGACACAAAATAAAGTACTTGTCATTCGTTTTAAAGTAGTGACAAATGACTACACACCCACGCCACGTTTCATCAGTTACGTTTAGTTCCACGTCGAAAAGAGAATTTTGAAATTGAAAAAGTATTTATGTAAAATGAAATAATATGAATCACTACTAGATTTGTAAAATAATTTACTTTTTCAATTTGAGATTTTCTTATACAAAAAATGGCCAGTCACACGACTCTTTCCGCAAATATGTATTCGCAAGAAAAAGTTTTTTTTTTCTTTTAATAAATCAATCAGCAAGTACTTAATATTGTTATAACTAATGGTTCCAAGAAAAATAACTGGCGAACGTCGCCATTAATATTTTACAACGAATTGTGTTAGATTTTAAAAAAGTCCGTACTTTATCGTAGAATCATGGTCACAACATAAGCAGACGATTTTTTCCGTCAAAATAGTATTTAACTTTGAGTAGAAGAATCACATTTGAAATCAACGCGTTCTATTTTTAAATCATTGACATGATTGTCATTATGTCATTGTCGAAAGACATTGGCAGCCATTTTGTTTACCAAAATTCACAAATCCTCTTTACAACGAAACCTATAAATAAAAAATATACTGAATATAAAAATAATATAGACCACAGCAAAATTACCGAAGGCATTCAATTTCTCCTAATAAATCCTGTTTAATTAAATGCGGTCGGCCAACAATTGGATATTTATTTTAAACTCTATTTCGTTATATTTTATACAGCAGTATAAAATGTGCGGAGCGCCAATAAATTACTGTTTTTAACATGTTTGCGGTTGCATTATTATTATTTCGAGTGGTACATACATACGTTTATGTTCATAATTAACGTTTAATCATTATGCTTTATGCTCTGCGTTTACCGAGTTTGTTTTCGATTGTAAATATGTAAATTACGTATCATAAATGTAACCAAATATTTTGTCAAGTGTATATTATGTATAACGGCAGTTACATACAAGATGTATGCCAGTCATTACTAACAGACATAACTGTTTAATGTTGTGTCAACTTTTACTTCAATAATACATTTTTATGTCTCAAAAATTAAAAACAAAAATACTTATTTGAACTTTGTATTTGTTCACAGGAAACTGCAGAAGTATGCGTGGGGACGTCTGTTGGCACCATCACGGAGCCAGACTGCCTGGGGCCCTGCGAGCCTGGTACCTCGGTCACGCTGGAGGGCATCGTGTGGCATGAGACGGAAGGTGGTGAGTTGTTACTAGCGCACGAACGCAATGCACCGTAACGCGCTCATCCCATACACTCTGCACGCTTATGCACGCCTGGTACCTATACATTCAAGCTTCGCAATTCATTTATCAATTTCATAATCATGCTGCATTTATTACATTATTAGGGTTCAAATTAATCACAAGGCAATGAAAATAAATCAAACATGACGTACATAAGTCACTAATTAAGTTATTGTACCGTTATAATTATAATAACTAATATAATTGAGGCAAATTGTTAGCTGATAAAGTTTCGTTCAATATTGGCATAACACTGATTAAACGATCCGAAACCCTCTTAGCATTATTACAACGAAGTTTCTGATATCTGACCTCAATTCAACCTTTCTATAATTAAATCGTTTCCAGATAATAAAAATATTATTAAGTAGGTATTCCATTCCAAGTGCATTAACTCACGGTTTTCGTAAATCCTCTTCTGTGAACAGAGCAATGGATGACGAAATTTCAAACATGGGTTGGGAAGCCATAATGAATTCGGAGAAATAGGGATCGGCAGTAAATAACGTCGGATATTTTAGGTCGGCAATAAATGTTTATGGACATAGTTCCAAATACTTATCAAAATCGATATTTTAAAGTATTGTTTCATATGTAAGTGACAGTCACCTATTATTGTAGAAAGTATTAGACCGGTTGGTAGTACCCGAATACATGTTTATTGTGAAAATCTTGCATGTAAAATAAACACTATGTAATAAAACGTAGCCTTGGTTAGAGCTCCTAAAAATATACATAAAAGTACGTAATTAACGTCAATATAGAAATAATAAAAGGCCCCATAAAGCATGTAATTAAGAAGTCCACTAACAGAAGCAATATTAATTTATTTACGACACCTGGCTCGCCGATTATGATGACCTACCAATCGTAAGTCTTGAACGTCTACAGTTTTTTGTCGCTCGTCATTCGTATTTCACGACGGCTATAATCATCTCGTCCTTTCTCAGTGTTTAAATTTATTTATAACTCTTACAATCCCGAACTGGCTATTAATATTAAAATATTCATGGCCACATAAAACAGTGGAGTCAATGAGACTCCCTACGTAATTACTGGCCGCTTATTAGTCGAAGATAGCATCGCGGAATACATATTTAATAACCTCGCTGAACCAATACGAGAACCTTTACACCTTTTATGCTCGCCTGGTAATAAAATGTCCCGCAACTCTTTAGGATAAGTAAATAAATGCCAAAATGGCCGGTAATCTCATTTACATAAATTATTATTATGTTTGCGATGAAATCAATTCTCCTTGTGAACCTTTATTTATTACTTATTTTATTTTCGGGATTCCGACATTCAATTCAAAGTTAAAGCAATTCGATTACTCGGACTGAATAGAATCCAATAATGTAATCGCGGGAATTTTATGATAGCTGGTTTAATTTTAGCTTGATATTAATTTTAGAACATCGTTATAGGGGATCAATTTAATGCTTATCCATAAGATGTGGTCGTCCATCATTAAGATGAAAATAAAACAGACAATGTAATACGAGAGCACACGTCCCGATCCCGAGCGCCATTAGAGGGCTAGGCCACGCAACACAATGCCGCTCCCCCGTAGCCTCTCGTAATTATTATAAAACACGATAATAAATCACCATCTGCTCGCTTCTGTTGCCACTTTCCAAATTTATCCGGCCGATGGACGCGCGCGGGGAGTGCGGTCGCGGGGAGGCAATTCACGCCCTTCCTCTTCAAGCTTATTTATTTTCGGCTAATGGCGCCGAGGAGCTTACGGAAATTAAATACTGTTTACTGTGCGACTCCAACCGCGTTATAATTTTATTACAAACTCACGTGTAAAATAATTGAGTTTTATGAACTTTTCTCATTTACTTACACGACGCGGCTCTAACCGCAGGCACTTGGAATAAATTCTCCATAAGTCTTACAGTCCGGAGTGTATCGAGCGGCATCTGCTGCTCGCCTACCGCTCAAAAAATGTCCTCAGAGACAGGTTTACGAGCCTGACCGCACTCGCACAGCGTACACTCGTACAGCGCTGCACTGTGTACGTCGTGTACGTGCTAACAATTAAGCGGACGCTACCCAGTACACACCGCGTTGCATTCCATTCCACTAATTAGTGGACGTATTTTAATATTTATGCTTCGTTTTCGAGGTTCGGTTTATGTCTCTTTTATGGAGCTTATTACGGAGCATTTTGTATCTGACACATAATAAGTACAAGGCACAAGTTTTTGTAGGGGAACATTGAACATGTTGAGCGAGTTCATCGATTCCAGTGTATGTACGGTGTGATTTTATTTCATTTTAAGAGGTAAACTTTAGTTTGCTTGTCGGTACCATTGAGTGGATGTAAATGAAACCGCCGGAACTTTGTTTGTCTCGGTGTGGGAAACAATGGGCAGGTCTGATTAGCGCCGCGCCGCGCCGGACCAACGCGTTGCTGCCGCCGCATGCCGCGCGGCCTCACAGCTCGCCCACTATACTATTGTAGGATTATTAACTCAATAGCTTTAGTTTACTAAATAAAACGTTTAAAAAGTGAAAAAACGAAACAATAAAAGTATGTTTCTTTTGTGATTCATGCTCATAAGACACGCAATGTTTAATATAATATCGCGTGCTCGAGTAACGGGGTATAGTATAATCTCCAAGTTTAAGATTAACTTTGTAGAGTGCGACTTATACAAATATTGACGTAGGTAGAGATTTGTGAGCGAGGAAGTTAGCGAGGGGTGTCGGGAACAAAGCGGGCTGGCTGGGGTAACGCGGCGAGGGGGCGAGGGCACGACAACTATTAGGCCGTTGATTACCGCGGCCGAGGTGTAATTAGCACCATCTAAATGAACCTATTTCAGCCCGCTGCTTTCCTGGTAAAATGATCAGCGACTTTATCAAACGATCCCCGGATTAACTGTGGTTTATTATGAAAACTGAGAATATTTATGCGATGCCTGATGCGTTTGCGAAGAAGTGAAATATTGCAAATTAGTACCTATTACTTAAATATTCTGTTGTTTAGGACATAATTATTATAAACCGACATAGATACCAAAGTATTATACTCCAAAGACCGTCATCGCATGTCTAAAATCGTTACCTAGTTTCGCGCATGTAAGTATGACAAAAATATTGACGTTGAAGTTATTTCAACGTCCCGTCGCCCCCTGTCGTTAACAACTGTAACAAGTAGGTAGGCAGAGGCAACACGCGGTTGGGCCATTAGCGACGTTCCAACAAATCGAAACGATTACACGCAGCCAAACAGTGGACCGACGATCTCTAATTTAACTTTTCCGTGACCGGTCGGCCGTATTCACAATTTACAAGGGGATTTCAACCCCTAAATAATAAAAGTGCGGCGCGCACCCAACGATTTCCTCTAGGAAGTTGCGAGCACCATCTGCTCGAGCTACTTTTTAAATATTTCTGACAACCTGGTACTCGTTTTATTAGTTGGCTTCGTACGATGGTTTCCGTATTTGTTCCTACTTTATGGCGTGTGGTTTTATATTCACACTGCGAAACTACGACCACCAACTACATACATATTTTCGTTTTTTTACCGAGAAATTTATATGCGTAAACGTAGCGTGCGAACGTTATAAATGATTTACACGTTCACAATAGAAAGCAAACACGAGATTTTAAACATAAATAACCGTAGACAACAAAGTGGTGGCACACGGCGGTTGTTCAATAATAAACTAATCATCGCGTCCATTGTCTCATTAGTCACGGAGCACGTCTCCTGGTTACAATAACTCCACCATTTTATGCTAATGGCTTATAGAGAAATGCTTTATGTGTTCATTGTTTTGTGGAACAATAAATAATAAGTAACTGCTACGGAGGACTTACATTACATTATACAGACAACTTATCAATCTTATTTCTGTTTTACATTTTATTATTCCACGAAACAAGTTTATTTTTAAAGACGGGCTATCAATTTATTTGGGATAATGTTTTTGAAAGTTAACGCAATGTTTCTTATTATAATAAAACTTGAATACAAATAGCGAATTTGTACGTAATACCATTGTTTACTTTAGCCAGTTCAATGAAGCCATTTCGTATGAAACTTGGCTCACTGGACGGTAATCTCACTCTTAGATCAATTTTTCTTTTGTGTGGTAAATTTAATTGAGGCAATAAACTATTTCGGGCCTCACAATACACGCACTGTTACGGACGGCGACCAACGGACGGCTCGTGGCCGTAATCGTACGCCCAAATGTGCGGTCAATTTAGTTATCACGTAATTCGACACAAAAATGGCCGCTGTAAAGCTAGCCGCAATAGCGTATGGCCGGTAGTGGCGCATTTAGTCTGAAACAGTCGGCGGGAGCATCACAGCTACCACAATAAATCAGATTTCACAGTCATTTACTAACAATGGTATTGCACGCTTCACAAATTAAAATATTTGCCACAAACGCGAATAACGTTTGCGTGCGCGCGTCAATCATTGCCCAAATATATTGAAAGCTGCGTATGTAGTGTCAGTAGAGTGGTACATGTTTACTATCATTGCACTAGTTGTGTATGTTTATGTGTCTCAGTCAGTAGAGTAATGTAAACTTCTTCAGTGTACATCATAAATTCGTGCAGCGCGCGGCCGAGCTATAAAACGTATTAATATGCTGCAAACAATGTTAGTAGTATGTGAGATCATAACTTATGAGACGCGCACTGCGCGGGTACTCCGCTGCTACTACGAAACTGTTGTTGGCAGCCGAGAAATATGGCGCTCCGCTGTAATGGAACCTATTTCACGATATAAAACTAAATAAATACATGTTTGTGAACACAAGTCTGCGGACCGCCAACTAAATCTCATTAAACTACTTTGCCGTTTAAAAAGATATCTACCTAGTCATTTACAATTCAACGAGACCGCTACATAAAATCGAGTCAACGAAAAAGCTCGCCAGGGATTAAAAAGGGATTGTCCGGGGCTCTCACTTTTATCTCAATTTGTTACTCTTGTTTACGAAAAACATTTTGAGGACAAAGAGAAGATTAAATCGCTCTGAATTACAATAAGGTCCTAAAACGCGGGACGCGGTAGGTGATATTATAAATTCACAATGAGCCTTTGGTTTATGTAATAAAATTGTGACAGCGGAATGTCCTTTAAAGGCGAAAAAGTGTCGCGAATAGAGGGGTGAAATTGATTAATTAAATTTGCATAAGTTGGCACGCCAGCGCGATAAACTGGCGAGGTGAGGTTCAACGGAGCCCGGAGCTGGGGCGCGGGGCACGGGGCGCGGCCTGCGGCGCGGCTAAATATGCGGCGGAGTCACGTCCGCGTCTCCAGCATCCCCAATATGCAAATGAATGCTCCCGCGTGACAAATTGGATCCGAGGCTGCCGTCGCCGCCGATAACTTCACTGCACCAATTTCGTTAAAGCCGTATCTTCTTACACAGTTTAAAACTAATCCCATTACACGATCGACGGAACACGTATACAAGAAGCCGTATATTTATCGGTCCGTGATATTGTTACAGGTGTACTCGTAGTGAATGTGACGTGGCGAGGGAAGACTTACGTCGGTACCCTACTGGACTGCACGCGACACGACTGGGCGCCGCCGCGGTTAGTATTTATGCGACTCTGCGTTCTAACTCTAATGTGCACGAACGGGGAATACTAATGGCGCGGGAATAACGCGCGCAACCAGTGCCCAATCTGTTACAAACACTCTGCAATGGACGTGCTCAGTCACGTATGTCTAAAATGAGTCACAAAAACGTGAGCAGAAATTCCTCAATGGAGAAACACCAGGAATATATTTTGTTAAATAATGATGCCATTGATATTCATTGGTTTCCACAAGCACCTCGAATCGAACGCTATAATTTTAAAAATGTTATAAATAAAGTTATATTACATTTCTACAGGTTTTGCGACTCTCCTACGGAGGAGTTGGACGCACGGACGCCCAAAGGTCGTGCAAAACGAGGTCGCGGCGCAGCGCCGACTGACATGACTAATTTTACGGAGACAAGGTCCTCGGTACATAGTAAACTACGGAATGGGGGCGCCAAGGGTAGAAGAGCACTGCCTTCACCAACACCCTTTACACCTCCCAGACCAGACTCAAAAAGAAAACGCACTTCGGATGCAGAGGAGCGACCTCCTACGCCGAAGGCTAAACGTCCGCCTCCCACACCGTCTTCCCCTCCACCAGATCCCGTCCTCCTTGAATGTCCAGAACCAAACTGTTCAAAGAAGTACAAGCACGCGAATGGACTCAAGTACCACCGATCCCACGCCCACGGCTCTCCAGACGACGACGATAAAGACGGCTCTAGCTCTGAGCTGGAAGAGCCGGCCACGGAACCAGCGTCTCCAGCGCGGCCGCCATCCGCGCCAGCCACGCCTGCCACGCCTGTCAAGTCGCCGACTCCGGTCAAATCACCCGATGCGAAGGTTGACAAGTCGCCGGAGAAATCTCCAGAGAAGCCTGAAGTGGACGCGGAGTCGCCGCAGCAGCCACGGTTCGCCGAGGAGTTTATAACAGCCTCGGAGCCACCCGCCGCGGCGGACAGGCCGCAGACACCTCCGCAGCCACCAGCCACGCCGCCCGATGCGTTACCGACAATGCAACCTACACAGTTTAAGGTAAATAAATATCAATCAACGTAAACATATACTCAAAGTTCCGAGTGGCTGTCTGTCGTTTATTTATTTGCTTGAACACTTTGGACGACTTCTCATCGGATTTGGGGGAAAGAACAACTTATAAATGAATTTATCATTCGTTGTTATGCAGGTAAAGCCTCGGTCAGCGCTAATGGCGGAGGAGCGGAAGTCGACAGAGTCCCCCGCGGAGGAGTCCCCAGGCAAACGACGCGCGCGGCGCTCTCCGACGCCGGGCGTGCGGTCGCCGGCATACTCCGACATATCGGACGACGCCGCGCCGGCCGACGCGCCGCCGGATGACCCGGCGCACAGACCGTTCCCAGTTTATCATCAGGTACCACTAATTAATCTGTCAAATACCAAGCGGTCACCGGTGACCGCGACCCATTGTTCTTTAATTGTGTCTATAAAACCGGTACTCGACGAGTTAAATACTAATACAAACAATTTTATTAATTTCTAATAAACTACGTTTAAAAAACCGTCTTCAAACCCCTCTTTTTGGAAATCAGTTAATTAATATAATAAAACCTTTTCCTAAGTGTAATCAAAATCGGTTCAGCTAATCGCGAGATAATGGCGCACACACATACGTACATACAAGTCAAACTCTGAGAACCTCCTTTTTTGAAGTAAGCTAAAAAGAAATGCGCTCGTTCAAAAGAAAATAAACTTGAGCAGTTCTATTTGTAAAATAAATTATTGGACTGTTAAATCTCTTTTAGAATGTGAATGAACTGACGCGTGAACTAAATTATTTCAGTTCTATGGACAGCCGTCGTACATGCCGCCCTCGCACCCTCCTCCCGTGCCTCCTCAGTCCTCGGACAAAGGCAAGGATGATCTCTCCAAAGGAGACCCCAAGGGTGACATGAAAGTAAGTACCTACCTCTTGTTAAGAGAGCTAGCGATATCATACCTTTATAAAACTTTATAGCAGTGACTGCGCTAATAAACTCATTGTAAATCATTTCCATTTACTGATACAAAGATTAGACTGTCTCTAATAAACTTACTGTTGCTTAATGAACAATGTAACTGACTTTCTAATTTTCTACATACTTTATAACATGCTTTGGCCAATGTCCAGTATGAACAATACTTGCTAATAAGATAAATAACAAATCTAAAATAAAATCTGATCATTTCCAGGACGGTAAACCAGACAACGGACCTCAAAAAGTGTTACCACAACACTTCTACCCTTACAACTATGTTCCCAACTTTCCTTACAACGTGGAGCCTGGTGGGCCACCTCCAGGTCCTCCCTTAGACGACAAGAGTAAAGACAGCGACCGGTCGAAGACCACCCCTAGCCCGTTGGACAAGAACAAGCAACAACGCCCGCCCGACGGCAAGGAAAACCCTGCGCGGCCCAACGATAACCATCAGATACTGAAGGAAAGCATCGAAATGAAGGCACAGATGGGACCCTACGCCTTCCAGAGACCACCACACGCAAGAGAAGAAGAATTAAGAAGGTTTGTACCATTAAAGAAACATTATTTTCTAGTTTGTAACGTCTCATGATCTACGACTAACCAACGATTTCGCTTTTCAGGTATTACATGAGTTTAGATCAGAGAAGAAAAGAGGGAGGCAATGACCCGAAGCCCCCCGGGCTGGCGGCGGGGGCCAGCGGAGCCCCGGCCGCGCAGGGGGGCCGGCCCCCGCCGCAGCCCGCACACAAACAGCCTGCCAAGGACAAGGACGATAAGCCCAAAGAGGAGGTCAAGGTAACTAACCGTACATTGCTAATCTCGCAAAATATATTAAATAGTATACCAAAATTGTTTGAAGACCTGGCAGCCGTATTGCAACTTTGATATGACAGGACAGTCTTTTCCCAACGCAGTTAGTTGGGAGTCGGCTTGTTGTTAACATAAACTAATTTTAGACGGAGCCACTGCCGGCTGAGCTGCACTACCCAGCCTATGGCAGAGACCGATACCCTAAGGTTAGATAGACCAGATTGTTTTCATTGCGCGACTACGAGGCAAGTTACGTTTATTGTGACCGTGACGCGCTGTTACTGCAAGCACTCGTCGCCGCAATAACCGTTACTTCGTAGTTTACAAATGTCTTGTGATTTATGTACCAAGCCCAACTTACGTTGTTTGCAGGTGAAACAAGAAGGGCAGAAGCCGACGACAGAGACGCAGGGTCCCCCGCCCCCTCCCACCTCTCAGTACTACCTCCCGCCGTACATGCAGCCCTCGCACTACGGGGCTCTACCCTTCGACTCCGTCTACCGAGCACCTCTGAGCCCAATGCTGGTGGGAGGGTTCGGAGGTGGATGGACAGTACCACGGTACCACGCACCCGAGGACCTATCCAGACCCGGCGGAGCGGGGAAACTGGACCTCATGCCAGGAGTAGGCGGTCCTGGTAGTGGACACGGCCCCAACTTCGCGTATGGTGGTGCTCCACACAAAATACACGAATTACAAGTGAGCTGATCTTTTGGTTGCTTTGTATAGAAGTGTCGAGTGAGTCGTGGGCTGGTAGTGACGAGTGTTTGTTCCAGGAGCACGCCAAGTCCCCGGCCAGCAAGCCGCGCGCGGACGCGCCCAAGGAGCCGGCGCCGTCCCCGCGCTCGCCGCGCTCGCCGCCGCCGCAGCGCCACGTGCACACGCACCACCACACGCACGTCGGCCTCGGCTACCCGCTCTACCCGCCGCCCTACCCTGGTCAGTTCCTCCGCACTCACTCTAACTCACTCCCCTCTTTAATCACCTTTTCCCTGTAACTCGATTAATTGTACACATAAAATACCCCTTCTAAGTTTGTTTATTCAGTGATTGTTTAATCCGTATTTCGATTACGTCCACTCTACACCCCTCGGGCCTAACGATGTGATGTGCTTGGTTGCAGGGGCCCGATAGCACACGACGGACGAGCGGGCGAGCCCCGCCCGACCCGTGTAGCTAGAGTAGAGGGACGCTAGTCGAGGTCGGTCCTCGGTACCGAGACAGTAATGGAAGATTGTGTTTTGCAGCGGCGGCCGTGCTGGCCAGCACGCAGGCCGTAGTCAACTCGTTCCCGACGCCGCCCAAGTGAGGGCGCCACGGGACGTACCGGGCAGCGCGCCCCGCCCGCGCCCCGGCCCGAGCGGCCGCGCGGACTGACTGTGACTTTGTGACGATTGAACTTCGATAAAAAAAACTTTAACTCTATGCCAGTAGCCATAATTTAAACACTGTGATCTCGCGTAACCCACAAATTGTGTATGTGATGTGCGCTTTGAATGTTATAGAATGTGTCCGGACCGATAGTTACCTATATAGTTGAGAGTGTTGTGTTGAAGACTCCCCGATGGATGTTGTGACGTGTCGCGGCGCGAGGACCTGGCGCCGCGCCTCCTGTTTATATGTTACTAGTGGAAGCACAAACTAGTTTTGTACATATTAGTGTTATGTGTAAAGTACCCTACGATTGTTAGTGTTCCATAAGGGTTATGTAATATAAACATCGAATTTTCCGATTCTCCCTCTGGGCATTGTACTGATGTTTGAAGCCCCTGTGTCTAAATTTATATCATTGCGAATACAGCCTAGTAAGATCTTTATTTATGATATCTGCATTCCACAAAACGAAAGCGAGTGTATCTAGGTTTAAAGTATAATGATAATTAAGTTTTAAGTAATTTAGTGTAAGTTTAAAGGCGTCAATGTGATCATTACAATATGAGTCGTAGCGTGCACAAATCGTACTCTGTCTCGATATAGTGAACAATGACTTACTATTATGTAACTAGTAGAGCATCCTATAGATTCGTCGAGTGTTTCAACATCGATGTGCGTGTATGTATGTCAGGCTTTTAATCATAACTATAAAAATCTCATAGTCCGATATTTGTCAATACAAGGGATTAGGGTTTCCGTACTGCACACTAGTTAAGAGCTGCATCTTCCTGTGTCCGACGACTGTAATATTATTTCCAAGCATTTAAAATACCATTGACTTCCTACTAGATTGTCTCAGGGAATATAATCTATTGTTTCGTAGTCTTCCAATTGGTTAACGTGGGAATACCTCGATTGTGTTGATGCATCTATTTTGTATTTTATATAAACTGAGGAGATGTTGTGTTTGGTTTGTGAGAGACTCGACTGAAGGAGACCACAAGTCGGTTGCATTTCAACTCGAGTAGAGAAAACATTTATAAACACGTTGTAGAGAATGACATAAAATATTTGTAGTGATATGGTATTATTTTCATGACATTGTAGTCAATGTACGCGCGTACCTGTTGCATATTAAATTAACAAAAACAATATTTTGTAAAAATGCGGGGCCTAACCTAAGTTTATGTGGTATAAGTGAATAAGTCTGCGACAAGGAATTTCAGGAAACCAGTGACTTGATCTATCTTGTTATTAAATACTGCTTCAAAGCAAATGTCTACTTAACTGTTTATGATTTGATTGCATACATCAAAACAGTGTCTAGGAAAGATGATTGCGATGTCTCAACATTAATTGTTATTTCTTAATTGGGCAGAAAGCAAAAATAATTTAGTTGTGATTTAGTTGAAAATCATAATCAACTTTACCTAGGAATACTTCTTTACTATTTGCAAATAATTTCTAAGAAATGATTTGAAATAAAATATATTTTCGGTAAAGTAGTACGAAAAATTGTATGTTGGTAAATTTTAAAGCAATTTTATCTTATAAGTTGGGCGATGATTCGATAATGTGACTATATGAAGGCTATGTAACTCTGTGAGCGAGCACTAGGTGGTCTGAAGTGTTGGCGGCGTGCTAGCACCGACACGATGACCATATCGTGATACTTAGCTGTGATTAAGGGCTATTTTGGAATAACAGAGCGGTAACAAACAATGGCGTCCTGTTGACCTGCCATTCAGTTCTGTGGCTCTTGCACTTACTATCACCGCCCAAGTGTTCAAGTTAGGGGCTTTGTGGCAGTATATGGTATCACGTGATGATCACATATAGGATTTAAATAGTAAATAACGCGGGCAAGTGACGATTGAGCGCGGGCCACGCCAGAGTGCAAAGCATGTATAGTGAGACCGCGCGTGCTGCCCGGGCCCATGAGATCTCAAGCGAGCGCTCGGTACATTGTCCACGGACGCATAGACTGATCGATCTTTTGTTTGTAACCCCGTTTGACCACGGACTTAATTACGCTTTCATTCATGTACCAACCGCGACTTGGTGCAAAACTTGATCATTGTATTTATAATGTATCAATATTATATAAATGAACATTTGTGTATTTTTTTTTGATGTAACTAAAGCCAAGTTTGATTTTACTTAGAAAAGAATTCGAGACGTTGAAAAAGGAATAATAAAGATAAATTATTTCTTAAAAAATGTGTTTTATTTCCTGCTTAACACGTAAAACGTCAGTAAAATTAATGTTATAGTATATTGTCATGATTAATACATTATGCTTACGTTAATGTATTGTATTAATGACTAGGAACAACAGATTACAGCTAAATAATACGTACATTTCGCTTATTGATACAGGTACTACTATTATAGGCAATATAATGCAACTTACATATAAACATCAGTGCGAAATATTTAAAGTGCAGTGGTAACTTATAATGAACAAGTTATAAATAATAAAGCTACTTATAATGTCGAATAAATTATACAGAATACTGTTTGCTAATGTAAAACTAAAATTATGCGAAATGCTTTGTAATAATAAATGTGAGCCCATAAACACGTCAGAGTTGATTTGTTTAGTAATAGCAAACGATATTATAACAATATGGTTCTGTTGGTATTACGGTGGAGCTAACAGTCCGAGTCGTTGTTAAAAACAATACATTAAAAATATTTTTGGTGACAAAACATTAAAGCTCTGAGTATTTTGAGAAATATAATTTCATTTCATGTAAAAAAGTATTTACTAACGTCACACAGTACGCATGTGTACATTTTAAAATAATAGTTCATTAAAACGGTAAAATAAATTCGTGGAATATTAATGTTCCGTGCGAACAGTTGGCTCCAAGTCTCATGTAAAATTCTTTGGCGTCTGTAAGTGCTACAGTACAATATTCAACCGTGATAAATACTTAAAACATTAAAGCTTAATTATACGCTACAGTATAAATAACTACGCACAACAATTTAGATATTAACATCGAGAATAAATAATGTTAGAATTCATTTAATTTAACGCAAGAATTTCACAACCAATGTAAAGATACCTAAGTACCTAGGTATTCAGTCTAGGTCGTCTGGCCTCAGTTGCCGTTCTCCTTCGCTGAGGAAGATCAGCATGGCTTTGTACAGCAGATATCGTCCAAGCATGTGGCGATACTTCTTCGGCCATGAAGCCACTGTTCCATAGTAATTTCCAGGTTTAATATTCTGCAATCTAGTCAATCCTAGCGCAGCTATCATCGCCGCTTCATACGTGTAAGCCTCTGCCGGTATCACATTTTGAAATATATGTAAACACACAACACCCTTTCTGTCCGACCAGATGTCTAATATGTGCTGAACTTTCTTGTCATTGGACGTTTTAATGTTGTTATTCCAAAGGGTACGTGCTTGCTGTAAATGGGAGTATGGTCTTGACCGTTTCCCTGTAATAGAAATTGATATTTTAACTAAAGGCATTCAATAACTCGAAAATTGTACTTATTAGTCATTTGGAGGCAAGTATGCTTATAACAATTCAAATTTCTGGAATACCTAATTTAGTTATTTTTTAGGTATCTTTTTTTGATCCCTCTGGCTGATAGCGGTGTTACATTGTTCTCACATGAATGATTGCACCTTCTTAACAAAATCTTTATAATTCATAATTATAAACTCCAAAATTACTGAACTAATTAATGTCTATGCGATTTTTACAAGAGGTATTAAAAATAAGAGAGAATCGTAAGGAAAAGTTAATTTAGTCTGTCTCGAAGAAAAACAATGATTACCTTTTCCTACATAAAATATAGACCTAACAAAAATACCCCAGGTATCACATTTATTATACCCTTTGTTTGTTATTGCAGGTAGATTGTGAGTTAGTCTAGGGTCGAGGAGTAGGTACGTGAACGAAGTTTTAGCAGTTCCTTCACGCCACTGCTTACTGGAGTCACTGAAGTCGGCTCGAGCCTGTTTTTCTAACCAAATGTATGAGGAGAGCTCGTGGAACCAATAAGTATTCATCACAGAGTCCAGTATCCCACTGCTGAACACTGGGAATAGAATGGAAATAGAATTTTAAATTAATAAGTTTCTATTACTAATGGTTACCAGTGGAAAAAAATAGGAATGACTGCTAACTATTATTTAAATTCCAATTCGAAAGATCGAAGTGAACTCGATCGCGGTCCACCATGTCATTGGTTGTGAGAATAATCTCGACCAATGACGGGCGAGAGTGCGATCGAGCTCACTTCAAAAGTTCGTATTGATAGTAACAGAATAGCCTAGCAGGCGTTCTTAACTTCCACCGAGTTGCCCTTAATATTGTGCTAAAGCTTAAAAAGTATTGGTGGCACACTAACTTCTAAGTTCCTTTCACTTTATTGCATTTTAAATTATGACTACTCTATAGTGGGCCAGGCCCCTTAACTAGGCTTCTGGCCGTTGCTCTGGACGGAACACTGCACTGTTAAAACAAACACAATTGACTTGAGAAAACATGTCTTACAACGAAGGCGGAATTCCGTGTCCTCAGCGGGAGTCCTTACTGTGCCGGAAGCATTACGGATCTTCGTTTGACCACCTCTCTGGCCCCGTTTAGTATCTCGTTTCTCAAATAGAAGAAAACATATGATTAATACTTCATTTGGATTCCAATATTTAATAATCTCGAATTTCGTAAAGAATTTTTAAGGGGGGAAAATCATCGAATGACTACTCCCACTTGGGTGAAGCGGGAGGGAGTGTCAGACTCTTACTGACTAAAAACCACCCCGTTCCTACTCCTGCCCTTCGAGCCGGACCCCCGGTCACCCGTTTAGTCCTCCGCGGCTCCGTATCGGCATCAGCCCTATTGGGCCCCATCCGTAGTGGTCTGATGGCTCTTTTAGAGACGCGCCGTTCGCTCGAGATTTCGTAAAGTACTCTTTAAATACTGGTAAATAAAATAATATAACTGCTGTGGTAAATAAAATAATGCAACTGTTCCAATCCATTGGTTCTGTTGAGTTTAATTAATTAGAGCTACAATTGTAATTAGTTCTTCTAGGTCCGCCCGGTAACAATGATGGCCGGTACAACCTGCAATGCTGCGGTGCAATAATCATTAGTTCTGAAAAATCAGTCGGGTAAAAACATAATGCTTTTGTTTTTTTTAAGGGAGAATTAGCTGTTGGGTGAGTTGAAGTAACAACCATCCTTTTTAAATACCACGACCATAGATATAATAAAGAACATTTCTGTGACCACGACCAAAAGGTTTCAACCCCAAACGGTTTAAAGGTTCGTAGTTTGAACTACCTCATTTGGAACCGCTGTTACTAATGTCATTTAATATTTTATATAATTATGTTAATTTATAAATTGTGAGATCACACTAGGGAGGGGGGGAAGTCCCACAATTGTGAACGGTTGTGATAAGGATTAACCACCACTTTGCAATAAAACAGTCAAACACAAATCGGCTCGTTGCACTTTGTCTTTGGGATAGTAGATTTACGAGGATATTAATATTAATATAGCACATGAATATTTATTAATATTGGAGTAAGGGTTATCCTGGCTAATTTTTCTTGGTATTTTTTTTATTAAATGTAATTTTAGTACCACGAACGGATAATACTGGACCGTGCTGCTGTGTCCAAAAGTTGGAATCTCCGGCAGAACCGCTGGGGTAGGAGTCTGTGTTGGAGAACATTTGTTGACCTGAAACAGATAAGGCACATATAGCCTAGTCCTCGATACTCAAATCTCTAAATAACCCCTAAGCGGCCGGCAACGTCCTTGTGAAGTTGTAACTCCTCTAGTATTGCCGATGTCCGGAGCCGCCGATTGCTTACTATTAGGCACATCATTTGCCACCTTATACAGTAAAAAATGGTGCTCCTGCTCACTTTCTCTTCTATCGAAGAAGGACCACATTCGTTTTTGTAGGCCGCAGTTTATGTATAAATTAAAGCTATAAATAAATTGCCAACCATTATTATCTTTCCTAAATACCTAATCATTAAAATGTACTTTGCGGTGCTCTGATGCCAAAACTACTTAATTTTACAAAATATAGCTATGCCCTCGCTAGACTATTCAACAAAAAAATATTATTTCATTAGGAGCAGTAGTTTCGGATATTCAGATTAGTTCAAACAAATAACAAACAAACAAAACTTCTTCAACTTTATAGTATTTATAATTGAATAATTTTTAATAAACTACGTCTTAAAAAACCGGCCTCAACCTCAGTTTTTTGAAGTCGGCTAATTAAATATACTAAAACCTGCTCCTAAATTTCTAATGCCCGTTTTCTCCAACCTCTCTTAAATTTTATGGAACCTCTAAGCTAAGAAAGGGGGAACTTAATGTCTTTGGTTTTCACCATCAATGTATTCATGAAACCTATCAGAGATAATAGGTTAGTTTAGGTGATTGCTCATTAAGTAACTCTTACGAGATGATTCAGGGATTGGGACTGCAATCTCGAGATCTCGTCCTTTTTTAGTGATATTAATCTCTGTCGAAAAATGGACGAGAACTCGCGAGCCCTAGATATTGCTTTACTAAAAGATTATTGTTTGATATTACAAGAGAAGACTGGTTGTTTCTTTCATTTGTTATTTGTTACACGTACGTTACGTACGTCGAAGTAGAAGTACGACAGTACTTTCAATTCATCCAAAACCTAGCTTCTGAAAACTTCTGTCACATAAGTTTAGGCCGAATTCTTTAGTTCCAATTTCCAAAACAAATTATACCAGCCTAAAATTATAATTGTTAAACAAATTAGTGGTCATTTTAAGAAACTGCCATTTTCTTTTATTATCACATTAGCCGGTCACCCAGTCACTGCGCCAACCTTTCAATATATAGTACCTACTTATGTTTACATTATTGTCGTGAAAATAAATATTTATCTTTTACTTATTGTATGTATAATCTTCTATCAATTATTGTGATTGATTGTGATAATGTGTGATTGTATAAAAAAACACATAATTGCCAATCTCGCCAGTAGATTGTATTTTATAATCTCGCGAGATCTCGCTTGAGCCCCAATCTCGCGAGATTTGCATCCCTTAGAGGCGAGTGGTGAAAACGGTTATAAACACTTTTACAATAGATATGCTGATAGGAAAACAGTAAGTACATATTTAAAATAAAAAGGGTCTGGATGTTTGTCTGTTTACACACGCTAATCTCGGGAAATAAGAGAAGGATTAGAACGAAGCTATTTTTATTGTATAGCTATCTAATACCTAGCTAATTTGTTGGAAATTGGATCAAAAGATAAATTCTGCCTTATATTCTACGCAGACTGATAGTAGGTATGTATCTACTTTATGCATATACAATACCAGCTGAGCCGGCAAACTTCGAACCGTCTAAAAACTTCTACTCACATTTTTAACCTTTCCTGGACTTCCACGAACATTTCAAGACCAACATTACCCAAATAGGTCCTGCCGTTCTCGAGTTTTAGCGAGACTAACGAAGAGCAATCCATTTTTATATCATCCGCTCTACTTGGCTGCTTTTTATCAAATCATGATGGTTTATTCTAGAGCCTTCTTCGATAAATAGACTATGCAACGCAAAAGGAAATATTCAATTCGAATTAGGAGTTCCGGAGACAAACGCGTTCAAACAAACAAACAAACAAAGAAACTCACCAGCTTTAAGTACTAGCAAGTAGATAGTAAGTATATAATATAACAGTGTACATATATGAGACTGTACCAATTTCTAAGAAAATTAGTATAAATATTAGTACCTATAATACTTACATTCATTTTGCCCAGTATTGAGTTCTTGCAGTTTGTTAGTGATTTCCTGTATAGTTGTTGGTGTACAGTCTTGGTGGAGAGTTGAGGAGTAGCCAAATTGAAACATATTTGAATACGTTTTATCTGAATGTTCCTATTCAACTGTTAGTAACAAAATGCACTTATCTGATAAGTTATTGATAATGTGGAGATATTGAAGTCTAACACACTTAAATTGTAATTATAATATGAAGTGCTTTTCAATTGTTGTTTTCTAAGTATTATATTTTTTTCAGAACTAGGTACTTCTACCTCACCTATGTCTCAGTAATCTTCATAGTAACATGTTACAAGGAGGTATATACCTCACTTATACAGTAACATGTCTATGCCTTTCATCTCACATAGGTACCGTAAAGTTTCAAACGATAAAAGTCTTCAACGAGTGAGTCCTATCAGGCTACGAGTTATCGGGGCTCCGGCTCGACGTGCCGGAGAAGGAACGGGGTGGTTTTTAATCAGTAAAAGTCTGACACTGCCTCCCGCCTCACCCAAGCGAGAGCAGTCATTTGATGATTTTTCCCCCTTAAAAAAAAATCAGGCTACGAGTATTGTCGTGGATTGTGAACGTGAACAAACCAAAGTTATCGACATAGCCCAAAGGATTGGTAATTTAAACTGGCTGGTAGTGGTGGTTATAAGAGGAAAGCTAAATATGGAGCTCTGTGGCGTGCTATTGGAAAGGCTTTTGTCCATTAGTGGCCGGAAACAGTTCAAAGAAGAAGAGGAGTGTAAGTTAATATTTGGTACATATTTGTGGACACTTTAATTGGCAGCTTTTACACGTCAATTTGATCAAGCGAACGATGAGGTCAACATTTCCTAACTGATTACTCTGAGAAGAAATACCGAAACAAACTCAGAGGTCCGTCTCTTTTAAAGTCCAGACAAATATTTGTATAAAAGATTATGTTTGAGAACCGTGCAACTTCTTTCTGTATTAGCCTTTTGAGGAAAGAACCACAACAGTTTGAGCGACGAAATTTGTGTGACGTAATTTGTGGATGACCCCTTATGTACTTCAACTTCAGCATTGAAGTCTACCATTACAAGCCTTTTGGGTAGTGTGCATTGTCGTGTGCAGTGCCCTGAACTGTCCTCGTACTAACCTACATTTCCTCTACTTCATAATCCTAATATTATGTCGTCTTATCTATCAAATATTTTCTATTATCTGTATATTTAAATGATATCCGGTATATTATGCGTATTGCGTAGATATCTGTGACGTTTGTCTAAACGGGGATTTACCTACATCATTATTTTTGCTGATTCATTATCTTCGATCTTCGTCAGGGAAAAGGTCTATTTTATTGAATGAGCGAGTAGACGCATCACCATGCCTATCACCTTGATGGTAAGCAATCAGCGCCGTCCATAAATACCTAGAACACCAGAGGAGTCACAGATTTTCCATCGCGTGTTGGTTGATTGTACCTACTACCTAGGCGTAGTGTAGGTAATGTATTTGTTAAGGAAGGTGGTTTTCGTTCCGCGGCAAAACAACTTGCCATGAGGAGTACTTTCGATGTAAAGTAAAAAAATATAGGTAGGTACAGATATCAAGTGGAGCCGGACCAGCCTGCATCCAAGCATTTTTATCCTCGATAATCCCGCGATCCTCGAAGCGACGCACGCCCGGAGAGCGGTGGCTCTCTCCTATGGCGGTTGGAGATGTTAGGAGGATCGTTCCGTCATGCGCTTCACCTCCCTAGCTAGGCTGACGGCTTCGCAGGAAGAGACGGGTTCCCAGTTCCTCTACGTTCTGCAGTGTGGTTTGAACCAACAGAGGCGGACGCGAGAGGTCGCCGTCGCCGTCGATAATTTTCCGGAGGACACAGCAGTGCTTAGTTGGTTTTCGTCGTGATGCCACCTGGGCGTTTTCTACCGCTGAATCCGAAACAGGTACCTACCACCCGAGCTCAGCCCTCGATTGCTACAGTTCGTCATGAGACCGCGTCGGAGCTTATCTCACTATGCAATGTTCTAACTTAGGAGGTAAAGTCGCATTACCTACACTAAACCGACAGTGGCACCGCTGAAACTCGAGAGTTTGAGATTGAACATAAAATTTTTGGTCATATGATATACATATTTCATAACGTCAATACAAAAAAGCTGTAAGCACACCTTCCGCGCATTTCCAGCCTTTTTGTATCGTTTTCAAAGCGAGAAACGCCGTGGCGTTACTGTGTGCTATGTCTCTTACGTCGCTAATGTTCCTCCATTTTCCACTGAGTATGAGTCGAGTATAAGTTCAAGGTGCTTCATCGTTGATTCGGTTGTCGGATGTCTATCAGTGTTTTGTTAACGAACGGTATTAGTCATCAAGTTGACCGTGACGGCTAATTTAGCGGCGCGCAGCCTGGTGCGACCTCCCGTCCACTAGTACTTACCAGCTTGTTGTCTGCGCAGCAGACCACGCTGCCGCCAATTCGATTGCTTTAGAAAATAAACTATTTTTTACCTTTGTGATATTTTTGTATTTCTTGATGTAACCAAAGCCAAGTTTGATTTTACTTAGAAAAGAATTCGAGACGTTGAAAAAGGAATAATAAAGATAAATTATTTCTTAAAACATGTGTTTTATTTCCTGCTTAACACGTAAAACGTCAGTAAAATTAATGTTATAGTATATTGTCATGATTAATACATTATGCTTACGTTACTATATTGTATTAATGACTAGGAACAACAGATTACAGCTAAATAATACGTACATTTCGCTTATTGATACAGGTACTACTATTATAGGCAATATAATGCGACTTACATTTAAACATCAGTGCGAAATATTTAAAGTGCAGTGGTAACTTATAATGAACAAGTTATAAATAATTTAAAGCTACTTATAATGTCGAATAAATTATACAGAATACTGTTTGCTAATGTAAAATTTAAATTATGCGAAATGCTTTGTTATAATAAATGTGAGCCCATAAACACGTCAGAGTTGATTTGTTTAGTAATAGCAAACGATATTATAACAATATGGTTCTGTTGGTATTACGACAGAGATAACAGTCCGAGTCATTGTTGAAAACAATACATTAAAAGTATTTTTGGTGACATAACATTAAAGCTCAGAGTATTTTGAGAAATATAATTTCATTTCATGTAAAAAAGTATTTACTAACGTCACACAGTACGCATGTGTACATTTAAAATAATAGTTCATTAAAACGGTAAAATAAATTCGTGGAATATTAATGTTCCGTGCGAACAATTGGCTCCAAGTCTCATGTAAAATTCTTTGGCGTCTGTAAGTGCTACAGTACAATATTCAACCGTGATAAATACTTAAAACATTAAAGCTTAATTATACGCTACAGTATAAATAACTACGCACAACAATTTAGATATTAACATGGAGAATAAATAATGTTAGAATTCATTTAATTTAACGCAATAATTTCACAACCAATGTAAAGATACCTAAGTACCTAGGTATTCAGTCTAGGTCGTCTGGCCTCAGTTGCCGTTCTCCTTCGCTGAGGAAGATCAGCATGGCTTTGTACAGCAGATATCGTCCAAGCATGTGACGATACTTCTTCGGCCATGAAGCCACTGTTCCATAGTAATTTCCAGGTTTAATATTCTGCAATCTAGTCAATCCTAGCGCATCTATCATCGCCGCTTCATACGTGTAAGCCTCTGCCGGTATCACATTTTGAAATATATGTAAACACACAACACCCTTTCTGTCCGACCAGATGTCTAATATGTGCTGAACTTTCTTGTCATTGGACGTTTTAATGTTGTTATTCCAAAGGGTACGTGCTTGCTGTAAATGAGAGTATGGTCTTGACCGTTTCCCTGTAATAGAGAGTTGATATTTTAACTAAAGGCATTCAATAACTCGAAAATTGTACTTATTAGTCATTTGGAGGCAAGTATGCTTATAACAATTCAAATTTCTGGAATACCTAATTTAGTTATTTTTTAGGTATCTTTTTTTGATCCCTCTGGCTGATAGCAGTGTTACATTCTCACATGAATGATTGCACCTTCTTAACAAAATCTTTATTGTATGTTATAATTACAAACTCCAAAATTACTGAACTAATTAATGTCTATGCGATTTTTACAAGAGGTATTAAAAATAATAGAGAATCGTAAGGAAAAGTTTATTTAGTCTGTTTCGAAGAAAAACAATTTTACTTACCTTTTCCTACATAAAATATAGATCTAACAAAAATGCCCCAGGTATCACATTTATTATACCCTTTGTTTGTTATTGTAGGTAGATTGTGAGTTAGTCTAGGGTCGAGGAGTAGGTACGTGAACGAAGTTTTAGCAGTTCCTTCACGCCACTCCTTACTGGAGTCACTGAAGTCGGCTCGAGCCTGTTTTTCTAACCAAATGTATGAGGAGAGCTCGTGGAACCAATAAGTATTCATCACAGAGTCCAGTATCCCACTGCTGAACACTGGAAATAGAATGGAAATAGAATTTTAAATTAATAAGTTTCTATTACTAATGGTTACCAGTGGAAAAAAATAGGAATGACTGCTAACTATTATTTAAATTCCAATTCGAAAGATCAAAGTTAACTCGATCGCGGTCCACCATGTCATTGGTTGTGAGAATAATCTCGACCAATGACGGGCGAGAGTGCGATCGAGCTCACTTTAAAAGTTCGTATTGATAGTAACAGAATAGCCTAGCAGGCGTTCCTAAGTTCCACCGAGTCGTCTTTAATATTGTGCTAAAGCTTAAAAAGTATTGCTGGCTGGCACACTAACTTCTAAGTTACTTTCACATCACTTAATTGCATTTTAAATTATGACTACTCTATAGTGGGCCAGGCCCCTTAACTAGGCTTCTGGCCGTTGCTCTGGACGGAACACTGCACTGTTAAAACAAACACAATTGACTTGAGAAAACATGTCTTACAACGAAGGCGGAATTCCGTGTCCTCAGCGGGAGTCCTTACTGTGCCGAAAGCATTATGGATCTTCGTTTGACCACCTCTCTGGCCCCGTTTAGTGTCTCGTTTCTCAAATAGAAGAAAACATATGATTAATACTTCATTTGGATTCCAATATTTAATAATCTCGAATTTCGTAAAGAATTTTTTAAGGGGGGAAAATCATCGAATGACTACTCCCACTTGGGTGAGGCGGGAGGGAGTGTTAGACTCTTACTGACTAAAAACCACCCTGTTCCTACTCCTGCCCTTCGAGCCGGACCCCCGGTCACCCGTTTAGTCCTCCGCGGCTCCGTATCGGCATCAGCCCTATTGGGTCCCATCCGTAGTGGTCTGATGGCTCTTTTAGAGACGCGCCGTTCGCTAGAGATTTCGTAAAGTACTCTTTAAATACTGGTAAATAAAATAATATAACTGCTGTGGTAAATAAAATAATGCAACTGTCCCAATCCATTGGTTCTGTTGAGTTTAATTAATTAGAGCTACAATTGTAATTAGTTCTTCTAGGTCCGCCCGGTAACAATGATGGCCGGTACAACCTGCAATGCTGCGGTGCAATAATCATTAGTTCTGAAAAATCAGTCGGGAAAAACATAATGCTTTTGTGTTTTTCAAGGGAGAACTAGCTTTTGGGTGAGTTGAAGTAATAACCATCCTTTTTAAATACCACGACCATAGATATAATAAAGAATATTTCTGTGACCACGACCAAAAGGTTTCAACCCCAAACGGTTTAAAGGTTCGTAGTTTGAACTACCTCATTTGGAACCGCTGTTACTAATGTCATTTAATATTTTATATAATTATGTTAATTTATAAATTGTGAGATCACACTAGGGAGGGGGGAGAGTCCCACAATTGTGACCGGTTGTGATAAGGATTAACCACCACTTTGCAATAAAACAACAGGAGTCTAACAAAATTACGATCATTGTCTTACAAATCGGCTCGTTTAACTTTGTTTTTGGGAGAGTAGATTTACGAAGATATTAATATTAATATTAATATAGCACTTAAATATTTATTAATATTGGAGTAAGGGTTATCCTGGCTAATTTTTCTTGGTATTTTTTTTTATTAAATGTAATTTTAGTACCAGGAACGGATAATACTGGACCGTGCTGCTGTGTCCAAAAGTTGGAATCTCCGGCAGAACCGCTGGGGTAGGAGTCTGTGTTGGAGAACATTTGTTGACCTGAAACAGATAGGGCACATATAGCCTAGTCCTCGATACTCAAATCCCTAAATAACCCCTAAGCGGCCGGCAACGTACTTGTGAAGTTGTAACTCCTCTGGTGTTGCCGATGTCCATGGGCGGAGCCGCCGATTGCTTACTATTAGGCACATCATTTGCCACCCTATACAGTAAAAATGGTGCTCCTGCTAACTTTCTCTTCTATCGAAGAAGGACCACATTCGTTTTTGTAGGCCGCAGTTTATGTATAAATTAAAGCTATAAATAAATTGCCAACCATTATTATCTTTCCTAAATACCTAATCATTAAAATGTACTTTGCGGTGCTCTGATGCCAAAACTACTTAATTTTACAAAATATAGCTATACCCTCGCTAGACTATTCAACAAAAAAATATTATTTCATTAGGAGCAGTAGTTTCGGATATTCAGATTAGTTCAAACAAATAACAAACAAACAAAACTTCTTCAACTTTATAGTATTTATAATTGAATAATTTTTAATAAACTACGTCTTAAAAAACCGGCCTCAACCTCAGTTTTTTAAAGTCGGCTAATTAAATATACTAAAACCTGCTACTAAATTCCTAATGCCCGTTTTCTCCAACTTCTCTTAAATTTTATGGAACCTCTAAGCTAAGAAAGGGGACACTTAATGACTTTGGTTTTCACCATCAATGTATTCGTGAAACCTATCAGTAAGAGTATAGGTACAGATAATAGGTTAGTTTAGGTGATTGCTCATTAAGTAACTCTTACGAGATGATTCAGGGGTTGGGACTGCAATCTCGAGATCTCGTCCTTTTTTGGAGATATTAATCTCTCTCGATAAACGGGCAAGAACCCGCGCGCCGTCGATAATTTTCCGGAGGACACAGCAGTGCTTAGTTGGTTTTCGTCGTGATGCCACCTGGGCGTTTTCTACCGCTGAATCCGAAACAGGTACCTACCACCCGAGCTCAGCCCTCGATTGCTACAGTTCGTCATGAGACCGCGTCGGAGCTTATCTCACTATGCAATGTTCTAACTTAGGAGGTAAAGTCGCATTACCTACACTAAACCGACAGTGGCACCGCTGAAACTCGAGAGTTTGAGATTGAACATAAAATTTTTGGTCATATGATATACATATTTCATAACGTCAATACAAAAAAGCTGTAAGCACACCTTCCGCGCATTTCCAGCCTTTTTGTATCGTTTTCAAAGCGAGAAACGCCGTGGCGTTACTGTGTGCTATGTCTCTTACGTCGCTAATGTTCCTCCATTTTCCACTGAGTATGAGTCGAGTATAAGTTCAAGGTGCTTCATCGTTGATTCGGTTGTCGGATGTCTATCAGTGTTTTGTTAACGAACGGTATTAGTCATCAAGTTGACCGTGACGGCTAATTTAGCGGCGCGCAGCCTGGTGCGACCTCCCGTCCACTAGTACTTACCAGCTTGTTGTCTGCGCAGCAGACCACGCTGCCGCCAATTCGATTGCTTTAGAAAATAAACTATTTTTTACCTTTGTGATATTTTGTATTTCTTGATGTAACCAAAGCCAAGTTTGATTTTACTTAGAAAAGAATTCGAGACGTTGAAAAAGGAATAATAAAGATAAATTATTTCTTAAAACGTGTGTTTTATTTCCTGCTTAACACGTAAAACGTCAGTAAAATTAATGTTATAGTATATTGTCATGATTAATACATTATGCTTACGTTACTATATTGTATTAATGACTAGGAACAACAGATTACAGCTAAATAATACGTACATTTCGCTTATTGATACAGGTACTACTATTATAGGCAATATAATGCGACTTACATTTAAACATCAGTGCGAAATATTTAAAGTGCAGTGGTAACTTATAATGAACAAGTTATAAATAATTTAAAGCTACTTATAATGTCGAATAAATTATACAGAATACTGTTTGCTAATGTAAAATTTAAATTATGCGAAATGCTTTGTAATAATAAATGTGAGCCCATAAACACGTCAGAGTTGATTTGTTTAGTAATAGCAAACGATATTATAACAATATGGTTCTGTTGGTATTACGGTGGAGCTAACAGTCCGAGTCATTGTTGAAAACAATACATTAATAGTATTTTTGGTGACAAAACATTAAAGCTCTGAGTATTTTTAGAAATATAATTTCATTTCGTGTAAAAAAGTATTTACTAACGTCACACAGTACGCATGTGTACATTTAAAATAATAGTTCATTAAAACGGTAAAATAAATTCGTGGAATATTATTAATGTTCCGTGCGAACAGTTGGCTCCAAGTCTCATGTAAAATTCTTTGGCGTCTGTAAGTGCTACAGTACAATATTCAACCGTGATAAATACTAAAAACATTAAAGCTTAATTATACGCTACAGTATAAATAACTACGCACAACAATTTAGATATTAACATGGAGAATAAATAATGTTAGAATTCATTTAATTTAACGCAAGAATTTCACAACCAATGTAAAGATACCTAAGTACCTAGGTATTCAGTCGAGGTCGTCTGGCCTCAGTTGCCGTTCTCCTTCGCTGAGGAAGATCAGCATGGCTTTGTACAGGAGATATTGCCCCAGCATACGACGTTCCTTCATCGGCCATGAAGCTGCCACTCCATAGTAATTGCCAACTTTAAGATTTTTTAAACTAGTTACTCCCAGCGCATCTATCATCGCCGCTTCATACGTGTAAGCCTCTGCCGGTATCACATTTTGAAATATATGTAAACACACAACTCCTACTTTGTCCGACCAGATGTCTAGTATGTGTTGAACTTTTTTATCTTTTGATGTTTTGAAATCTTTCTTCCAAAGTGTTAGCGCTTGGTATAAATGAGAGTACGGTCTGGAGCGTTTGCCTGAAAGAGATAAAGTAATTATAATTTCAGTATACTATATGATTAATTGTGTCAAGTGTCTAATTCAATCCAAAAACGTTACTTATGTATCATATGTTGATTAATAATTAGGTATTTGCAACTATTTTAAAAGAATTTTTACTTCGCACAAATAAACTCTTAAACAGATTTATTATTATGGAGTAGACAAAGATGCGGGCAATAAGTAATTCTAATACATACATAACATACATAACCATGGAGGGGTATGCAGAGGCACACATTAGAGGTACATTGGTAACACCCACTTTTCACTATTTATGTTATGAGTCGCATAGTAATAGGGGGTGAGTCTATTGTCATTACCAGGCACAATTCCAGACTCCGTGTCCTCCTACTATTGATTTAAAAAAACCCAGTAATATTTACTTTGCTTGACCCGGGAATCGAACCCTAGACTCCTAGACTAGCATTCGGACTTGCGACCATTTGGCCAACAGGGCAGTCTGAGGCAGTCAATTATAATAAAACTACCCCACAGTCAAATCATTGCAACGGTTTTGTGGGGCTTAGATTATAAATATAAAATACTTAGCTTTGTGATATAAAGATAAATAAATAACAACATAACATCACGCCTTTTTATCCCCGAAGGGGTAGGCAGAGGTGCACGTTTCGGCACTTAATGCCACTGTACAATGTAACACCCACTTTTCACTATTTATGTTATGAGTCCCATGTAATAGGGGGTGAGCCTATTGCCATATACTGGGCACATTTCCAGACTCCGTGCTACCACTGAGATTTTTAAAAATCCAGTAATACTTTGCTCGACCCGGGAATCGAACCCGAGACCCCTTGCCCGGCAGTCGCACTTGCGACCACTCGGCCAACAAGGCAGTCAAATAAATAAGTCAGATAAATAAATAATAAAATAAAAAAAACCAATTAATTACCTTTTCCAACATAAAATATGGAGTTAACAAAAGTGACCCAGGATGTTTGTTTGTCCTGCTTGCTTGACTTTGCAGGTAGGTTGTCGGTTAATCGAGGGTCAAGGAGTAAATATGTGAACGATGTTTTAGCCGTTCCTTCCCGCCACTTCTTGTTGGAGTCACTGAAGTCAGTCCGAGCTTTGTTCTCTAAGTCCACATATGAAGAGAGATTGTTCATCCACTCCGCATTGCGCAATGATTTTGATATTTCTATGCTGTATGCTGGAATTGTGGTTTTATGTTAAGATAGGTATATGACTGCCTAGTATCTAATGCCGGAATACTGAAACGTTACTCAATTTTAAGTCACGCTGAAGTATAGTTCTGTCGCCACTAATTCTTTGTGAAATGACAGAGATGGCACGATATTTAAGCACGACTTAAAATTGAGTAACGGTTCAGTATTCGGCATAAGTGTAAGAGGTATGTTCTGTTGTAAAACATAAGCTACTTCTTATTGCCCTTTCATTAGATGGTTGAATGGGGTTTGTATAAGAGGGCCTTAGCTAAATAGAAATTACAAAACGTTTTCAATGTCAATCTAAATAAATAATAAGACTTATATAATAAGAATAAGAGTCAGCTGCGCGACGTCGCTGCGACCGCGCACGCTGCTTATGTATGTGGTTCGAAACTAGTAGAGCTTTTCTCAGTATATTAAGTACCCGCGATTTTAGTTAAATAAGACTATTTTGTATTATTAATTTCATATCAGATAATTCCCTTATTAGTCTTACTTATAGGTAGTAGTCTACCAGCCTCCCTGCTTCCTAATTAGATAATTATGAAGAATTTAAGACATTATAGGTCAAAAACAAATGTTTTATCTTCAAATGCAAGTGCATAGTGAATGCAAGAGTAAGCAAACAGACAGTCAAAGTTGTAATAACGAATATAACAGAAAATGTATAACCTCTGTGTAAAAATAATCTGATTGCTTCTCTACTCAGTAATTTGAATATTACCATATTGGTAATAATTTATATATGAAATTTATTGTGTAAAAATTAATAAATACAAAAGCAAATGAAATACAATATGTTACATTCTAAAAAGTAAATAATGACATGACAATAAAAATTGTCATTTTATTTGACTTAATTTTTTTTATCAGTTTTTTAAAAGTAGGTATGTATTTAAAACAGTTTTGTTATAATAATAGTACAGTTGGGGCTAAGCCAAGGCCATTTTTTTTAGTTTACCATTGTATTTGATCTGTAGGAATCAATGGAAGGGCTGGGCATCTGGGAATTTTACTCACATGGCAAACACTGACACACTTAAAAGTGTGAGAGCTTCGAGAGTTCTATCTATTATCTAGGAAAACTAAAAAAACATCTAAAAAAATACAGTAAAAATGTACTCACATTTCTTTTCCCGATTATTATTAATATTGAGTCCTTGTAGATTGTCACAAAGTCCCTCCACATCATCCCGAGGGTTTTTCTTCAGAGCCTGTAGCTTTTTGAGGTATAGATTCCTGGTGGTGTCCTGTATAGGTCCTGGAGTGAAGCCTAAGCGGAGTAGTTCTGCTCTGAGGGTGTTATCGTCATATTGAACGGACGCAGGGAGCGATGAGGCCACCGATACGATCGTATGATCTGGAGTAACAGGCTCTGAGTCTCCGTCTAATGGAAGTCTGGAGAACGGAAACATTATAGATGTGTATTTTTGTAATAACTTTAATACATTTAAATTATTATTGAAAATATTTATAGGTGTAAATGTAACTTAGAATATATTTTATCAGACTGTGTCTGAATATGTTTGAATGTTGGATAATGAATATATCTGCTGATAAATATTATAAGATATGGAAGTGTAGGTATTTAATTTGTAATTGTCATGTGGAATACTTTTCTGTTGTTACAGAAAGTAAGTAGTTAACTTACTTACCAAAAGTAAGTATTTAACTTACTTTCTGTACGATCGAAGTGAATTATATGTAGAGTTTTGAATGGAAGAGAATGGGGTGAATATAGCACTGGTTCGTGTATTAAATCGAAATAAAATTATTGTAGTTCATTTGTTAGACAAAAAGCTGCAGAAAAATATAATATACTTACATGACGGGCGAGACCAGCAGCCTCTTCTCAATGAGTACGACATCTTCCTCCTTGTCCTCGTATTTATACTCCTCCTGCACATTCGCAAGCACGATACTGCCGCCCGAGTAGGTACTAACACCGCTACTGGCTGATGACCTCCTGGTATTTCCAACGACATCCCCCTTACTCGTACACAACCACTCATTAGTCTTATTCTGAACCACGGCCAGAACATTGTCCAAGTCTTGAGAACAGTCATTTGAGATCAAACTACTTGTGTTAGTATTAAGGTTCCTATTCCTTTGTTTCTTCAAACTCGTTTTATTGTTGTAGTTCTTGTGAGTTATATTGCTTGGTGAGCCGGGCAAGGAAAAGTTTTCATACACACTGATCCGCTGGTTCATTACGTTGGAGCTTGCTTCACTAGACTGCTTCGTCTCGTCTGAAGTCATATCTAGTCTATGTACACCACTTATAACATCTGATAATTTATTTGAAATACAGGATTTAAAGCTTGTGTTCGTATCTGAGATCCTATCTTTTGTGAGATCAAGAGTTACATTATCAGAGAAATTTAAATAGGTACTTTTCCACGGGGCTGATTCATTGTCTATGAGATAAGTTTCACTTATTATTGTTGGGTATAGTTTGTTGATAGCTAAGGAATTTCTTTCACACCATTCGTTGATAAGTTCAGATTTTCTGGCAGCGGGAGCATTTTCTTGTTGGTTTTCGTCGACTATGGGGCCATATTCAGCGACTACTTGGTCCGTTGTCAGTAATACTCTCTCTGGAAAATATAGATATACGCATTATTTAAACTGTTACTTACATATTTCAAGTTCTGATGATCAAGTGCATGCATAAAGCATGACCATACAGTTCTTTAATTACAATTTGTGTTGCAAGATCAATATATTTCAACCTCTTTGCAGAACACTTACCCAGATCTAATGTATAAGCACACTTATGACCTGGAGCATCGTCGGTTAGGTCTACAACATTGTGTAGATAGTCAAAGACGTCCCACTGTTCCTCCCTGGTCGCGTAGTCGAAGGCCGAGTGGCCGTCCAGGTCCCTCTGACCAGGGTCCCCTCCGCAGCCTATCAGCAGCTTCAGATTCTCCACACGGCCCCATATTGCCGCTATGTGCACTGGTGTTACCCCGTCATCATTACTGGAATACAGAATACATTTTTTATCGTACATTGTTTTACTCATGCATAGAGAAATAATTGTACTTAAAATATTGGAAACGATCATAAAGGCGGACTTATTTATGAAAGTAATCTCTTCCAGAGTCTAGACGACCTTTGGGTGGAAAGATTGGAATATTATGTAGTATTGTGGTGAGACTTATTTAAAAAAACAGTTGAATAATAACATGTTTAATTATTTTCCTTATACTATACTAAACCTTTCCTTAAAAATGAGATTTTTTAAATGAAATAGCTAGAAGTTTGTCTGTTATTGTGCAACCAGAATTTTCTGATTTAGGCAAAGTATTTTAAGATTTATCAGCGCAATAGGATCGATAGATTTTTAATTGCATAACTTGTATTTTCTAAATTAGGCAAACTTTCATGGACATGGACTTAACATCGTGGCTAGCGTAACCTAGGTGTGTCTAATACGCATCTCTACCTACGCTTTTAATGGATAATGGGTGTGATATCATAGTATATGTTAATGTTAAAACTTCGCCCACAACACAGGAACACTTTAAGCAAAAGGTCATCCTTTTGGCTAGCCAGTCTAATGGCCTTGTTGCCATTAGAAAGGTATTATGAGCTTAGTAAACTAATGTGAGACAAATATTATTGTTTTAGTACTGGTGTAGACATCAATAATGATATTAATAAGTTTTCAAACTTTTTTTTAAAACCGTTTATCAAACTTAATTCGATAATATTAAAAGAATGTATATTTGATAGAGGGCAATTTGATTCTTATTAGGTATGTGTTATATTACTGAATTTAGAACTAAATTAAATACCATATTATGAGATAACATGCTATGAGACTTGGACCCTTAGCATATTTGTTGATAATTGGGGTTTGGTGCCTTAAAATTTTTATATCATAAACATATGAAATATTATATGCTTATAATATAAAAATAAAATGCGGAAATGGCTAGTTACATTATAAAATTTATTTACCATAGATTAGGATCTCCTCCGTGTTTGAGCAGTAACTCTGTGCATTTCTTAGACTTTTCCTCCGGTTCTATGCCTACGGCTAAGTGCAGGAGTCCAATACCTTTGCATGGTATTATCTGGTTTATCTGTATTGGTGTCTCTTTCAAAAAGCTTTCGAGGGATCTGGAAACATAAAAATGACCATTAGTTATTAGTTTTTGCAATAATTGGAATGTAAAAAAAATATTTCCTAAAACATAACTTAAGATAAACATGAGTATCTCAAATGATGAATAATCTCAATTGTGTAAAAGAACAGTCAGAACTTTTTGGTTGCATCATATTTAGTAATTATCGACTTATATTAATTTCCTTATGCAAATACTTTATGATTTACAACATTTTAAGTAATTAATTATGTAGTCATGATATCAATATTCTTAGTTATGTTATTTTCATAATTATTATGAAAAAACTCATTGAAAGATGCACTTAGATATTTTATCTAATAGGAGATTCAAAACTTCTTCAAATTGGAGTCATTAATAACAAATTTAATTAGATTTTTAAATGGATTAATATTATGTAATATTTTAGCAATACAAGGGTATTTAAAAGAAAAAGTACAATCTCTGTGGGGGGTAGCAAAAATTAAAAATAGGTGAACATTTTGCAATAATCCTTCACCACGAAATTTAAAAAGAAAAAGATTAAATGTATTCCAATTTTAAACTACGGGCAGATGTTTGATAACACAAAGGCCCGTGCGGTAATAATACTCGCTTCGGAATTCTGGTTTTGCGAGCAGGTGTTCACGCTCTAATTACCGCAAAAATCATAATGACAAAAATGTAATAACTTCGTACATACCTTTCTGTCCCATTTTGAATAATATCGTATAGTTTGAATAGCTCTTTGTACGCCGTACCCATGGTTTTTGAAAGTAAACTGTGTATTAGTCATCGGCTTCCTAACTTGTATTCATTTCCTTCGGTGTTTCCTGCCCGGCCTACGTAACGAGTTTGTAACAGTTTGGCATTGAAATAATTTATCAAAAACACTTTGATAACGGTTATCCTCACATTATCGCAGAACCGAGGTTAAAACTTGCACTTATCAATTTGTATTTTGTTTTTAGAAAACTATTTAAATTAACGTCAACTCTCGGAATATTTTGTTTACGTTTGGGAAACGTTCCATTCCACGAACAAAGTTATGCAACGTTCTACGTTCCGTTTCAGCGTAGAAGTTATTAAAAAATATTAGTTATTGAGTTTTAAATGTATGTAATTAAATTGAATTACTATTAAATTTATTATTTAAGTTCAGTTTATAAATACAGTATGTGTTTAAGCTTAATAAATAGGTTCAATAATACTATGGGGACCACTGAGGTCATTGACTCGAGTGTTAAGGCGTTGACATTTTTTAATTTGTACTTTGTGTAATAGATGGCGTTGCTATGAGTGATTTGCTTCTTTTTTATCTTTCGCTATTTATAAAGATTGAAGGCTTGATTTTGAATTTAACTAGGTCACTTATTTACTACTTCTACTAGCATTAGGCACCTTACTATTCTTTATCCTCGCGACATAAAACTCTCTTGCGAGACAGACAGATGCTGAATAGGTAAACTACAAAACCCAATAATGACCTTATTTCTACAGCTGATAAATCCAAATACACCTACATAATATGTAAATTCTACATTATCGTCCACTATCATAAATCAATCAGTAGTAACATTCCCATATTATCATTGGTTCAAGTAAAATATTTTAAATTTTTCAATTCTAGGTCAAAATGCAGTATAAAATGATCATGCACATGTCAAACTACCCTTATCGCCTAGGCTTTTGTAATAAAAGGTAATTATGAATTGAATTAATATTAAAAAAAAAATATTAAAAAAATTACTTGCTATTTCCTTCAGTACAATTATTAATATTCTATTATTTGAATTTTGAATTCTTCTTCATACATAACATCTTTATTGTTCCTCCAACTCAGTGAGTGATCTCATCTCTCTTTCTTTTATCAACGTTTTCTCTTGTACTGCCTCGGGTTCGATTCCCGGGTCGGGCACAGTATTACTACGTTTTTAATAAATTCTCAGTAGTAGCACGGAGTCTGGAATTGTGCCCGGTATACATATATGGCAATAGGCTCACCCCCTATTACATGGGACTCATAACATAAATATGGAAAGGTGGGAGTTACATTGTACCGCCGCATAATGTACCCCTTCGTGGATAAAAGGCGTGATTTTATGTTATGTTTCTCTTGTATACGATCTGAGATCTGCCTAGACTATTTTACCAGTCCTCTCTTCCAGAAAAGAGGTCATATCTTACTAGGGTTTATGTTTTTTCCAATAGCATTGATCCGAAACTAAAATTATTTATGTGTTTTAAAGATTAATAACTGAAGGCCGTAACTATGATGATCCCAGCGATCGTTTTTATTTCTGGTTTGATATCTACAAGTCAATCGTTGGACAATGGGTTAGCATTAACTCCTCCAATGGGCTGGTTATCGTGGCTGCGATTTGGTTGCACCATCGATTGTGAGAAACAGCCAACTGAATGTATCAGGTAAGTCAGTTTAAAATTTGTAATATGTACACACACAGCCACACATCAATCTTTTTCTTTTTTTATGGGATTAGCCGGTAAACGAGCAGACGGATCACCTGATGGTAAGCAATCGGCGTCGTCCATGGCACGACACCTGGAACACCAAAAGCGTTACAAGTGCGTTACCGGCCTTTTGGGATTAGGAATTTAAGGATTCTTGGGAATTCAGGGATTGGGGAAAGGACCCACTCCTTTAGGGCGGGGAAATTGGGCATCCGGTAACCTCACTCACACGACGAAACACAACACAACGTTGTTTCACGTCGGTCTTCTGTGAGGCGGTGGTATCACTCCGGTCGAGCCGGTCCATTCATGCCGAACCATGGCTCTCCCACACTTAGCTCTATACAAAACCAGTTTATCCTGGTGTCGCGTCGCATCATCTTTCCGCATATTTAACGTTCAGTTTATACTGGTTTTGTAAAGCTCGATGTGTAGCCATGTGTACTTAAAAAATGAACCACGGCAGAAACAGGGGAGGTCTATAATACCCAGTAGTACCCAGTGAACTTGGTTGGGCTGATGATAATGAAGTAAATTAAAGGTTCATCATCATCATCATCAAGAGCGTATTCCTTTTTATTTTTTATAAGGCTGGCAACACACCTGTGACTTCTCTGATGTTGCGGGTGTCCATGGGTGGCGCTGATCGCTTACCATCAGGTGATCCGTCTGCTCGTTTGCCTCCTATTCCATAAAAAAAATCAACAGCCTATAAGTACCTACTGCTGAGTAAATGTCTCTTCTCACACGGAGAAGGTTTGAGCATTATAATCACCGCCTTTACTCAAGGAGGGTTGGCAATGAAGTGTTGCCGCATTCATATCATATAACTGATTTCATGGTATTACTAATATTACGGCTTATAGACATAATTGTCCAGGATAGCTCGTGCAGTTTCGAATGACATCGGAACTCGTAATTTAATCGTGGGCATAGATAGTCAACTGTGTGACTTAAAAATAGCTTTATAACTTCATATTTGCAACATATTAGAAGAGATACAAAACCCATGTAATTTGGGATACATAGAAAATAACTGTTTGGAATATTTCCTTAATATTTCTTATAAATTTATTCCTTTCTCCAGTGAAAGTCTAATAAAGAGAACTGCTGACGTGATGGCTAGCGAGGGTTACCTGGAGGCTGGCTACCAATACGTGACTATTGATGACTGTTGGCTGGAGAAGAAGCGTGGACCTGATGGTCGCCTGGTACCCGATAATAAACGTTTCCCCAGTGGAATTAAGGCTCTTTCTCGCTATGTACGTATTAATTAGGTGTACATACTTTTAACTGCCTCGTCGGCCGAGTGGCCGCAAGTGTGATTGCCACCGTCGCAACACCGACTGGGCACGGGGTCTCGGGTCCAATTTCGGGTCGGGCAAAGTATTATTGGGGTTTTTAAAAATTCTCAGTACTAGCACGGAGTTCGGAATTTTGCCCGGTATATGGTAATAGGCTCACGCCCTATTACATGGGACTCGAAAGATAAATAGTGGAAAGCGGATGTACTTACATTGTACAGTGGTATTAAGTGCCATAATATGCACTTCTGCCTACCCCTCCGGGGATAAAAGACGTGATGTTATGTTTATGTTTTAATTGTGAGAGAGCTAAGTATCGGCACAAATAGGCCGGCTCTACCGGTGTGATACCACGACCTCGCAAAAAACCTGTGTTTAACAACTGCTGTGGGAGTGAGGTTACCCCCATTTCCAATCTCCATATCCTCAAATAAAATCTCTTACTCCTAAAAGCCAGTAGGCGACAAAGCATTTGTGAATCCTCCGGTGGTGCGCGGGTTTCTATGGGCGGCCCGCGGCACTGATTGCTTACTATCAGGTGATCACCCTGCTCATTTGCCAGCCTAATCAGCCTATATGACTATAACTGCGCAATGAGTTGTGCATCCAGTATCGACAACAAATTACCAGTTTCGTTTTAATCCTTATTAATATTATAAATCTGAAAGTGAGTTTGTTTGTTTGTTCCACCTTCACGCCGTAACTACTCAACCGATTGCTTTGAATTTTTGCAGACGTAAAGAAGTTCGGATTACATAATAGGGTACTTTTTAACCCGGAAAAAAATGATATTCCCGAGGGAAAACAAAAGTATTGGTATAGATGGCGCTGTGTGTATTGGTATATGTCACATAGGCTACTTTTTATTATTTTGTGACGCGAGCGAAGCCGCGGGTAAAAGCTAAATAAGTTTCAGAGATAATGGGAATAATAATTTAGTCCCGGTTAAACTCTTTCAGGTCCAAAGTAAAGGTCTGAAGTTTGGCATATATGAAGATTATGGGAATTACACTTGTGCTGGATACCCTGGTGTTTTGGGTCATGAAGCTGTAGATGTCGCTACATTCGCTGAGTGGGAGGTGGATTATGTGAAGTTGGATGGATGTGGTGCTCCCGATCCTGATGAAGGTTAGGAAATATGATTGAGAAAGAGCTAGCTGAAAGATTAGTCTATTGGTTGTTTTAATGTTGATTTCAGTAGCTTTCAGTTATTGTATTTTATTCTGGATTTGTGACCGAATAGAGTAATGAAGATCAATGAGTCTATGAAATAATTTTCAAAAAAATCTGTTATTTTCTGTTTTAAAAATACGTTTTTATAGGCTATCCAATGTTTGGGAAACTCCTTAATGAAAGCGGACGGCCCATGTTGTATTCCTGCAGCTGGCCAGCTTATCAAAGCCACGTAAGTATTTAGTCAATTTGATTATCTAAATAAATAATGAATTTGGTAATTCAAATGAACAACAAGAAAAGGATTTTTTTTTCTTGTATAGAAGCACTATTTTTATGGATTGTCAGTATGCATATGTGAGCACCATGTTAGACTATAAGATTTTTTTTTATTTTTATTATTTTAGTAAGGTTTGTAATTAGTACCTATAATGCGTCAAGCGTGTCTTTGTATTGTTCTCACATATACGCACAGTATTGGAATATGTATCAGAGACATTGTGCAACATACTTTTTAAAAAGAGTAACGAATGGAGTTTCTTGCTCTCCATCCGAATCTACATTTTGGAATGAGCACCTAGCTTCACTTAGCTTTACTGACGGACTGACTGACAGACTATTATTTATTTTGTATTTGTTGACGTTTCAAAAGTACCAAATTATGGTTTAATTGAAATAAATGCTTTGACTTTGACTTTGGAAGGAGGTGTTTAGTGATGGCAGACTTGAATACGGACTGCACGGGTGGTGCCGTGGTGCGGTCGCTGGGCAACCGGCTGCCCTGCAACGTGTCGTGGGATTTTGATTCGATTGCCGCAAGGAACAACTATTTGTGTGATCCACAGATTGTTGTTCCAGATCTGAGTGGAAGTGTATGTAAACTTGTATGTTTGTAAACTCACCCACGACACAGGGGAAAATCCTAGTGTGGGGCAACGTTTAAAAACAATACATTTTCCACTACATCATTCCTCCCACGGGTTTCGTAAGAATCGACTAAGGTCACTTGACTACTTGAAAACACGCGCTCTTTGATGAACCTGAACTTTTTAAACTGCCAAAATTTAACACGTTAAACGCCATGGGGGTCACCGGTGACCGGCGTTAGCGGAGGATTTACCTTCAACAGTTTTTTATTGGCAGTCAAAGTCTTAATACACAATATTTATTACACTTCTAGCCAAATTACCTTGCAATTGCGGAATCGTGCAACATATGGCGGAACTACGCTGATATTGGAAATAGTTGGCAGTCGGTGGTGGGCATCATGACATGGTTTGGGGACCACCAAGACGAGTTCGTTAAGTTCGCCGGCCCAGGGCACTTCAACGATCCTGATATGGTAATGACACAAACAAAATGATTGTCTAATAATTATATATTTTACTCATATAACTGTTTGATATAGTAACTCAACACAAGCAAGACGTGGCTAACTTAAATTGTGCTCATGATTATGAGCCCCCATGTGGCTCGAAACCAGTTGAGTTACCTCGTTAAATAGTTACGTGAGTCTATTAATTTATTTTCAAAAATAAACAAATTAGTGACGTTCTACTTTTCATAGTCATCAGCCAGAAGATGTCCATTGTTGGAAAAAGGCCTCCCGCTTAGTTCTCCACTTTGAGTTAAAGTTCGCCATTTGCATCCACTTTTATCTTTTCTACTTTAATTCTATTTCAATTATTACTTAACTACATATATTTCCAGCTTGTAATTGGAAATTCAGGGCTGACAGTAGACCAGGCAAGAGTGCAGATGGCTGTCTGGTCTATTTTAGCTGCTCCCCTCATCATGAGCGCTGACCTATCCACCATGAAGTCGGAGTTCAAGGAGGTCCTGTTGAACAAGGATGTGATAGCAGTGAACCAGGATGTCTTGGGCAAACAAGGTCTTAGGGTTTGGACCAGTGATGATAAAAAGCAGGTGTGTGACTTACAATTTTATGATTGTCTTGTTATTTCATTGTTTGTGGACTAATTTTGGTTGAAGAAATCGACAGCATGGCGACAGAAATTACTTGCTTAGTCATTAATTACTGTAATCGATATTCATTCTTCATTCATTCTTAAAAATGATAGAAAATGTAGTGAATGATATTCGTGAATTCGCTACCGTCTTTTATCTGTATTTGCGCTTTATAGGCAAGAAATTATAAACAAAAACTGTAGCGTGAAAAAGCAAGAAGAGATACAGTTAGCTGCCCGTATTCATTTATTTACATGAACATTATTTCAGGTGATCTGGCATCGAGAGTTACAAGGTAAAGCGCGTGCGCTGGCCTTTGTCAATCTCGGAGATAAAGCAATTGATAACTCATATACACATGAGCAGATGGAGCTACCGATACAAGATTTTATTGTGCAGGTGTGTTCACTCGTCCCTGTTCTTCATCAGTATCATCATCCACTGCTGAGTAAAGGGCTCTTGGCATTAGAGCGGGTTTTATACTAATTTCCATACTAGCGATATTCTTGGGCTCACCGTTCGACCAGAACCAGATCTGAGTGTGAGCCGCGTCGCGTTCCGCGCACGCCCCAAAAAGCAATCAGACCACCACGGGTGGGGCCCAATAAGGGCTGATGCCGTTTCGGAGTCGCGGAGAACCTGACGGGTTACCGAGGGTCTAGCTCGAAGCGCAGGAGAAGGAACGGGGTGGTTAGTCAGTAAGAGTCTGACACTCCCTCCCGCCTCACCCAGGCGGGAGCAGTCATTCGATGATTTTACCCCCTTAAAAAAAGTGCCATCCTTGACACTTGATCATTATTAGCCTCAAGATGCATATCTTCTGCTAAACAAAGGTTTATCTCTTAGGAGAGGGTTTTCTACAACCTCTGCGTTTGCCAGACGGTTTGGGGTTGGGGATTATAGTTCTGACAGTTCTATTTGTAACCGACTTCCCAAAAAGGAGGAGGTTATCAATTTGTCTGTAGATTTTTTTCTATTAGTAAAAATACGAATTCCACTAATAGCTTCGCGATAAGAAGAACTAACTAGTGAGTTCATTCCGATTGTGGAATGAATGTCGTGCCAAGGTTTTCCCGGTGGGCTAGTATAGGTTCTTAAAGAAAGGATTAAATAGGTTTATTAAGGGTCGGCAAGTTCATAGGCTACGGTAACCGCTTACCATCAGGTGGGCCGTGTGCAGTGGCGTAACTACAGGGTGACAAACCGGCGAATTGCCACGGGCCCCTCAGCTGGGAAAGGCCCCCGTGCAGAGCTTTTCACCTGAACTTCTCTGTTTTTTATTGGGAACGAGGGCTATTCGATGAAATTGCCACGGGCCCCGAAGGGTTAATAGTTACGCCCCTGGCCGTGTGCTTTTTTTTGTCATCGTCGTGGTACTAAGTTAAGACCATATACTAGCTTTGTGTTTATTAAAGAAAATAAATAATTCAGCTTCCTATATGTTTTCTAGGATCTATTCAAAGAAGAACATGATCGGATACTGACTAGAAATGATGATTTCAAAGTACGAGTTAATGCAACAGGTTTGTTTTCTTTGTGGATCTCTTGTTGATATAGTAATACCTTTTTATTTTTTATTGTAACTTTTTTTTTCAGGGGTTAAGTTCTACAAGTTTATGCCTAAAGAGGATGGAACTGACGCTGATGACGTTAGTGAAAATGAAATTACAGAAACATAAATAAAAATTGCAATCATATTATGCTATCGCGATGAAAAAGAATTTTACAGTAGTTGGTATTTGTATCGTAAATTGGCGTTCCATAGTCTCTGGAGGGGTAGGCACACTCATGGGTATTTATTTGTATAGGTAGTGGTTAGCCTATAAATATTAGTTTTATAATATTTTGTATATAAAATTGCCTATACCTCTAGATAAGTACATTACCCAGTTGCGGTCACATTAAATAAGTTATAATAAAAAATATATTAGAATTATTTGTATAATTTTATTAATGTATTCATTTGTAGAATTTAACGTAAACATGAACTTAGCAATGTAAGTACCTATATGAAACAAATAAATTATAATACTGCAAGCATGCCAATACTTAAGTAATGCGTATAAATCGTTGTTTTCTTTATCTACTACATTTGTCAAAGTCTGCATTTTGTAATATGCGGGCTGATAAACTTAGGAAATACTTAACTATTTAAAATTATATTATGTATCTAGTTGCCCATCCCAGGTTCACCTGGGTGATATTTGTCAATTTTTCCAATTATTTTCTATTAGTACTGACAGCATGATAGCAAGGTCGGTGCAGTGGCCGGGCAATAGGTTGGTGTGCAGTGTCGTGGGTTTGATTCTCGCACGGTACTTATATATGCACAAATTGTTGTTCTGAACCTGGCTTTTTTTTTAATCTGAACCTGGTTCTGATATGTAATTATAATTATGTCTCTAAACACACTTACGACCTAGGAGAAAGTCCTTACATCAACTAACACGCAAATGAAGATAGTAACGAAAAATTAAAATTAAGTAAGTAATATCAAATTCTTTTTTTTTTAATACCACAATTAACTGTCAACAATAATAACATCGAAGCTTGCGCGTCGCGTGACAACGCCATAACAAAAATAATAGCTTTCTTTAAAACACTTCAAAGATTTCTTAACTTCTTTATAATATAACAAAATAATACAAATGGTAGTAAGTTGAACCAGTTTTGTTGGTCGGTTCGAGGCTAAAGAACCAATTTATCAATAAACCAATCTAATCAGAACCAGTCGGGGTGAACGCTCCATCTAATATTGTTTAACAGGCCACTAACTGAGAAACCGTTATGTTTCTAATTATTTCCTAAGGGAATGGGGGCTTAGGATTGTTTTTGGAAATATGTTTTATTTAGTAAGTATAAAGTTGTAGGAATTTGTTGTTTTACTATTTTTCTTGGATTCAAAAGTAATTAATATTATATTGTAAAAGATTTGAATATTGAGTGAGCATGAAATGATCGTGATGGTCCGGGGTGCCTGTTTTTAAAATCGTGAGGTCGGGATGAATGTGACTTTTTTCATGTTTATATATAGAGACGTCGCTGAAATAAGGCGAAGGAAAACATTACAAGGATACCTTGCCACATGGACAACAGAAATACAGTAGCGTACTGCCATTAGAAAACTAGAAATTGCTATTATCAGTCCGATTGAACTTAAAACCTTAAGTGACGTTTGCTGTCAAAATAAATGGGTGTTTTTTTTAAAGTACAGATAAGATAGGTATACCTTGTTGTTGTACTAATGTATCTAAACGAAACGATTTGTATGTGTGTCAAGTACCGAGGAATCGATATTGTTAACTTTAAGAAAATATTCAACTAGGTTAAATTGATATTTATATCTAATATTTTAGGTACTCTGTGTAAGATTTGAAGTGTTTGTGTCAAAATGTGTGTCGGTAGCATTGTCTTTTACGGTGCAAGATAAAAAATCACAATATTTATGGCCTCTTCTTCATCTCTTTGACTGCCTCATTTGCCGGGTGGTTGCAAGTGCGACTGCCGGGCAAGGGGTCTCGGGTTCGATTCCCGGGTCGAGCAAAGTACAAAGTAGCAAAGGGTTTAAAAAAATTCTTAGTGGTAGCGCGGAGCCTGGAATTGTTCCTGGTATATGGCAATAGGATCACCCCCTATTACATGGGACTCATAACATAAATAGTGAAAAGTGGGTGTTACATTGTGCAGTAGTATTAAGTGACGTAATGTGCACCTCTGCCTACCCCTTCGGGGATAAAGGTGTAATATTGTGTTCTTCATCTCTTTTTTTTTTCTTAATTCGGTTTTGTTTTAGTTAATTCACTATGTCTTACGATACTTATTATAAAAACAATCGAAACTACTGTTTTGCATAATAACTGACTATTATATATATTATAACAAAACCTTTCGCTTTTGTCACCAATATTATAATTTCGCTACTTACGCTGCTGCATGTACAAAAACGAATTTTGCACACTAAATTAACTTTTCTTTCATTTTTTATGCAAAGCTATTTATGTGATATTCTATGGACAAGATAACGAGCACAGTTCGCCATATGTATGAACATAGTATGTCAACAATATTATCCTTATCATTTGACGATCAAACCTTGTTAGGTCCGCGCACCGTACAGACGCGACTATCGACCATTAGCTCTCCGGGTCGACGTCAATTTAACGTAAATATTTCTGTGCCTGTGAATATAAAAAAAAATAAGAGACAATTCAATTTCAAAAATTCGAACGTGATCTTCATTTGAATTTGGCGCGGTAAGTAATACAATGTGACTTCGCATTTTTTTTTATTGTTGACTGTTTTTTGTTGTTGTTTATATGATTGAACAATATTAAAATTAAAATATTAACTAATGAGGACATTTTTTTTAATTTGAAAGAAATTTTTTCAACAAGGGAAGCTTTCATTAAGCATTGCCTGCTTTTCTGTTAAAAAATAAACTTTGCATCGAAACTTCGGGTGTTTGCTCTGTTTGTATGCATTTTAGCGTTAAATTTGTAAATCAACAAGAAGTGTTAGTGTTTAAAATACAATTAAAACATTTATTTACATGCGACATATTCTTTTCGTTTTATTATTAATCAGACTACTTACTTAACTTATGACTTAGATTTAGATTTACAAATACCTGTTAAGTATGTACTTAGCGCAGGCAAAATCAGTAAATAAGTGTAAAAAATTATAGGTATGATCTAATAAGTAAATAGAAGACTACTTACCTACGTCATGGAACCACGGAGGGTTGCCGGGGCTTCGGTTATATGTATGTGCAGGAGTAGGAACGGGGTGGTTTTTAGTCCGTAAGAGAGATACTCTGTCTCGCGTCACTCAGGCAGGAGAAGCCATTGGATGATTTCGCCCCTTCAGAAAAAACCTACCTACGTCATAGGTATTTGTATCCATTTTAATATTGATGGTACCTTTTATTTAGAATTAGGTTCTGCGGTTTCAGCGGATTCGCCCGCCTTCCGTGGAATAAATAGTGGCCTATGTCATTCTAGACCAACCCCTGTTCCAAAATTCATCTCGATCCCTTCAGCCGGTTTGAATTGAAGGAGGAACAAACAAAAATACAATCTTTCCCATTTGTAATATGAGTAGGTTTTAGTTAGATTAATCCTTAAGCCTTTGCCTGCCAATAAAAAACTGTTGAAGGTAAATCCTCCGCTAACGTCGGTCACCGGTGACCCCCTTGGCGTTTAACGTGTTAATGCACGTTCGATATCCTAATTTTTAAGGATTTCAAGTTATAAAACACTATTTCATGGAGGTATACAAATATTTCACCTATTTACATTGTAAAATTCATTAAAAATTGTGACATTACAATTTTTGTTGCAAATTAGGGTACAATTAATAATGAGGATATCATAATATGTACTCATTATTTGTTTGAGACGAACAATTCCAAGTATTTTGATAGACGTATAAATAAAATACTTGTACGGATGTCATAATGTTAGTTAATTAACTGGTTTTGGTCGTTCATTAAGATTATTGTGTAGTTTGTGTAATGTAAGTATATTGTCTAGCGGTATGGTGGTGTAATTTACTCACATAGGTTGAGTAAAATTAAGAGTTACCTAGGTACATCTGTAGGTGTATCTGCCTGGGTTACATTTTTATATATATATATTTGATGGGCCGACGTTTGACCACTATCTCGCCTGGTGGTAAGCGATGATGCGGTCTACGATGGAGCACGTCGTCCCATAAGCAACCTATTCACTCGGGCCTTGAAGACACCCAGGTTATACACATCCCTACCCTTCCGGAAAAACACGCTGGCAAAGAATTACTATTATTTTTGTTTTGTTTGAAAGGGTATTATTTTTATTCATTAGTTTACCAACAATTGTACACACTAGTTCTAATTTTAGGTTACATGACACAGATACAAACTTTAGTGTTACAATCACCTAAAGGAAATTCACTTGTGTAAATTCAAAAATATTTCATTCGATAACTTCAGACATAATAATATTACATGGACTAATTGTATCTGTTGATCAGTTCCTGACCTTCGTGATTACAAATAAACTCACGTATTTGCTTATGCTGTTATTTATATTGATATTGACATTCTAGTTCAAACGTGAGAAAGTTAATTATGTACCTTATACTTACATATTTCATTTGTATTATATTTTTTTTATAACGCTTCTATAATGCGATCTGTCGCCACTGGAATTAACATGGTTTGTCTATAAATAAGGACGTGTTCAGGGTAGCGACCTATGTCGCCTCCTTTTTAATATTTATGTGTTTACTGCAGCACATCTTGGGGAATGTATTATAATAAAAAAATAGTTATACGTTTGTGGTAGTTGCTATAGTTGCGTCTCATCATCAATAGCCTGTTTTCGTCCACTGCTGGACATAAGCCTCTCCAATGGCACGCCACTGAGCTCGGTCTTCAGCTCTCATCCAACCACTGCCAGCCACTTTACGTATATCGTCACTCCACCTAGCTGGAGGGCACCCTACACTTCGTTTGCCTAGACGCGGTCTCCACTCTAGAACACGTCTACGTACTTAAAATTATAGTTGAGTTCATAAATTATTTACCTACTATCTTTAATAATTATGTTGTACATTATGTATGCAATAAATACTCAAATAAGTGCTTGACAAGTTATAGTATTTTCGTAATTTAATTTCGTAAAAGTAAGAGCAGTCATTCGATGATGTTTCCCCCTTAAAGAAGTCCCATGTCCAGTGGATGATGAAGATGAAATTTAAATTATTTAGACAGTAAATTTTTACACTTTAAATAAAAGTTACCACTTTTATGTTAATTTTTTAAACAAACAACGTTTTATTTACAAAAATGATCATATACCTATTTATTTTTGTAGCTATAGTTTCAATAATATAATATTTTAGTGTCCATACTGGTTATTTCGTAATGAGGTGGTTGACACTGTCTATGCACATAAACTTATGTTGCTGCGGTCAATGACTTCAAATTGATTATAGTGTTTTATGCGAGCTCGAGAAATGGCGCTGTTTGTTATTCAGATTGTTGTATAATAAAAGTCTACCGCACAGACTAGTAAAGTCGAAACCAAGAACATTTAAATAAAGAGAATGTTGGTTTTTCTATTTTTTTTTTAATTTGAGAATGTTGGTTGAGGGCATTTCTCGAGGGGTTCTTCGGAATTGATCCTGACCCGGAGATCGAACCTGGAAGTTTTGCGATTGCATTTTATCAACTTTTCGACATCCAACTCCATAGTCATCTAACATAGTTATACATATACGACCTATATTGTATTTCTACAGGAAGGCAAGTGTCTGTTTGTTTATAATTATTTCGAGTCGCAATGCATTTCTCTGATATGATTTTATAGTGTGTTTGATATAAAAGGCTTTAGAGTAATAATAAGGCATAATATGCGTGTAATATGTGTGTGTGCAATAAATAAAAAAAAAATAACCAACCACCAGAAGCCGCGGCTACGACCTAGTGTATTTTAAGTATAAATTAATTACATGTATGTATGTATTGTGGAGCCGTCTACAATAAATGTAGCCATTTTGTTTAGCAGAAACTATTGAACTTAGGTTATTGACCATAGACCACAGTCTATTCACATTTCAAGGCCTTTTATAGTAGCAATTTGAAATTCTAAACTTCGTATAAAGTAATGCCTTCGAAAGGTGAAGGTAGAGATGCACATATATTTCATGGAATCGCAGATAAAGTAATCGATACATCACTTCTTCCCTGATGGTAAGCAATCAGCGCCGCCAATTATATAGACATTGGACTCCAAAACCACCAGAGGAGTCACATTTGTTTAACAATTTAAATTACTACTTTCTTAATTCTTTTTCTATATGAACCTATCCCTGAATTTCCACCTAATAAAAGGGTCGACGTGATCTTCAGATGCTGGTGACATTAATATTCCTTGTGGGGGTGTCTTCGAGCCTGGCGCTAGATAATGGGCTGGCCCTCACTCCTCCCATGGGCTGGCTCACCTGGGAGCGGTTCCGCTGCATCACAGACTGCAAGAAGTACCCTAATGAATGTATCAGGTAAGAAGAAAAAAGAAGTCACATATCTTTTCTAAAAGTAATTTAAAAATATTTTTAAGTGTCCAATAGATGGTAATATAAGGTGATATAAGGAATAAGATACTAAGAGCTGATTGGTGTTGTCGTGCTTTTGGAGTAGCCTAGATTTCGGCATGAATGGGCCGGCTCGCCCGGAGTGATCCCACGGCCTCACAGAAAACCGACGTGAAGCAACGCTTGCGTAGTGCTTTGTCGTGTGAGTGAGGTTACCGGAGGCCCAATTACCCTCCCCTTCCCCAATCTCCCCAATTCCTGAATCCCCAAAGATCCTCAAACTCCTAATCCCCAAAAGGCCGGTAACGCACTTGTAATGCCTTTGGTGTTACAGGTGTCCATGGGCGACTTCGGTTGCTTACCACCAGGTGATCCGTCTGCTCGTTTACCGGCTTATGCAATAAAAAAAAGCCTATGTCCAGCAGTGGTCGGAAACAAACTGTTGTTGATGGTATAGGTAGGTACCTATACCATCAACAACAGTTTGTTTGGAGTTGGAGTTATGAACCCGTGAAGTTTTATTCCGCGGGCAGCCACCGATATACTGGTTCTGACTGCAATGTGGTGGCTTAACTCATCGTCTGCCGAGCCTCTTCTCCTTTTCTCTTGGGTGATGGTAGATTAACCCATTTTACTGTCGCGGAGAACCTAACGGGTAACCGGGGCTCCGGCTCGACGTGCAGGAGAAGGAACGGGGTGGTTTTTAGTCAGTAAGAGTCTGACACTCCCTTCCGCCTCACCCAGGCGGGAGCAGTCATTCGATGATTTTCCCCCCTTAAAAAAAAGAAACCCATTTTACTGGAGAGGCCATTTTTTGCTGTCAACTGGCGAACGAGTGAAGCTTAACTTAGTCCTAAACGGTATTTCAGGTGCTCTGACGTTCGAGATACGGAAGTAATATTAAGAATAGGTAACTAATTAGTACCTAGGTAACTAATTAGTTCCCTTGGCAAACCAAATCGAAGGTCTTCGTAAGATTGTACGTATTGTATAATTAGGTAAACAATTATTGTATAGTAGACTATTTGCTTGAAAATAGAGCAAATTATGATAATCAGTGTGAACTGGACGACATAGTTTAGTTTAGATTTCGTTGTGGGTATGGTAAAGAGATTCGTTCTACAGTTAGTTTCCATGTTTATGCATGATCTGCTCTGCATATGCCGTTACCTACATTTATATTCCTCGAGCTACACGGACTCTGGGAATTGGAAACTGTACGTGAATTATTTAAAGACCAACCAAGTAAAGTACCAAGTAAAGTACTATATGATCACTAGAAGGGTTACAAGTGAATTATGAGAATTTTATGGATTTGGGGCTTAGGAATGGGGAAGAAGGTTGGCAAATTACCTTAATCGAGAATATTGGGTCATTGGATCCCTAAGTTCGTGAAATTTTGTACACTTTGTGTGATCCACAAATTGTTGTTTCGGGTCTGGGTGTCATGTGTAAGTGAACTTGTATGTTTGAAAACGCACCCATGATACAGGAGAAAATCATAACATGGGGCAACGTTTACTTAAAAAATACACCTTTTTTCTTCAACAAAAGAAACTTAGCCATGATGTTTCAAATTGCAGTGAGAACTTAATCAAGAGGACGGCAGATCTCATGGTGAATGAAGGCTACCTCGACGCTGGGTATGAGTACCTGGGCATCGATGACTGCTGGCTGGAGAAGAAGCGAGGCCCTGATGGACGCATGGTGCCCGACAAAGAGAGGTTCCCTAATGGAATGAAGGCTGTTGCTGACTATGTAAGTGTCTTGCATGAAACAGATACTGATTTTTTTACAGAAAATATTAAACAGAATGAACAAGATGACAAAGATGGTGAATGATAATGCTGATAGGGGAAAAAAAGAATTCCATTCTGGAGAAAGGTCTCGTATGACCAGATGCGTGAATGCAATGGAAACCGATAAAGGATATAGGGATCATAGTTAGTGGTATCCTGGCGTTCTGTAGTGTATGCTTTCTCTTTCAGCATAGGCATGTTGTCAGCGTCTCTTTTCTAATTCTTCTGATTTAATTTTTCAAGTCTTATATTTTTATTACTTCCACTGTCACAGCTTTATTGTCTTTTTTATATTTTATTTATGCTGCATCGTGGCTGGTGCTGAGTAAATATTTTTTCTTTTTTTTTTCTTTTTTGGAATAAAGACGTAAATTTGTTTATAGAAACCTGACCTGCATCGCCATCTATTTTCCAGATCCATAGCAAGGGTTTGAAATTCGGCATGTACGAAGACTATGGCAACCTGACTTGTGCTGGATATCCTGGTGTGCTTGGCAACGAGCGTCTGGACATACAAACCTTCGTGGACTGGGAGATAGACTACCTCAAACTCGATGGATGTTACATCAACCCTACCGCCATGGATGCTGGTGAGTAAATCTATACTATTTCTAATTATTTTTAGTAATTGAAGAATTTGATAATTCTGTGTCTGCTTGGTGTTCGGATGCTGCATCGACTGCAGACCACAGTTAATTTCTCAAGTTTGGATTAAGTATTGTCGAATTTTTCAACTCTATATTATTCGACGTATACTAGAATAAGTCCCGAATTATGCTCCATATTTTATAGTAGAGAATTCACTCTCTGTTGTATGGTACTTATAGCTATCCAGTTCAAATAGATTGGCTAAATACAATTCCATTTAATTTAAACTTAATTAAACGTCTGTATTTTCAGGGTATCCTGCATTCGGAAAAATGTTGAATGACACAGGTCGACAGATTCTTTATTCCTGCAGCTGGCCAGCTTACCAAGAAGATGCAAAAATGCTTGTAAGTCAAATTCGCTAAAGATAAATGACCTCCAGTAACATGTCAACCTTTCCTGTCTCCTTGGACCTTAAGTAAATTCTTATTTTTACCTTCTAACGTTCTATATGTATCGGTTTTCCTCATTGTCACTGTCAATAGCGATGGTTCTCTTGAACTCGATGATAGTTCAGCACCCAGAATTAGATGTGTTCCATGATAAGTCGTATGTCAAACGGAAATTAATGAATAAGTTTTTAAATATAAATCTCAATAACATAGGAACTATCGAAGTTATTAATATTGTAATAGGTTTAATTGGTTAATTTTGGTTCTCGCTGCATTTTAATATAAATAAATAAATAAGTAAATAGGTAATAGATTTCGAATGAGAAGTCAAGAGAAAAGTAATATAGTACCCTATACCTTAAGGTGGAACAAATATTTTTTCTATAACTTTTTTGATCAGTCTTATAGCTTAAGAGACAAATCTATGTGTGGGAGTAACTTACGAGAATTATAAGAAATACCTGTAAAATATTGTAGACTATCCAACATTTTAGAATAACATTACATCACGCCTTTTATCCCCGAAGGGGTAGGCAGAAGTGCACATGACGGCACTTAATGCCACTGTACGTTGTAACATCCACTTTTCACTATTTATGTTATGAGTCCCATGTTATACGGAGTGAGCCTATTGCCATATATCGGGCACATTTCCAGACTCCGTGCTACGACTGAGATTTTTAATTAAAAAACCGACTTCAAAAACCAAAAACTAATAACAAACAAAAAGTCAATACTAAAAAGCAAAAAATAACTATTATTAGTACTGATAGGTTACCCACTTACTGATAGGTAAGAAGTCGGTGCCATAAGTTCCATACAAAATTATTCATTAAAACCTTAATAGGTATCTAATTCACAATTTTGTGGACATTAAGTTATATCATTATGATATGAGCTTATGGCACCGACTTCTAACCTATCAGTAAGTGGGTAACCTATCAGTACTAATAATAGTTATTTTTTGCTTTTTAGTATTGACTTTTTGTTTGTTATTAGTTTTTGGTTTTTGAAGTCGGTTTTTTAAACGCAGTTTTTATTTTATTATTTTACCATTTTCAGTGTAAAGCTACATATACCCGTTTTGTTACTTATAATATACATAGGTGCAAAGTTCTAATCAATACAAATTGTACAAGCTCAAACACAAGGTAGTTACAATATACCGTTGAGGAGTTCCCTTGACAATTACACTTCTTCATCATCAGACCCTTAATGACAGCCCCACTCTATTTAGGTGTAAAGTCCTCATCAATACAAATTAATCAAGCCCAAACTCAAGGTAGTTACTGTATACCGTTGAGGAGTTCCCTTAACAATTACACTTCTTCATCATCAGACCCTTAATGACAGCCCCACTCTATCTAGGTGTAAAGTCCTCATCAATACAAATTAATCAAGCCCAAACACACGGTAGTTAATATAAACCGCTGAGGAGTTCCCTCGACTGTCTGTCGACTCCATCATCAGGTCGACTCCAGACCCTTATTAATATGTAGTGTTTAAAATTCGTAATTGAAAAACATAATAGACGCATTACTCCCCCATAGAATTTTCGAAAGTTCCCCTCGGTTTCTCTAGGATCCCATCATCAGATCCTGACTTCATGGAAATGGGACCATCTCGGGAGTATACCCTTTCAAACGAAACAAAAATTTTCGAAATCGGTCCACAAACGGCGGAGTACTGCGCGAACAAACAAAAAAAAAAAAAAAAAAAAAAAACAATCAGCCGAACATAGTACCTCCTCCTTTTTTTGAAGTCGGTAAAAACCCAGTAACGCTTTGCCCGACCCGGGAATCGAACCCGAGACCCCTTGCCCGGCAGTCGCACTTGCGACCACTCGGCCAACGAGGCAGTCAGCCAACATTTTATTGGTTTCTAATATCAGTCCCTTATTCCTTTACAGCCCGACTACTCCTCAATAGCTGAGCACTGTAACATGTGGCGCAACTGGGACGACATTGAGGACTCGTGGGCCTCGCTCACCAAGATCATGAATTGGTTCGGAGATAACCAGGACAGGCTGGCGCAGCACGCGGGCCCTGGACACTGGAATGACCCTGATATGGTGAGGGAAGATGAATTAAACGCTTATAGCTTGGACAATATTTTTAAAGATGTGTCCATTAATAGGTGGGCTTGAATCTGTGGCGACACATAAATGACAATTCATGCATTATGAGTGTCGATGAAAACAAATCAACGGATGACGTCACAAGAATCCTACATCGCATATGTGGAGTTTACATGCGAATTAACATGGATAGAAAATCCCAACGAACAGCTCTGTTGAGCAGAAAGCCCGCCAGGCATGAACAATTTGCCTGGTCGGAGGATCGTCCTTTTTCGATCTTAAGGTGGCCTTACACGCTAGGTTTTGCATGATGGCTTTAGTCGTGCATGCATAACCGACAGGCAAGCCCTAGCGTGTATGTGGGTTCTTAAACTGGACGCAGCTTATCTAAAAGTGGATACGGTACGTCTAAATTCTTTATACTTTCTAATAGAGGTAAATACCTCTTCATCCACAGTTGCTGATTGGAAACTTCGGTCTAACCGAAGACCAGGCTCGCGTGCAGATGGCAGTGTGGTCGATATTGGCTGCCCCTCTCCTCATGAGCGTAGACCTGGCTACCATCAAGCCAGAGTTCAAAGCGATCCTGCTGAATAAGGACATCATTGCTGTGAACCAGGACCCACTTGGCAAGCAAGGGTTGAGGGTGTGGAAGAAGACTGATCGTGGAGTGGTGAGTTCGATTACCAGTTGCTGTTAATAGTGAAGTGATATCATAAAACTGCAAGCTATTTTGAAACTCTCCGATATTCATATATTTGAATCTGGCTTTGACGTCTTCTTAGGTAATGTATCATCGTCCTATCACTACATAGTATAAAACAAAGTCGCTATCCACCGTCTGTCTGTCCCTATGTATGCTTAGATCTTTTAAACTACTACTTAATCGGTTTCTGTAAAAGGTAGGACTGGTAAAATAAGGAGAATCTACCACCCACTCCTGTTTAATGGCGCTCCAAATCCGATACAAAAATCAGTCTGAGCAACAAAACAAAAATGCACTGATCGCATTTGAAGTGTATCGAGCGTCCTCGAAAACTATCGAGCGTCCTCGAAGCCTATCGAGCGTCCTCGAAAACTATCGAGCGTCCTCGAAGCCTATCGAGCGTCCTCGAAAACTATCGAGCGTCCTCGAAGCCTATCGAGCGTCCTCGAAAACTATCGAGCGTCCTCGAAAACTATCGAGCGTGCTCGAAATCTATCGAGCGTGCTCGAAATCTATCGGGCGTGCTCGAAATCTATCGGGCGTGCTCGAAATCTATCGAGCGTGCTCGAAAACAATTGAGCGTCCTCGAAATCTATCGAGCGTCCTCGAAATCTATCGAGCGTCCTCGAAAACTATCGAGAGTCCTCGAAAACAATCGAGCGTCCTCGAAATCTATCGAGCGTCCTCGAAAACAATCGAGCGTCCTCGAAATCTATCGAGCGTCCTCGAAAACAATCGAGCGTCCTCGAAATCTATCGAGCGTCCTCGAAAACAATCGAGCGTCCTCGAAATCTATCGAGCGTCCTCGAAATCTATCTAGAGTCCTCGAAAACAATCGAGCGTCCTCGAAATCTATCGAGCGTCCTCGAAAACAATCGAGCGTCCTCGAAAACAATCGAGCGTCCTCGAAATCTATCGAGCGTCCTCGAAAACAATCGAGCGTCCTCGAAATCTATCGAGCGTCCTCGAAAACAATCGAGCGTCCTCGAAATCTATCGAGCGTCCTCGAAATCTATCGAGCGTCCTCGAAAACAATCGAGCGTCCTCGAAATCTATCGAGCGTCCTCGAAAACAATCGAGCGTCCTCGAAATCTATCGAGCGTCCTCGAAAACAATCGAGCGTCCTCGAAATCTATCGAGCGTCCTCGAAAACAATCGAGCGTCCTCGAAATCTATCGAGCGTCCTCGAAATCTATCGAGCATCTTCGAAAACTATCGAGCGTCCTCGAAATCTATCGAGCGTCCTCGAAATCTATCGAGCGTCCTCGAAAACAATCGAGCGTCCTCGAAATCTATCGAGCGTCCTCGAAAACAATCGAGCGTCCTCGAAATCTATCGAGCGTCCTCGAAAACAATCGAGCGTCCTCGAAATCTATCGAGCGTCCTCGAAAACAATCGAGCGTCCTCGAAATCTATCGAGCGTCCTCGAAAACAATCGAGCGTCCTCGAAATCTATCGAGCGTGCTCGAAAACTATCGAGCGTCCTCGAAATCTATTGAGAGTCCTCGAAAACAATCGAGAGTCCTCGAAAACTATCGAGCGTCCTCGAAACCTATCGAGCGTGCTCGAAAGCAATTGAGCGTCCTCGAAACCTATCGAGCGAGCTCGAAAACAATCGAGAGTCCTCGAAAACTATCGAGCGTCCTCGAAGCCTATCGAGCGTCCTCGAAAACTATCGAGCGTCCTCGAAAACTATCGAGCGTGCTCGAAATCTATCGAGCGTGCTCGAAATCTATCGGGCGTGCTCGAAATCTATCGAGCGTCCTCGAAATCTATCGAGCATCTTCGAAAACTATCGAGCGTCCTCGAAATCTATCGAGCGTCCTCGAAATCTATCGAGCGTCCTCGAAAACAATCGAGCGTCCTCGAAATCTATCGAGCGTCCTCGAAAACAATCGGGCGTGCTCGAAATCTATCGAGCGTGCTCGAAAACAATCGAGCGTCCTCGAAATCTATCGAGCGTCCTCGAAATCTATCGAGCGTCCTCGAAAACTATCGAGAGTCCTCGAAAACAATCGAGCGTCCTCGAAATCTATCGAGCGTCCTCGAAAACAATCGAGCGTCCTCGAAATCTATCGAGGTTCGAAATATCGAGCGTCCTCGAAAACTATCGAGAGTCCTCGAAAACAATCGAGCGTCCTCGAAATCTATCGAGCGTCCTCGAAAACAATCGAGCGTCCTCGAAATCTATCGAGCGTCCTCGAAATCTATCGAGCGTCCTCGAAAACTATCGAGAGTCCTCGAAAACAATCGAGCGTCCTCGAAATCTATCGAGCGTCCTCGAAAACAATCGAGCGTCCTCGAAATCTATCGAGCGTCCTCGAAAACAATCGAGCGTCCTCGAAATCTATCGAGCGTCCTCGAAAACAATCGAGCGTCCTTGAAATCTATCGAGCGTCCTCGAAAACAATCGAGCGTCCTCGAAATCTATCGAGCGTCCTCGAAAACAATCGAGCGTCCTCGAAATCTATCGAGCGTCCTCGAAAACAATCGAGCGTCCTCGAAATCTATCGAGCGTCCTCGAAAACAATCGAGCGTCCTCGAAATCTATCGAGCGTCCTCGAAAACAATCGAGCGTCCTCGAAATCTATCCAGCGTCCTCGAAATCTATCGAGCATCTTCGAAAACTATCGAGCGTCCTCGAAATCTATCGAGCGTCCTCGAAATCTATCGAGCGTCCTCGAAATCTATCGAGCGTCCTCGAAAACAATCGAGCGTCCTCGAAATCTATCGAGCGTCCTCGAAAACAATCGAGCGTCCTCGAAATCTATCGAGCGTCCTCGAAAACAATCGAGCGTCCTCGAAATCTATCGAGCGTCCTCGAAAACAATCGAGCGTCCTCGAAATCTATCGAGCGTCCTCGAAAACAATCGAGCGTCCTCGAAATCTATCGAGCGTCCTCGAAAACAATCGAGCGTCCTCGAAATCTATCGAGCGTCCTCGAAAACAATCGAGCGTCCTCGAAATCTATCGAGCGTCCTCGAAAACAATCGAGCGTGCTCGAAAGCAATTGAGCGTCCTCGAAACCTATCGAGCGAGCTCGAAAACAATCGAGAGTCCTCGAAAACTATCGAGCGTCCTCGAAACCTATCGAGCGACCTCGAAACCTATCGAGCGACTTCGAAAACTATTGAGCGTCCTCGAAACCTATCGAGCGATCTCGAAAACTATCGAGCGTCCTCGAAAACAATTGAGAGTCCTCGAAAACAATCGAGCGTCCTCGAAATCTATCGAGCGTCCTCGAAATATAGATTTATGTGTAATGTGTATAAATGTACTAAAAACCAAAAAATAATAAAATAGATACAGTCGTGAGAATTATAAACATGCATAGACTAGACTAAAATAAAAGCGTGGGGCACGTCAATTGTCTACAATCGTTGATTAAAAAAAATAAAACTAAATATTACTAAATTAAATACCTATATACAATTAAAGATTAAAATTAATTATAAGAAAAAAAAACAAAAACAACTATTTACATAAAGCGTCGAAAAATTCGTCCGCATCGACGTCAGTGGGGAAAGTACCCAGAAGGCTGGCAGCATTGCCACGTTGTATGGCAATGCTTAACCTCTGACCGAGAAAAAGACCAGCCCTCTGGTCACGAGATGTGTCAACCAGGCGTTTTGAAATATTTTTGAATAATTTAAGTGCACTCGGACCCCACGGACCTAGCGTCTCAACCCCAAACGGCTCAAAGATATAACTACCAGCAAGGCTGTTATATTTGCGCCGCTTGAGGCTTTCTGCAGAGGCAGCAGCCGAACCAGCGCAACCCGCCGTTACTGGAAGATGAGAACGTCCAAGAGTGTCGACGCAGGTTGCGTCCCACACCAAAGACTTTCCCAGCTTCCAGGGCATAATGGACATACCGTCGGGTCTCTTACCATCGTCGCGTTCCAAACCCTTTGGTTCCAGAACAGCTGGCACACCGGCGATGATAAGAGCTCGACGGATAATGTCGTTAATGCTGGCGTGTCGAGCTATCCGGCCCGCGCTTCTGCTACTGTAATCTTTAGTTGTATATAGGTATTTAATTTAGTAATATTTAGTTTTAATTTTTTTAAGTTATAGTTAGTTTTTAATTTAAGTTTTTTATTTGATTAAAATGTTTGTTTTGTAATGTCACACTATAAAATTGACGTACATTTAACATTGCAATGTATGTTTAACATAAAACCGTTTAACTTAAAAAGTTTTTTTACTTATTTTTTTTTTCTATAATAATAGTAAAGTCTAGCTTTTCGAACTAACTTTCGCACTTTTAGTTATTTATTAAACCTTTATCTCATTTCTTTCATCAGAGATCTCGCCTGGAGATTTGGAACCGCAAATTGTACGATGATACATACGCACTGGCCTTCGTGAGCCAACGAGATGACGGCATCCCCTACGCTGCCAGCTTCACTTACGATGAAATGCAACTGCCCAAGGGAGAATATGAAGTTCAAGTAAGTAGAGAATATTGTGGAAAAAACGTATAAAATAAGGAATGTATTAGTCATAATCGCCTCGTTGGCCGAGTGGTCGCAAATACGACAGCCGGGCAAGGGGTTTCGGGTTCGAATCACGGGTCGGGCAAAGTATTACTTGTTATTTTTTTAAATCTCAGTAATAGCACGGAGTCTGGAATTGGGTCCAGTGTATGGCAATAGGCTCACCTCCTATTACATGCGACTCATAACATAAAATAGTGAAAAGTAGGTGTTACATTGTACAGCGGCATTAAGTGCCATCATGTGCTCCTCTGCCTACCCCTTCGGAGATAAAAGGCGTGATTTTATATTATGTAAATAATAATCATAATTAGAAAAAAATATTCAAGCTCATAGAAGAATGTCAGCGCCTGTTATAACTATTTGAGCAATATGTAGAATTATGTTAAAACATATTTTTGTCAGATTGAGATTGAGAAAATAATCTACTTACCTATATAAAAATAAGGCGGGGTTTCCTTCCTGACGCTATAACTCCAGAACGCACGAACCGATTTCCACGGTTTTGCATTCGTTGGAAAGGTCTCGGGCTCCGTGAGATTTATAGCAAAGAATGTTACATAAAACGAAGCCATCTATCTGGTGGCGAAAATAGTGGTTAAAATGTAATTTATAATAAATAAATTGTTATAATATCACATGATATTAATCTAATTTGTTTTTTATTCAGGATTTGTACAAAGATGAAGGAGTTCGACAGTGGAACAGTGAAGACAAATTTGAAGTTCGAGTTAATCCATCAGGTTTGATATTAATTACTCAATACTATCTTCTGTCTGCGGCCTTGCTTTCGCCATTAGCCTTAGTATTATTTCGGATACCTCTGTTACAGATTTCACGTCGATACTTTTAGTCGTTTTTGACTTGACTAAGTAACAAACATACACACAAACTTTTGTATTTATAATATTTGAAAGCATTAGCTGGATCAAACAGTAATTTTGTGTGCCTATCCTTTTGGTATCACTCATAACTATCATCGAATCGAGTAAGAGACTAAGAAAGAATATGTTTTTTATGGTATACGCTGGTAAACAAGCAGACGGCTCACCTGATGGTAAGCAATCGGCGCCGCCCATGGACACCTGGAACACCAAAGGCATTGTAAGTGCGTTACTGGCCTTTTGGGATTAGGAATTTGAGGATCGTTGGGGATTCAGGGATTGGGGAGATTGGGGAAGGGGAGGGTAATTGAGCCTCCGGTAACCTCACTCACACGACGAAACACAACGCAAGCGTTGCTTCACGTCGGTTTTCTATGAGGCCGTGGTATCATTCCGGTCGAGCCGGCCCATTCGCACTCCCATATTCTCACTTAAAATACATAGACAAAGATATTTTACTATTCAACGGAATAAGTAGTAACATATTGTACATAATGATGTTTTGTTTACGAATACAAACATCTCACATCGATCTTTCGCATTAAACTCATGTTTCTTCTAGAAAACTCTAAACACTTAAATAATCATTTGTTTTTTTTTTCCAGGTGTGAAATTCTACAAGTTTATACCTCGTGCGCCGAGTGATGTGATCAAGTCTGACAGCGGTTTCGTATCAGATGCAATCGTTAACGTATTGATGAACAACAGTTAGTTTTTAGTTTAAAAATAGAATAACTAGTTATCTAAGTACATAATTTAGTTGGTAAGAATAAAAAAGGTTGTTTATGAAAGAGTTTTATTTCTATTGAATCTTGAATTAGCCTTTTTCCTGGGAAGATTAAATTTATTTATTTATTTATTTATATTAATTACAACGGTTACACCAATGACAGCAATTAATTGATTTGTTATAAGACCATTATACATATTAATATTACAAATACACATTCAGATCTATGTCAACATTAAAAGAAATATAATAAAATAAAATAAAATTCAACTTCATGTCAGAACTTAAACCATATGAAACGTCAAGATTAACAGAAAATATCATTATGTCAAACTTGTCAGACTCAAATTACCCACAAAACATTTGGGAAAAAAAAACCAGTAATAATAGTTATATTAAGAATTAAGTCACAATATACCTACATGTTATTTACAATTAAGTACAACATTTTCACAAAATTGTATGGTCAACAGTACAATTTGGTTAAACCTGTCGGCTAATACGTCACAATCGGGTAGCTCCAGAGTGAGGGCATTGATTGCGCTGCGCATGCTACAAAGCGGGGAGTGCGCGCGTGATACAGTGCGGCACCGCGGGTTCACAAGTAGTCTGTGCCGGCGGCTGTGGCGGTGGCGCAGGTAGTTGTCTGGGACGTAGATGGTGCATAATAGATTATGTAATTCTGGTGAATCAATAACATTCCGCAAAATCTTAAGTGCAGTTATGATCTGTATCCGAGACCGCCGTACAGCCAGAGAGTTGTATCCCAGAGTACCCAGCAAAAAATCCGTAGGGTACATATATGGATAGTATCCGTACTTACTCCTGTACAAGTAACGTAGAAAGGACTTTTGGATCTTTTCTATTACCAGTGAGTACGTCACTTCGTATGGACTCCAGACACATGCTGCAAATTCCAATTTGCTTCTAACAAGGGAATTGTACAAAATTTCGACTATTTTCGGGTCCCTAAAATCTTGCGCATTACGCAAAACAAAGCCCAGACGTCTATATGATTCGGCGGCCACTGAGGAGATGTGTTCGTGAAATGTGAGGCGACAGTCAAACGTCACACCAAGGTCACGGATGCCATAAACACGAGTCACCTCAGTATCGCCCAATGTGTACACAGCCCGACCAGGCTGCGACTTGCGGCTGAACGTCATAACATAACACTTGCTTGTATTAAAATATAATTTGTTGGTCAAACTCCATTGCAATAAGCGGTCAATATCGTTTTGAAGATCATCACGAGTGCAGTTCTCGGATATTTCAAGGACCAATTTCAAATCGTCTGCATAAAGTAAACATTTAGCATGCTGCACCACACTGACAAGATCGTTAATCATTAAAAGAAAAAGTAATGGCCCCAGAATTGATCCTTGACTCACCCCCGACAACGTATAATATGACCTCGAAAGAAAGCACCCGTGAGAAACGAACTGTTTTCGGTTCAATAGGTAATTTGCAAAAAAATGCAAAAGGTTAGGCGTGAATCCTATGGCCTGTAACTTGCTCAGCAAAATATCCCCATCAACTGTGTCGAATGCCTTTCTAAAATCAAAATAAAGAACATCCACCTCGTGACCCCTGTCTAGACCCGCTGAGACGTAGTCAACAAGTGACAACAGATTTGTTTCAACTGATCGGCCCTGTCGGAACCCATGTTGTTCATCACATAAATGTGATTTTAATTGATAGTAAAGTTGTTTATGTGTAACTGTTTCAAACACTTTGGCTGGACAAGACAAAACAGCAATAGGACGATGCTCCTCCACGGAAGATTTATTATTGGATTTTGGTATCGGCGTGACCCGAGACAACTTCCACTGGTCCGGATAAGTGGCATTTTTGAGTGCCAGGTTCATTATATAGGTTAGCGGAGGAGCGAGATAATCCCTACATGCAATTAAAATATATGGTGGAATCTTATCGGGGCCTATGGAACTCCGCGGCTTCAATTTAAGAATTCCGTTTTTGACCTGAGCTATAGTGTAGTTCTCGATATGTATGTAGCCCCCGTCGGTTGTAGCTGTGATAGGCGCTATATCATCAGCATCCAACATTGGGCGGTCTGGCAAAAAAACACTTGAAAAATAATCCGCAAAGGCATTCGCTGCGTCCTTGCCGGTGAAGGTCTGACTTTTGTAGCTCACCGTGGGCTCGAAGCCACCCTTGGACCGAAGACTCTTAATGTACGACCAAAATTGCAATGGGTCACGCCTAATCCCGTCTTCCATTGCCGCAGTGTAAGTTTTGTACGCACAATCAATGCGCTTTTTTAATTCAGACCGAATACTACTAAAGGCTACGTACACACTGGGGTCAGCGTAACGTTTCCATTGTCTATGAAGCTTAATTTTACGATTTATGTCCTTTATAATGTCCGAGGAGAACCAAACAGGGTAGCGCTTCCTGTTAGATATATCTCTCTTTTTCTTTGGTACACAAGTGTCGAATATATTATATAGGATTCTATAAAACTCGCCAGTGGCCGACGGAACATCCGCGGCGCTAGTGACACAGTTCCAGTCGGTCCGTGATATCCTTTCATAAAGTAATAGGAAATCGGCTTTACCAAAATTCCAGTCGGTCATCAAGTCGAGATTACTAGGACTAGTCCTCTCTCGGCTCGACGTTGCAAGAATCTTAGCTTCAATATCTAGAGGAGGATGATATGAGTCAACGTTCACAATACCACCCGCCTCAGCCGCCTCGACACGCACAGCGCAACCGTTATCCCTGGATAAGACTACATCCAGTTTGCCGCCAAAAACATTAAATACATTATTATTTTCTACTATGGAACAAAATGAAAGAAAATATACGAAATAATTGTTAACAGATTTAGATGCACTGTTGAGGTTGATATCGCCAATTATAAATATCTTGCCCTTTAGGTCATTTACAAAGGATTCCACTTTACAGAACCATTCAAAGTATACAGAATCTGCGGCACTTGGAGGAATATACACGGCACAGATATATACACTGCTTCCTCCCACATTAAGTTTAACCCAGAGATCCTCGCCATTAGATGTTTCCAACTTGTTCACTCGAACCGGCACAGTCCCCGGTCTAGCAGCCACCAGAACGCCACCTCCCGGTCCGCTTCTGTCTCGGCGCACCACACTCCAGCCCGAGGATACAACCTCAGCGTCCTCCACCGAGGAATCCAAAAATGTCTCGGTAGCAACAATAATAGCATGGTCCAGTAGTGACATATTGGTTTTCCATCTATGTAGCTTAGTTTTAATGCCACGAACATTCTGGTAAAATATACTAAACGCAGCCACTGCTCTCGCACGAGGAGAATAGTTCGTTGTGGTAATTCCGCTATTATTCGGCCTTCGGAAGTTGCTTCGCCTGTTCATTGGTGCGAAGTCGACGAAAGGTGATCCATGGCTTGATCCGTGCATTTTCTGGCCAAATCGCCGGTGAAAGAATACGGTCGTAATAGGCTATTGGTACCGCCAGTTTGTATGACCTATATCTGCCCTTAGTTTTCACTTCATCAACGACACATTTTGCCAGGGGACATAGTTGCTGCAAATATGCTGCAATTTCATCAGGGCCGGACTCCATATTCCACAAGTGTATGTTTTTGATCTCTTCGGCCGCCCTGAGAGAAGTAATGTTGGGCCCAGCAGTGCAACGAATAGAATTCTGCCGTTTTTTACGGTTCGGTGGACCATTGACCGTAGGAGTATCAGTTGGAGTAGGAGTACATGTCTGTAAAGACTGAGCCGCTAATGATAATAAAAAAAAAACGTACGTCAAAGGTACATCATCTTCAGTTAATTCCATTTTAATTCTACACGTTTGACGTTGTTGTCAATAGAGAATTCAAAACATATGTACCCCCCCACCGGTGCTGCCCCTAGCGGATTTTTTTTTAATCTTCCCAGGAAAAAGGCTAATACCTAATACGTTTTATTGTATTTGTATTGTAACTTTCGTGAGACATAGGTACTAAATAAATTATTATGTTTTCGGCTTACTCACGTAGTAATTTGACGAGGAACTCGACTAGTTTCAAGCCATGCTAGAGGCTCATATTCATGAGCAGCATTTCGCGACCCGCGACGCGGCGACTGTTGCGCTACTACTCGCGCGACAGTCGCCGCGCAAATAGTCGAGTTCCTCGTCAAATTATTACATGAGTAAGCCGAAAACATAATAATTTCCGTTTTATTATATTCCTGTTGGTTGTTGGACAAGGACGTTGAGAAAATGACGGACATAGTCTTGAACCAACGACTGTGGCACCTGGCTACTATAGACTTACACGCAGAATACACACACATTGACACGAAGGACGTCTGGCGTGTGACATGGCTCGTCATATTTTCTTTATATGGTCTGATGACTTCATACAATACGGTGTTGCAAGCACACACATAAATAATTTATTACACCACTGACATTTTGGCGCTTCCATCATTTCTAAGTTACATTACGTCCGCCATTTTTTTAATATCCTTGGTGCAGGATAGTTTTATTTTGTTTGCAGTTAGAAATTCCACCAATACTTAAGTCAATCAGAACCAGAAATGGTAATTGAAACTGCGTAAGACCGTTCGAATAACGAGGCAGTCAAAAACGAACAGATAATAAAAACATACGGTCGTTTCATTTTAAAAGATAAAAAAACAACATTTTCGTTACCATAAATTAAACTGTCAAACACCAAGCGGTCACCGGTGACCGCAACCTATTGTTCTTTAATACGGTACTCGACGAGTTAAATTAACATTTGAATACGTGCCAAATAGTTCTAAATTCAATTAAAAAATCAGAGAAATAATTATTTTGTTTTTACGAAACAAAAGTTTGGGCTCGTCCGGGATTTGAACCCGGGACCTCTCGCACCCTAAGCGAAAATCATACCCCTAGACCAACGAGCCAGCTACACACGTTGTTCAAATTACTGTTATGTTAATACATAATTATATTATGTTATATTTATAACACAACAAATTGTTATTAAATTTATGATAGACCGATTAGTATCCATATTGTCTCAAAATTATGTTTTAGGAGACTACAAAGATATAACTAACATTATGGCATAGTTTGTTATTTGATTCTTACAATGTGGGTAGCATGTCATTCATCGTGACTGTGACCATCATCAATCTAGACATCCACTAGTCAGGCAGCTATAAAATATCCAAATTTATTTATTCATTAGTTCGTTAGCAACACACGTTTGGTTTGCAAACGTTTGGTCACGACTGCAATAGAAGTGCAATCGGACTGCACATTTGGTTTGCAGTTCAATTGCAATCATGTCAACTGCATTCGAATCAGGGCCGCGCCGCCCCTGTGTGCGAAGTGTGCGGCGCACACAGGCGCCAAGACAATAGGGGCGCCGTGTCGCGCCACCACCTCTACTTGAATTATTTTTGTTACCTTAATTATTATATTTTTGGTAGTAGAGTATCGATAAGTAAGTAGGTACAATAGGCGCAACATAGGTCTTGTATACAACAAAACTTATATTACGCTTATTAAACAAGTCTCTCAATATTTATGTTTATTATTAATCACGTTTATGATTTCATTTTACACTTAGGGTTTTAGTTTACATTACTTACGAGTTACAAGATCAACGTTAAAACGGCGGCAGATCTTTTGAACCACAGATAAAGTAGGGACCTACTAACTAGTAGGTCCCTACTTTATATTCAATACATTATATTATATACATTATATTCGGCGCCTTTATGATTCAATATAACTATATTGAATCATAAAGGCGCCGACTTTGTATGAGTAAGTATGAGTGAGTTTGTGAACGCAACCCGATGCGATGCGTGCGAGGCTATAGGAGTAGGGTCACAGGGATTCCCCGATTTTAACGAACGAGAGAGTCAAGCTAAAACAAAACAATTGAACAATCATTTGATTGAAAGTGTGTGTAAGGTGCGCATTGAACTTTTTACTGACTTTAAAAAAGGAGGAGGTACGTATGTTCGGCTGATTTTTTTTTTCAGTACTCCGCCATATGTGAACCGATTTCGAAAATTCTTGTTTTGTTTGAAAGGGTATACTCCCGAGATGGTCCCATTTCCATGAGGTCAGGATCTGATGATGGGACCCAAGGGAAACCAAGGGGAACTTTTGAAAATTCTATGGGCGAGTACTGCGTCTATTTTGTTTTTCAATTACGATTTTTAAACACTACAATTTGATAAGGGTCTGGATTTGACCTGATGATGGAGCCGACAGACAGTCGAGGGAACTCCTCAGCGTTTTATATTAACTACCTTGTGTTTGTACTAAATTAATCAAGCCCAAGCATAGGGTAGTTAATAAAAACAGCTGAGGAGTTCTCTCGACTGTCTGTCGGCTCCATCATCAGGTCGACTCCAGACCGTTATCAAATTGTAGTGTTTAAAAATCGTAATTGAAAAACATAATAGACTCATTATTCGCCCCTAAAATTTTCGAAAGTTCTCCTCGGTTCCTCTCGGTTTCCCTAGGATCCCATCATCAGATTCTGAGCTCATGGAAATGGGACCATTTCGAGAGTATACCCTTTTAAACAAAATAAGATTTTTGGAAATCGGTGTACAAATGGCGGAGTAATGTGCAAACAAACAAAAAAAATCAATCAGCCGAACATAGCACCTCCTGCTTTTTTGAAGTCGGTAAAAAAGAGGCGCTCCATCGATTCCGCACACAGGCGCTGCCGGGGGTCGGCGCGGCCCTGATTCGAATTACATTCAAATTGCAGTTTCCGATTGGATTGCAGTTGAAATGCGGTCCGTATATCAAAAAGCCTTACAGTAACGTCAGTAAACTTGTATTTATGTAAAAATGGCCAGTACCTAAATAGATTTAAATTATTTCAATTGGGTACTTACCTTAATCAAAAATAAATTATTTAGACTGTTCAATACAATAAAATTTAAAAAAATAATCATACTTTCATTAATTGATTTTATGATCAACTTAATTTTAGTATGTTTCCAGCAATTTTTTAATAAGTATAAGTATATGCTGTTTGACGCTAAAAAACGTGACGTCACAATACACAATCTCGTCCAACATTCATAGAAAACTGTAGTTTTTGACAGTTCGAAAAAGTATTGAATTTGACTAGTTGGCAAGTATTCAATTATGGTGTATTTTCCTATAATATACGACGTCTAGGTAGCGTAAATGGAAATTCAATAATTAAGTAATGCTACTTACTAAAAATAGCGTGACTTTTTATAACCGTAGTGACTACCATTTTTTTAATGTGAATAAAATACAGGTTTTGTGGAATTTCTATAGTTAGGGCCTCAAACGACATAGTACATGGGTACCTATTTAATTTATTGGCATAGTTGTTTCGTATTTACCACGAGAACATATCGTCGAGAGGTTTTTGGATCCGATTCCGCGTTTTTATAAAGTATTCGGTTATAGCTGAAGGTCGGAGCTGAGCTATTAGTTATATATCTTTTCGAAAATTGATAGCTTATAGATAGGCTATGGCAGTAGGTAGGTAGACCGTCCTTCGCTTAAAAAATGGACGTGTAAAAGTGCTACCTTGCATTTTAAATTGAAAACTAGGTCGTAACATGGATCGTAAAAAGAAGTGTGCACTTCTGTAATTGGTTAGGAGATACAGGAAAAAGATACAAAGAAGATTTTGGGAAGATAAGACATTGATGCGTGTTGCGAATCAATTCGCAATTTCTTGCGATGTGTAGAGGGAGCTCGCACATTTTTGCGATGCGACGTCGCATCGCAGTTTTGTGTACAAGCCCTTAGTCTGGAATAGTGGCCATACTCGAAAAACTCTTGGTGTGATACATAAATTATGATTATTCTAGGTTTTTGGAACGATATTCCAATTAAGTACCTACATATAAGCATTCATTATTATTATTGGTCATCGACGTGTAGGTACTAGGATAAGACGTTGATACTATTTGGAATGTTCAGTTCGGTTAATATCTAGGTTTAAACTGCCGGTTCTATTGAATTGTCGGTTTTTACTAGGTATTGTAAGGAAGTATGTTACCTGTGTAGCTAATCGGTAAGTATAATATGTAGGTACTTTAACGTACTTACGTGCGTCTAATTATCTATTAAATCAAAGTTTATTACGAGTATAAAAGTCATAGATAACAAGTAGCAGATACGTATAATGCTGTTTAGATAATGCGTCAAATCTTTTTTTTCAGTGATTGTGTCTAACGGCTTGTCTTATTTGTTTTATTGTGACTATTTATTTTTAGGGGGAAAAATCATTGAATAACTGCTCCCGCCTGGGTGAGGCGGTAGAGTGTCACACTCTTACTAACTAAAAACCACCCCGTTCCTACTCCTGCACTTCAAGCCGGAGTCCCGGTAACCCGTTAGGTTCTCCGCGACAAGTTACATAGGTCTACAGCAGATTGGCTGGCCGTTATAAGTAGGAACAATACAGCGTGTAAGATGCCGTTTCCAAAAGTTGTTGGTTAAGGTCAAGGCTCCTTGGCATCTGCGTGGACTAAACCGGATTAAAATGAAAGCGAGCCTACTTAATTAAATAAAATTAAAAAAAAAACATTTAAGTATGAATTTTTTTTGTCTGCACCTTATTTTACTGCATAGAAATTAGATGCGCATACCAAATCTACTAATCGTTTTGATAATACATTGCCAGTAGTTTTTTTAAAACGTAGACTTCTTAATCTTAATCATTAATACAGAAATCACCACTTCAAGTTAATAAGATTTTACAAATAATTTTACAACACAGATAACGCTAACAATAATGTACTGAATGTGCGATAGCCTAATTTGAGTTCATTACTCGAATGAACAATATTTTGATAGGCTACTGATTGTCAGCTACCTCAGTTCATTATTTATGTAAACCATCGTCTTATTTTGAAACCTGTTTTCTGAGGTATGTGTCTGGGTTACCGTTATCTCAACATTTTTAGCGAAAGTTGGGAGTTTCATCAAAACATTACTACATTCCATTAGTTTTATTATTAGTGTATACATTACCGAGATCAGAGCACACTATTGTAATTTGTATACATTTATTGCGTTTAATTTATTTTTTTAGGTATTCCCGATTCCCGAACGCTGCCATTATCCGACATGATTTGACAACCATATGATTTTGCTTGCTGGCTGTCAAAAGTCAAATTTGTGTCAAATTAGAAATGTGAATTTCGGAAGAAAACGCTTGCGGCATAAATTATTATAAATTAAATAACTAGGGTTTTATGGATAACTAAAAATGAATGTAAATACTAAACAAATAAGTTGATCGTGACATTGCTACAAGTGCATACTAATCGGTAGTGCGCAACGTAAATACTGTTATCGTATGTTCGCATAAGAGCGAAAGAAAGCTGGTTATTGGTATTAGGTCAATGGTGTATGCGTGCCGGTAACGTGAGGCTGGGTGCTGACGTCGGCACAGTACGAGACGCGGCGGGTGCGGGCCCGCGGCCATCAGTTTGCGCCGGTTACATCGCTCGGTTAACACGTCCCGACTAACTAACGGTCGACGAACATCGTGAAAGTTACCTACAAATATACAAAGATGGGCGGAAGAGTAGAAAATGTCGGTATCCTCGCTATGGAGCTGTACTTCCCTTCACAATACGTCGATCAAACGGAACTGGAAAAATTCGACGAAGTATCTACCGGCAAATACACGGTCGGACTGGGCCAGCACAAAATGGGATTCTGTTCAGACAGGGAAGACATAAACTCTATCTGTATGACAGCGTTACACAGGCTTATAGAGAAGAACAATATCAATCTCCATGATATAGGGAGATTAGAGGTTGGCACTGAGACAATCATAGATAAAAGTAAGAGTGTGAAGACTTACCTCATGACCTTGTTTGCTGAGGCAGGAGCCACAGATATTGAAGGTATAGACACAACTAATGCTTGTTATGGTGGAACTGCAGCTCTGTTTAATGCTGTGAACTGGGTGGAGTCATCATCGTGGGATGGTAGGAAGGCCATAGTGGTGGCAGGTGATATAGCAGTATATGGCAAGGGCCCGGCACGGCCCACAGGAGGTGCAGGTGCTGTGGCTATGCTTATAGGTCCCAAAGCACCATTGGTACTGGATTGTGGTGTCCGTGCTTCATACATGACACACGCCTATGACTTCTACAAGCCAGATCTGGCCTCAGAATTCCCATTTGTGGATGGAAAACTATCAATCCAATGCTACCTCAGTGCTTTAGATAATTGTTACAATTTGTATTGTAAGAAGATGAGGAAAGTTGAGCCTGACTTCAAAGGTTTGTTGAGTTTAGATGGTATGTTGTTCCACTGCCCATATAGTAAATTAGTTCAGAAGTCTCTGGCTAGGGTTTGTTTCAATGATTTCCTAAATGCATCCCCAGAACAACGGGAAGAACAGTTCCCAGGCTTATCTAAATTCAGTTCTTACAAATTGGAAGACACATACTTTGATAGAGATGTTGAGAAAGCATTCATGACATATAGCCAAGCTCTCTTTGATGAAAAAACTAAGCCTTCACTGTATATTGCAAAGAATGTAGGTAACATGTACACACCATCATTGTATGGTGGGCTTGCGTCATATCTTATCAGTAAATCTCCTGAGCAATTGATTGGGAAGAAGTTTGCATTATTTTCTTATGGATCAGGTCTTGCTTCAACAATGTACTCGATAAACATATGCAATGACATGAGTGTGGGGTCAAAGTTGGCCAAGTTACTGAGTTCACTGAATGATACTGTGTCTTTATTGAATGAGCGACAGAGTGTGGAACCTAGCAAGTTTTCTGATATCATGGATGTAAGAACTAAGAACTACCACACTGCTCCCTACCAACCGTCAGGTTCAGTAGACATTTTGTTCCCTGGCACATACTACCTTGTCAACATCGATGATCTTAGAAGACGTTTTTATGAAAGAAAAGTTTGAGGCAAATATTTATTTTAGATTAATTTTGTGTGAATTGGTGCAGGAGGTATTTGGTTGTTTTGTTTGAAACTGATTAATTGTAGAATTATTAGAAATTAAGACTGTTATCTATCTAGTTTGCTGTTTATGAAACATGCGTCTCCAAGCTAATTAACAGTGTTTATATAACTGCGACCTATTCACCTCGTAATAAGACATCAGCTTCAGGAAGCGAGTGTACTTTACACTGTATATTTGCACACAAAATCAATAAATATGAATGGACATTACAGTGTTAATATCTCTACCATTATTTATGTATTTTGAATACAAAATGTAGTTATGAATTGTGAAGGTTTGAATTTTTATACGGCTATATTTAAATGGTGTGTGAGGGGTATATGAAAAATGTTTATATTGTAAAGCATGTGTTAAGTTTTTGATGTTTTATTCAACATAATTAAATTAATCAATTTCAGTAAGTTATTTTTTATTTATTGCATTGGCCAAGCTCAAATGTAAACAAATTTATTTTGCATCACACCAAAGCTAAATAGGATTTAATCTATCATGAAAATGTTGATGTTTTAATAATTTCTTAAGCAATTAATTATATTTATATAAGTTGGTATTTCATATTAGTGCAATTGATAAAATGTCATTTAAAAATGTAAAATAGATTCCATGAAATGGACCATTTATTATTTATATTGTCAATAAACTTTTGTGAATTAAAATTATCGTTTTATTGTGTACTGTGTTGTGGTGTTAAAGTAATTGTTTCAGGTCAACTCGTGTTGAATTAAAATAGCTGAGTAATTAACATAAATGGAATCTGCTGTAATTTGCAGTTTAATTACATACAAAAAAATTGTTAAATAATAAATAGTAAACGAGCAGACGGATCACCTGATGGTAAGCAATCGGCGTCGCCCCATGGACACTGGGCGTTACCGGCCTTTTGGGGATTGTTGGGGATTTAGGGATTGGGGAGAATGGGGGGGGGGGAGAATTGGGCCTCCGGTAACCTCACTCACACGAAGAAACAACGCAAGCGTTGTTTCACGTCGGTTTTCTGTGAGGCCGTGGCTTCACTCCGATCGTGACGAAGCATGGCTCTGTCGCATTTAAATATTCTTATATAGTCATTACTCATGTTTAACACAAGAAAATAACAGACAAAAGTTACGAACATAATTTACTGTTATCAATTCAAGAATTAATTATCAAATTGAGATTTTAAAAGTACATTGTCAGTAATCGATAATTTTTAATAGCCTTTTTATCTCATGTTGCTTTGGCTACAATTTAATACAATCGGTAACAAAATAGTTTACCTACCTTTTTATCAAAATTACGCAACATGTATAAGCGCCTCGTTAGCCGAGTGGTCGCAAGTGCGACTGCCGGGCAAGGTCTTGAGTTCGATTTCCGAGTCTGGCAAACTATTACTAGGTTTTTCTCAGTAGTACCTAGCACGGAGTCTGGAATTGTGCCCGATATATATGGCAATAGGCTCACCCCTTATTTTTTTTTTTTTTATAAAACGTTGCCCCACTCTAAGGTTATCTTCTGTGTCGTGGGTGCGTTTACAAACACACAAGTTCACATACACATAACACCCAGACCCGGAACAACAATTTGTGGATCACACAAAGTGTTGTTCCGTGCGGGAATCGAACCCGCGACACGTTGCACGGCAGCCGGTTGCCCAGCCATCGCACCAACCGTGCAGTATTACATGGGACTCATAACATAAATAGTGTAAAGTGAGTGTTACATTGTACAGTGGCACAAATTGCCGTAATGTGCACCTCTGTCTATCCCTATAGGGATTAAAGGCGTGACGTAATTTTATGTATAAGGTGTATAGCTACCTATATATATTTTATTTACTAGATACACTCCTCGGGTTCACTCGCTCCTCAGCTCATATCAACTGTAACGTGATGTTTTATAGTTTTTTAGCCTTCCTCGATAATAGACTATCCGACATAAAAAGAATTTACAACAACATATTATAGGCTACATATTAATGAATTCAAGATAATTATCTACCTATAATTTTTCATACATAGCATACCTAAATTACTTTCATTAAACAACATAATAAAAGATAATTATCATTGTTTGTTATGTTAAAAGTTTAGTAAGTTCATTTAGAGAAAACTGTGTTAATTTTCAATAAATCATAATTCAAAAGGAAGACAAAAATTTACTACTAATGTAAGAACTACCTACCCTACCCTACCTATAAAATAATTAGCCCCTTCCACGCTGTTTCACTCACTCTGCCTCAATAAATGAACTATGCAACATTACGCCATTAGCGCTTGTCTACAGAGAGTAGACAGAGAGAGTAGAAAACTAAATGTATGGGGATGACACTGACAATTAGTTTTAAAGTTTACGTCAATTCCATATAATTTAGTTTTCTATTCTACAAGTAGACAAGCGCTAAATGGAATTTGGCTACAGCTGCTGATCAGTAATTCCGTAGATTAGCGCGTTCAAACAGCTTTATAATAATAAAAAAAATAAAAAGTATATTAGATTTACGTACAAATCCTGCCTGGCGAGAAATTATGGAACGAATTAGGTTTGCGTGTTAGATACAGTAGTACTTTCTTACCTTTATAATGATTCCAAGAAATAACAACGTAGCTACTTACGTGTACCTAATTTAAAACTATTTTAACGACTTATAAAGGCGATACTTTAAACTGATGCATGCTTTGCAGCAGGTAGGTGTACAGGCGAGCCCGCATGATTTGACTATCAATATCATTCGACATTCCAATTATTGACACGAACATACAGACTCGCGGTCTAAGCCCCCGGTTAGATTTAACTGTGATTGGTGGATTTGTGGTAGGTACGGTAGTAGTGTGGTAAGTGGTTATTAATAAAGATACAGATTGTTTTAATAGGTAGTGGATATTAACTGCGTAGTTACAATTCGCTGCTGTGTGACCTATTTTTGCAGGTTCGAATCTCGTACGAAATTTTTAAAGTTCGCTTTCGGTTCTGGGTGTAATTTTTTCTTTTTTTTATTTATTATAAATAATCTTCCTACACTCTACAGGATTTTCCCAATTCAACAGTAAGGCTTAATCTGTTTAGTGGAAAAAAACATTTTTAAATTACTAAAAAGAAGTTACACAACGAGAAAATAGAAATAATATGGTGTCTTTGTGTGTATGTGAAAGACTACAGACTGACATACTATTATTTATTTTAATATAATTATAAATATCGAGTGAATAGGTTGCTTATGGGTTGACGTGCTCCATCGTATACCGCATTTCAACACTTCCACCAGGCGAGATAGTGGTCAAACATCGGCCCATCAAATATATAAAAAAAATGTTTTATATATACAATTTGTTGACGTTTCTAAAGTCCAAATAATGGTTTAATTAAAAAAAAAAAAGTTGCCGCACACTAGGATTTTCCCCTGTATCATGGGTGCGTTTACAAACACACAAGTTCACACCCAGACCCGGAACAACAATCTGTGAATCACACAAAGAGTTGTTCCGTGCGGGAATCGAACCCGCGACACGTTGCACGGCAGTCAGTTGCCCAACCACCGCACCAACCGTGCAGTTAATTGAAATGCTTTAGAATTTTTTTTCAGAATTTTTGTTAGTTTTTAAATGCACTCACGCACGATACAGCAGAAAATATTAGAATGTATATAGATACTACGTAATTCTTAAGTAATTAATCATCAGATCACTCATTCACAGGGGTCACAAGGAATCAGTCTATGATCAATAATTATATTATATCTCTGTTTACTATATAAACGTAGGCTTAAGTATGTCCACTTGATAACCTTTAAATATGTAGCAGAATTACAAGGAATCAGTTTTAAGGTTAGTCTTATTAAATATATAATTACTTAATAATTAAGTTTGAAGGCAAGGACGTTAAAAAAATGGTTGACACAGTCTCTTGAAACAACGATTGTGGCACCAGCAGCTGTAGCCAAATGCCATTTAGCGCTTGTCTACATGTAGAATAGAAAACCAAATTAGATTTGACGTAAATTGACGTAATTTTGACACTTGTCAGTGTCATCCACATATATTTTGATTTCTACTCTCTCTCCATGTTCGTGGTGGCCCGGAGGTTTAAGACGCCCACTTCTCATGCATGAGGGTGCGGGTTCGAAACCTACCAACGGCAAGTACCAATGTGACTTTTTCCGAGTTATATGTACTTTCTAAGATTATTTAGACACCACTGACAAACGGTGAAGGAAAAACATCGTGAGGAAACCTGGACTTATAATTTCTAATTATAAGTTTGAAATCGCCAACCCGCATTGAGCAAGCGTGGTGATTAATGCTCTAACCTTCTCCGTGTGAGAAGAGGCTTTGCTCAGCAGTGGGCATTTATAGGCTGTTGATGATGATGATGATGACTATCTCTCTATTACAACCGCTAAAGTGGCGTTTGGATAACGGCACGGCTACTCTTTTTTCTTCTTCTTTGGCAACAGAGTTGTGGCAACCTGCAATACGACCTGGCTACTCTATAGTTACACGCAGAACATAAGACACGAAGGACATCTGTCATTTTCTTAACACATAATTATAACCACTGATATATTTGGTGCTTCAATCATTTCTGATCTGAGTGACATTAAGTCAGCATTTTATTCAATGTCCTTGTAAGAAGGTATGTCTTATTCCGGTTTCATATGCCATGTTCTGGATAGCCACTATTCATCAGATAAGAAATGGAACGTAACGTAAACCTATCCTATCTCGTCTTTCAATACCCAAATCATACGACAACGAAATACAATCAAAGTTATACATAACATAACATCACGCCTTTTACCCCCGAAGTCGTTGGTAAAGGTGCACATTACGGCACTTAATACCACTGAACAATGTGACACCCACTTTTCACTATTTATGTTATGAGTCTCATGTAATAGGGGGTGAGCATGTTGCCATATAGCGGTCACAATTCCAGCCTCCGTGCTACTACTGAGAATTAAAAAAAAGCCAGTAATACTTGTCTCGATACGGCTATCAAACCCGAGACCTCTTGCCTAGCAGTTGCACTAACGACGACTCGGGCAACGAGGCAGCCTCCAAAGTTAAGTCGTGGAGAACCTAATGGGTTACCGTTACCGGGGCTCCGGCTCAAAGTGCAGGAGTAGAAACGGGGTGGTTTTTAGTCAGTAAGAGTCTGACACTCCCTCCCGTCTCATCCAGGCGGGAGCAGTCGACGATTCGATGATTTTCCCCCCTTAAAAATGTTTCCAAAGTTATATTTAATCTAGTCGTGGCTGTAAGTCGTGGTGGCCCGGAGGTTTAAGACGCCCACTTCTCATGCATGAGGGTGCGGGTTCGAAACCTACCAACGGCAAGTACCAATGTGACTTTTCCCGAGTTATATGTACTTTCTAAGATTATTTAGAGACCACTGACAAACGGTGAAGGAAAAGCATCGTGAGGAAACCTGGACTTATAATTTCTAATTATAAGTTTGAAATCGCCAACCCGCATTGAGCAAGCGTGGTGATTAATGCTCTAACCTTCTCCATGTGAGAAGAGGCTTTGCTCAGCAGTGGGCATTTATAGGCTGTTGATGATGATTTAATCTAGTAATTACATAGCTATGTGTAATATTATTATTATTGGCAAAGTCCGTAAGAAAATCTGCCCGGTAATGTATCTGTCTGGACGTGATTAATGTGATAATTATTCAAACAAACATTTGAAGGTCATTTAATAATATTGTACAATAACAATAGAGATAGAATTTACATTTACGTAGTAAATAAAAATAGACAACAATTTAAATAGACGTCACGCCAGGATAGCTGAATCAAAATTACAAGAAACCGAATTTGACAAGCATTTACTTAGTTTCACATTAATAACATAACATAACATCACGGGTTTCGGGTTCGATTCCTAGGTCGGGCAAAGTATAATTGGGTTTTAAAAAAATCTCAGTAGTTCATCATCCAAATAGGGATTTTAATTGAACGGTTTAGCACTGCTTCATTAGGTCAGTGGTTGCGAGTGTGACTGCTGGGCAAGGGGTTTCGGGTTCGATTCCAGTGTCGGACAAAGTAGGTATTACTGGGTTTTTAAAAAATTGTCAGTAGTAGTTCGGAGTCTGGAATTGTGCCCGGTATATGGCAATAAGCTCACCCTCTATTACATGGGATTCATAACATAAATAGTGAAAAGTGGGTGTTACATTGTACAGTGGCATAATATGTGCACCTCTGCCTACCCCTTCGGGGATAATAGGCGTGTTCTTATGTTATGGCTATAAACTTCAACGAGGATTATTCCTGTTTCCAACGAAATGCTCTCATTTTAAAGGTAACTAAATTGCCTTTTATACGACATAGGTACATTTCCAATTAATAAAATACTTGTATTAGAAAATATTTATAAAGAAATGAACAAGAAAAAAATTGTGTAGATATTTATATAAATAAAGATGAAAACGCTAACGTGTTGCGTGGGGTCGCGTCAGCAAATAACTTTGATGACCGGGACTGATTATTGCATGCTTCAGAAGCCTTATCTTTGAAAAATAATCTTTACAATGATCCAATACAAAGCCAGGTTATCAAGATAAGTGGGCCTTTATTAGTGTTCCCATTGTGCCTAAGTCCCTCTCTAGTAATAAAAACAGGATGTGACGAAGATACCAAAAATAGAACGTATTTAATCTTCTTTTTTTGACGTCAGTGTAAAGTATTGAAATTGAAATCGGTTATTGAAGAGTACTTTTCTGTTTGTTTCGTTCTTGACATGTTTATTATTCTATACTAGCTTTTACCCGCGGCTTTGCTCGCGTCACAAAAGGATAAAAAGTAGCCTATGTGACATATACTGATACACACAGCGCCATCTATACCAATAATTTCGTTTTCCCTCGAGAATATAAATTTTTCTGGGATAAAAAGTACCCTATTATTTAATCCAGACTTCTAACTTTACGTCTGCAAAAATTCAAAGCAATCGGTTTAGTAGTTACGGCGTGAAAGCGGAACAAACAAACAAACTCACTTTCCGATTTATAATATTAGTAAGGATGTATAGGTACATATTTTAATCCCTGAATGCTGAAAGGGTAGGCAGAGGACCAGAGGTGCAGCTTTGTGCTACTAATCCAATGTTCATTTTTTTCCCTGCATGCATGGTTGCATATCAAATAACTTGGCTGATTGTACTCAAACGACTGCACGGTTGGTGCGGTGTGATCCACAAATTGTTGTTTCGGGTCTGGGTGTCATGTGTATGTGAACTTGTATGTTTGTAAACGCACCCACGACACAGGAGATAATCCCAGTGTGGGGCAACGTTAAAAAAAATACTTAAGGGAGAGAAGTAATTCCTTACTACTCCTTTTCCGTTCATGCAGTGAGACTGTGGAATGCGCTCCTGCCTAACATTCGGGACGCTGAGTCTATCGCTATCTTTAAAAAACGAGTGAGAGAACACTACCTTTCCTCCTGATATGTAAATTTCTTCATTTATATGTATAGTTTATATTTTGTATGTATTTATTTATATATTGTATGTAGTTGTTTGGTTATTTATCTGTTAGTTTTAAATCTGTTTCCTATCCCAATTTTCTATTTGTTACTACACACTGTGTCATTATATTATTATTACTTTTCCTGCTCCAGGTCCACAGGAAGAAATTCCAATAGGAATATGTGGTACCTTTGTACTTTAATTTTATGTATGTGTTGTCCTTTATGTTGTATGTGTGTACATAAATAAATAAATAATAAATAATTTCCTACGCATTGTTATAAGTTCTGTCTGTTATTCTAGAAGCCTATACGTTTAATTTTTTTATGGGCGTCAACCATCCAATATCTTCTGCCGCCTTGGGTGAGGCAGTTTCAGACTCTTATCACAGAATACTAACTTATTGACTAAAAACCCCCTCGTTCCTACTCCTAAAGGATACCCGATAGGTCGTCCGCTGCCCTTGAGAAACCTACATGCTACACTTAAAGTGAAAATTAAGACAGAACCGTAACTAACATCATTATACAAATTATATTCCTTGTTAGGCACCTTCGCATACGTATCTAAACACTTATATATAAATTGCAGTTCCGATAATAATACATACCAATATAAATGGCCATTAACTGGCTTATAAATAATGGGTTTCTTTATCGAAATCAAATATTTGCTTTTATCGGATTATGTCCGTGTTGCAGTGACGTCACAATGCGGCTAATAGCTTGAGATTGTTAGGTACAGGCGACCGCAGGTCAAGCTACACTCTAACTAGTATAGTTTTCAACTTTATGCCTAAAGTGATAAAGTAGAATATCTTTTGCAGGAATTTGGCAGTTTAGGATAAGTTGTGGTGCTGGTCTGCAATATCGTTGAATAATTGGGTTGTGTCGTACTCAGGGGTCAAAAGCCAGTCGTTGATTTGTTTTGATTATTGCCCAACGTCTGACCCTGCCAGACTGTATTTAATTTTATTGTTTACAAAATAAAAACACGCATTTTATAGTCTTTGTAGATATTAAATAAGTATAAGTGCTATAAAAATGTTTAAAGAGTAACTATAAAGACTGTATACAATAAAATTTCATTCACACGGGGTCATGAACCTAATTTGGTGTAATGTAAATAATACGATTTCTTTGTTTTTTTTTATTTATTTGATCGTTGTAAACATGACATGATGTGTATTTCTTTATGACACATATTCTATTCTACACATAAAGGAGTAATAAACAAATATACCTACACACTTTCGCATTCTTATATGAGTAGATAAGACAAGTAGTAGATGTGTCTTGGGCTTGGCCTTCTCGTCTGGCCTGACTCACAGGAGTTAAATCAATATATCGTCGAAAGTATTTTATTAAAGTAAGGATATAAAAAATACGTTTCTAATGTTTTAAAATAATCTACCAGACAGACATTAAAATAAAAATTAGTTATGTACCCTATAAATAGGTACAATTTGGCAGTTACCTTATTTGAACTATTAGGTAACACGTTTGGGAAAACCGCAAATGGTTGAACAATAAACACACATAAAATACCTACATTTAACTTTAGTAGGTAGGTTATAAGTACCTACCTATGTTAATATAGCAAATAGAATCAGGCGATGTGATATGCGTAAGTAAATAAAATCAACTTGGCTATTGACATGAACCGCTTAGCGGTACAAAATTGGATAGTTTCCAGGGTATCAAAATTAAAAATTAATCCGTCAGTTAGATAATGCAAAAATATTAGACACATTTTTTTATTTTCTCGTATTAAGTTGCAATACTTACATAAAATGGCGCTAAGTTTAGGAGTGGGAGGTCGTTACGTCATAACGTGCTACAAAATGTACACGATATTTCAAATTATTATATCGTCGAAAGTATTTAATTTTGGGAGAAAAGAAAAAATACGTTGTTAAAGTTTTAAATTAATGTACTAGACGGACATTAAAATAAAATTTAGGAAACTACCCTATTGTCACACGAAATATTTGTACATAATCACAATGTGAGCATTTTTAATATTTACAGCTATGTCAGCTATGGAGGAATAAGGGACGATTCCACAGTCACAAGAGGCCAGAACGGTAAAAAAGCTTGTTTGGAAACTAATGGAAAAGTAGTTTTAAAATGAATTGTACTTAAATAAGGCTGCAATCACAAGGACCTATCTGCCGATAGATTTTTTTAAGGGGGAAAGTCATCCAATTTCTTCTCCCGCCTTGGGTTAGGCGAAAGGGAGTGTCAGACTCTTACTGACTAAAAACCACCCAGTTCCTACTTCTACTCTTCAAGCCGGGGCCCCGGCTACCCGGCTAGGCGTTCCGCGGCATCAGACCTATTAGACCCCATCTTTGGTGGTCTGATGGCACTTTGAAACTGCGCAGACCGCGATGCGCCGTACGCACGGGTCTGGTACTGATCGGGCGGCGAGTTACCGTTGCTCACCGTCCGCGGACCCGGACTTATGGTGGCCGAAGATCATCGCGCAAAATAATGGGAATTTAACTATCACATTTTCAACCAGGATTTAAGTTAAAAATCTATTAAATAGATAAGTCATTAAGAATTATTAAGTGTGGGAGAGCCATGCTTCGGCACTAATGGGCCGGAGTGATACCACGGCCTCACAGAAGACCGACATGAAACAACGCTTGTGTTCTGTTTCGTCGCATGAGTGAGGTTACCGGTTGCCCAATAACCCCTCTTCTCCAATACTCAATCTCTGAATCCCCAACAATCCTCAAATTCCTATTCCTAATCCCAAACGGCCAGTAACGCACTTGTAACGTCTCTGGTGTTCCACGTGTCCATGGGCGACGCCGATTGCTTACCATCAGGTGGTCCGTCTGCTCGTTTACCGGCTTGCCATAAAAAAAGAAGACCAGTCCTATGGCGAAAGAATCAATTCACAAATAGACTTAGGTACCAGTACCTACTTTAAAAAGTTGGGATTAATGTTAATCTATCTTTAAATAATTTATTGCATTCGATGCAACCTATCGTTAATACACAGATTAAAACACCTTCTTTATTATATATCTCCATTATCTCAAGTCGGGTATTATTAGAAATACTTTTAATCTTATTTTTGTTTAATTGCTTATGTATATCGCTAGAACATTCCGTGAATGAAAATATTATCTGTAGTATGAAATATGAATGGGTTACTTACATGTATGACGAACATGCCCGTTTATTTTTTTACTTTTGTCGTTTATTTATTTAGGGTCAGTCAGGCATCTAGTAGCTAGATCCTATTATAGAACCTGTAAACACAAACTTTGTGGCCACAACCAAAAGGTTAACATTATTAACTAAACGAAAATGTAGGTATTTAAAATTGTCGCGGAGAAACTAACGGGTTGCCGGGGGTCCGGCTCGACGTGCAGGAGAAGGAACGGGGTGGTTTTTAGTCAGTAAGAGTCTGACACTCCCTCCCGCCTCACCCAGGCGGGAGCAGACATTCGATGATTTTCCACCTTAAAAAAAAGGTATTTAAAGTTTTAACGCAGTCGTTAAAACTTTTAACGAAGTACAGTTACTTCGTTAAAAATTTATGTTATCTATGATCATACATCGATAGCTTGCAGCGTGACGATTTTACCCACTACTAGCCGACCCGACAGACGTTGTCCTGTATATCCACGTGAATGTACCTAAATATATAGAAATATTAATTCAAATTAGTTCAGCCGTTTAGGATAGGTAAAATAACCTAGACATCGACTGCAGCGCCATCTGCCGGGCTGATTTGTGAATCTAAACCATTCCCAGATCCCCTTGAACACACACAAAAAATTTCATCAAAATCGGTAGGTACAGTCGTTTGAGAGAAGTTTAGTGACATAAACACTCACAGAAGAATTATATATATATATATCATGCAGACTATGGGTTCACTTCTTGAATCACTTTAAGCCAAAATACACTTTGAAAGCGATGGGGGTATGAGCAACATGACCGCCTATGCGACGATTGTTCTTGCTTCGTGTTAGCGGAGGATTTGTCTTCAACAATATTCTAGTGGCAGTCAAAGACTCTCTATCGTTTTTACTACAAGTGGAAACTATCGTTTTCTTTCTTCTCCCCTTATAATATCGTCTGATTGCGGGAACCAAGACATTTATTCATGTCCCTGGGACGCGCCGAACCTCAGTGTTCCGGTGTTTTCATGGTTGTAGCAGTTTTTGGGAGGTTGTGGCGGGCTAAAGCCAAAGACTTAAGATCAATTTATTGACAGTAACTCTATGAACATAACTAATATAAAAAATCTTAATCCAATTAATAGGTACTTGATCTTTCTGTACGTTACCCATTACGGGTCTTAGAAAAGGTCAAAAGTTTGTTATTCAGATAACATTACTATGTTCTCCAACAAAACAAAGATCGAGAATTATCTATCGCGGTTACCTATAATTCTAAATAGTTGAACTTAGATAAATATTTTCTACGTATGTACCTATCAAATGTATCTATCTATTAGCAAATTCAGACAAAGAGTTTCATCACACTGTTCTGCTTATACCACAGAAATATTAAAAAGATTCTTTATTACACTGTCTTTATTAGATTGCCTCGTTGGCCGAGTAGTCGCAAGTGCGATTGCCGGGCATGGCAGTCTCGGGTTCGATTCCCGGGTCGAGCAAATGTACTACAGGGTTTTTAAAAAATTCTCAGTGGTGACACAGAGTCTGGAATTGTGCCCGATATATGATGTAGTGTGTGTGACACCTCGCTCTATAAGTAAGTGGTGTAAGTTAGTTATTAAGACACTAAAGATATTCGTAACAACAACACGTCTCCCTCATTACTCCACATTGCATGGCAATCCTGCCAGGATAGAGAATAGGCTCACCCTCTATTACATGAGACTCATAACATAAATAGTGAAAAGTGGGTGATACATTGTACAGTGGCATTAAATGCCATAATGTGCACCTCTGCCTTCCCCTTCGAGGATAAAAGGCGTGTTGTTATTAATTTAAAAAAAATCTTTATTACATCTTAGGATATAGGCTTATACTAAATGTAATCCACGTTAGACTAGTAAGTTAAAGCCGGAATGCTGAAAGACTACTCAAATTTATTTGTGCTTAAATATCGTGCCGTCTCTGTCATTTTACACAGCATTTATAGTGACAGAACTATAGTTAAGCGCACCGCACATCCCGCCACCGCTGCACACCTGGAGCAATAGCTCTTAGAGATCATCAGCGCCGTCAGCCCTGTTTATGTTGGACTTGCAATCGTTCCCGAACCAGTACCAGAACCAACTGAAGAATTAGTGCTGGATGTCCCCGAATCTGACTTCGGTGCCGTCATTAACCCCGTTGTCCCCTCCCCTGTCGTGGTTGGACCTGACTCTGAAGGTGCGCCTTCTCCCCTTGTCCAGATCATCGTGAACATCAACGAGGCTTCAAAACCTGAGCCCGTTCTCGTTGCCCCCGTTATTGAGCCTAAATCTGAGACTGTTAACATCAATGTTAAAGTGGAGCTTACTCTTGAATCTAATGCCGGTCGATCGACATTGGTATTGTTAAATCTCGTACCCTTGAGTTGCAACACTAGCGCCCATTGCATCCGGATTGCGTGGATATTTAATGAACTAAATTGTTTTTGTTTTGAGTTTGGCTTTATATTCCGTATTCGGGATTGTATTTTAACAGCTACGATAGGGGTTGTATAGTTTTGACATTGAATAATTATTGAGATTTTATTGGATTGAAATTATTTTGATATTGAGATTGGTTTCAAGAGTAAGCACCTGGGTCGTTGATGATAAGCCCGAGCCAGTTGTGAGCTTGAACCAGTGCCCGAGCCCGTCCTCGTTGAGGTCCCCATTATCTCCCAACCCGCTGTCCTGCCTGATGAGCTCAACTAAACAACTGGACCACTGATTTTGTATCTTTACACTGATTGTCATCTAACGGAATGTACAAATTCGAGCGTTATTGATGAAGTTCAAATATATTATTGTTTAAGTTTTGTACTTATTTTTTTTATTTTAAGTAAATTTCGTTGACTAACTCGGTTTTTATTTTGGTGATGACGGGGTCACCTTCGAAATGCGTTTAGGAAAAAATATTTTTTACTTTATTCGAATCACCCTAGTGGGCCACTAGACTTTATAATAGTTTATAATTAGGTATTTATCCCCTATAGTGTCTTCTAAACAATAACTGACATACATACACTCTGGGGATAGACTAAATAGTTCTCCTGCGTACGTTGCTTTACTCTTTTACATATTTAATACAACATAGCATGTAGCTAAAATTGTATCATCTAAAGTGCAACTAGACATTTTGCTCAACTAAAATTTTCAGGCGGTTCAAATATTTAAGTTATTTTTCTTTTGTATTTATTGCATGTAACCTATACACTGTGTCTTAAGTTTATATTCCTTTTCCTGTCGCAGGTCTGCAGGAAGAAATCCGTTAAGGGATATGCAGTACTTTATGTACCATGTACCTGTCAACGGGGGCAAAGGCGGTACCACCTCTAGGCAGGGGAAAGTCAATCCATGCGGGACCGACGGCAACGGGTTCAGTTCTCAAAGATGGCGGGTCCAATGGCAACCGGTTCGAAAGATTTGATGACGGTAGGTCCAGATGCGGGAGCTAAGCTAGCAGGGCCAGGGGCCACCAGGCCGCGGTGCGCAAGCAGAGCGACAGCTACTGCGAGGACGACAACGAACGACAGCAGGAACTTCATTGCTATGGACCACATCTCGAATTACATGATTATAAAGAACGAAACATTACGAAAATAACATTCTAGACATATAAATGGCGTACATACATAACAACAGATGATAATATTACCGTGACATTGCTATGGTCACTTTCAGGTAGATGAATTGGATAAATATACATAATGGAATCTGCTGTTATGTATGTACGCCATTTATAATATAGATCATGAGGTTAACTACAAAGTATCCTAATATACGTATGATGCGTAGATATATAAAAGTATTATATCTATGGTATGGGTATGACGTAATAATTATCATAAATAAATATTATACTATGAATTACTTAAGTACTTGTTTTGTTGCACTTGTGTTTTATCGCATTTACAGCTTTTTATATAATTTTTATTAGGTATCACATCATTATGATAGTTCGATTTTAAACTAATTGCACAATGCATACTAACTTTTGTCAGTTACTGTGACATAAAATGTTCTTTATAACCTAAGCTTGATTCAGGATGCTGCTTAATTCAGTGAATATTTATTGATTATTCTACAATACTTAAAGTAAAATATCATTTTTTTTTTACAAAAAGAACTAATTCAACAATCCTTAGATTTAAGAGCCTTGTGTACTCCATGGCCCATGCCGCATTAGATGCTGACAAAACTAACCACAAATCCTATACATCGAACGATAATTTTGATATGGAAGTAGATATCCAGTAGTGTTGGAGATGGAGACTTTTAAACAAATTGACCTTCAGACTTGTACTACAAATTCTTCTTTATCATTTTTAGAATTAGGGAAATTAAAACCACCAATCATATAAGGTTTTTTTAGTCATTAATAAACCGACACACCTGCAGTTGTAGCCAAATGCCATTTGGCGCTTGTCTACAGAAAACCAAATTATATGGAACTAGCTTTTACCCGCGGCTTCGCTTGCGTCACAAAAGGATAAAAAGTAGCCTATGTGACATATACCAATACACACAGCGCCATCTATACCAATAATTTCGTTTTCCCTCGAGAATATCAAATTTTTCCGGGATAAAAAGTACCCTATTATTTAATCCGGACTTCTAACTTTACGTCTGCAAAAATTCAAAGCAATCGGTTTAGTAGTTACGGCGTGAAAGCGGAACAAACAAACAAACAAACAAACTCACTTTCCGACTTATAATATTATATAGTAAGGATTGACGTAAATTTTGTCACTTGTCAGTGTCATCCCTATCTATACATTTTGATGTGGTGGTGTAGTGGCGTTTGGCTAAAGGCCTTGAGATTGAACGTATCTTTAGGTTACGGTAACTGCTTTCTATCAACCGGACTATAAGAACCGTAAGCTCGTTTTCTACTTCAGGATATAAAAAAGGTTAACAAGTACTTTGTACAACAAATACAAGCCGATAAATAAAAGTAGGCGGCCAATAATATTTATGTATGCACTTTATTCACGACGCAACAGTGATGGAAAATGGATTAAATATTCTAAGACTTATTGATATAAAACCAACGTACCGAATACCAAATCATAAATAAACAAAGCCTATCAGAGAAACGTGTTGCCGGAACATTTATAGTTCTGCCACGATACTGTAGATTTATTACAACAATACAAAGATATCATTTATAACTGATAGTGATGTCTAGCGCAATAGCTTACACGAGTATTGTTTTGGTAGCAAAATAATGAAAAAAGGTTATTACATAACATAACCTCACTCCTTTTATCCTCGAAGGGATAGGCAAAGGTGCACATTACGGCAGTTAATACAATGTAGCATAAGCATAACATCACGCCTTTTATCCCCGAAGGATAGGCCGACCGAGGTGCACATTACGGCACTTAATGCCACTGTACAATATAACACTCACTTTTTACTATTTATGTATTAGTCCCATGTTATAGGGGGTGAGTCTAAATGCCATATACCGGGCACAATTCTAGACTCCGTGCTACTACTGAGAATTAAAAAAAGACCCAGTAGTACTTTGCTCGACCCGGGAATCGAACCCGAGACCGAGGTAGTCGCCCTTTCGATACCTCGGCCAACGAGGTAGACGGTAGTTGGTATGTATTCATATGCATGTAGTAAAAAGCGGTTATTTCAATATTACAAACAGACACTCATATTAATCTGTATAGAAGACAACTGCAGTTATGATGATAGAAATGAATGTGAGAAGAATATCTAAATGATGAAATTACTGGCTCATAAACCCGATAAGTAACATTCAGGACAGGCATTACAGAAGGAAAGGCAGACGCAAAAATTTTAAATATAGAACCCAGTTTTTGGGGTGTTGTGTTATTTCACATGCCCCAAGGGCCCAAGGGCTCATTTCTAGAGTCAGTGATAAGTAGGTACTACAGAAAATATGGATAACAGAAAGCGTAACACAATATCTCGTGGATGATACATACATTTAACAGAAAGATCAGAAAACACGTCTCCGATAGAATCAGTGCAACTTCTATAAGTAAATATTCCTTGCTTCTGTATATTATAAGTACCTATAAAATATTTAGAACAGAACAGAAAAGAACAGAACGGAGCAAAACAGAACAGAACAGAACAGAATAGAATAGAATAGAATAGAATAATCTTTATTGCACACCATTAGTAATACAGTACACACAGAAAAAAGAAATGACAAACATAAATAAATAATAATAATGGGTACAAATCCGGTCTTAACAATTATAGTGATGTCTACCAGACAACCATTGGGTGGATATTGCAAAAGAAATTACATGGGGAATTACAAAAATAAATAAATAAAATTTAAATCGTAGCTCCACAATAATCAGAAGCTATCATAAACGTATTTGGGCTTCATACAGGAACAAAGCAATCCCGTTAACTAACAATAAATTATTATATCGTTTTATCGTCTTGTCAGATAAAATTTTAGTATAAAATGTCACGAAATGAAAAAGAAAATCAATAGATACTTTGTATCTCGCAGCTATAACAAGCAGCATATAAGTAAGTAAATTGCAATTATTCTATTTCTAACTTATTTCTTTTCTCCGCTCTTCTATCTTCTGAAATCTCTTTTAATCATGCATGAAGTCTTCTTGTAATGTCACAGAGTTTATGTTATTATTCTGCTCTTTTGTTATTTGATCTTAATGTAGCACAAATAACCAAAAAATGTTCTAAAACCTTCTATATACAGAAAATAACATTAGCAGGACTACCTTTCTAATTTTGAAAAGATTGCGATCGAAGTAAATGCAAAGACTTTTTAAAATAATTTTTGCAATAGTATGACAATAACTCCCGTTTCCAGAAATGAAATTCTTGCTGTCTTTCGCTGCCGTCATCGCCGTGGCCGTCGCCGTGCCTGCGCACCGCGGCCTGGTGCCCGTTGGACCCGCTGGCCCCGTGCCAGCTCCTGAGGCCCCTGAGGTCGTCGAGCCCATCGCTATCGGACCCGCTATCATTGGCTCTTTCGAGCCCGTGGTTATCGGACCTGCTATTGTTCCATCCCCTGAACCCGTTGCCGTTGGACCTGCCTGGGTTGACGCCCCCGAACCCATCGCCATCGGACCCGCCATCATTGAGAGCCCAGAGCCCGTTGCTGTCGGACCCGCATGGATTGACTTCCCCCATCCCGATGGTGGTGCTGCCTCTGCCCCCGTTGAGCCCTCTCCCGTGGCTGTCCTCCCCGGCCCCGTGTCCTCTGAAGTTGCTTCTGGTACTCCCCTCGTTCAGATCATCCTGAACATCAACCAGGCTTCTGCTGCCCCTAGCCCCGTCGCTGTTGGCCCCGCTGTCGCCCCTGAGGCTATCGTGCCCACACCCGTCCACGTCGTGGATGTTGCCCCTGAACCCGTGCACGTTGTCGAAGTCGCCCCTGAGCCCGTCCAGGTTATCGAGGCCGCCCCCGAGCCCGTCCAGGTCGTCGAAGCCGCCCCTGTACCCGTTGAGCCCGTCGTCATCGGAGTCCCCATCCTCCCCGAAGCCGTCGTCGCTCTCCCCGAAGCCCTGAACTAAACGCCTACCATCCCGACGAGCCACTGCGCATGACAATGTAACATCTAAAATTGTTTCAACTATTTACTTGGACTTTCTACCATCACCTTGAAACGCTTATATGTCCATTATTGAGATACATTAAAAGACCTAAAATGTAAATATTTTGTTTTCTTTCATTATGTTAAAGTTATTGTCAACGAAATACAATATGTAGTTGAAAAGATTTCAGTGGGATAACCTAAAAAGGACTGTCAGCGGGAATCTGATTCTGGAAATAAGTCTTGTAGTGAAAGAAAAGCTGTATGGTATTTTATTTCGTGTACGTACTTGATTGCATACAGTTTTTGACAGTTCGAAAAAAGTATTGAATTTGACTAGTTGGCAAGTATCCAATGGATTATCTATACAGTTTTGTGATGATTAGATGGAATAGAACGAACTTTAGCCTAAAGCCAAGCTACTTTGTGACACCCGATTTATTGGTAGGTACGTATTAGATATGATAGCACCTTTAGCAATATTTGGCTGTATAATATTTTATCGTTCACATCACATCATAAAGTCATGTCTTTAGTACATGATGACTTGCAAAAACTATAGAGTGCCATCTACTACGATATTTCTTTTAAAAGAATATTTCTAAGTGATTCTTTCGCTAACTTATAGTTGTCATCATCGTCAGCCTCTGTTTCCGTTCTTCTGCTTGACGTAGGCCTCTTCACTAGTTCAGCTCTTTGCATCCAACTACTGCCATCCTCTTTGCGGATATCGTTACTCCACCTAGCTAGAGGACAGCATACACTACGTTAGATTAGGGCCGATTATTCAATGCTCAGTTAAATTTGTGTTTTATGTATTTTTTTTAATCTTACACTTCTTATTGAAATAAAGAATTAAAACTAAAATATTAATATAAAATTTTAACTGAGGAATAATTTTGATTCTTTGACAATTCTTCCATACCCTCTTCTCTGTTGAAAGTTGCGGCCATAATGTGTTTATACCGGGAGCCGGTGTTCCAACAGACAAGAGGATACTAAAAACTGTCAGATGTCAATTTTATTCTACAGTTAAGATATTAACTGATGATCGAAAAATCGGCCCTTAGACGAGGTCCATACTCCAGAACATGTTGCTAACTTGTATTCTGGGTACATTCTTATCCGTCTGTTGTGACTACTGATGTCCTATGACTTATCAGAATGCTTTTCTAGTTGAACAGTAAAGTCTACTAATTTATAGGTCTATATAGAGCAGAACAGATAGCCAGGTCAATGAATAATGGTAACGAAACAAGATTGGTTATGTATGTGACGGGAATTAAATAAGTATCTAAGATTTTTTTGTAGCGAGGGTTGCAAAAATAAGCATTTTGTCTAGAAAAGGTTTGAAACTGGCGTTAGAACCCAAGTTACAGGAAACTCTCAAAGGGATGGATTATATTTAAGTGTGGGAGAGCCATGCTTCGGCACGAATGAGCCGGCTCGACTGGACTAATACCACGGCCTTACAGAAATCCGGCATGAAGAAACGCTTGCGTTGTGTTTCATCGTGTGAGTGAGATTACCGGAGGCCCAATTACCCCCTCCCCTCCCCCAATCTCTCCAATCCCTGAATCCCCTACAAACCTCAAACTTCTAATCCCCAATAATACTATCAGGTGATCTATCAGCTCGTTTACCGGCTTATGGCAAAAAAATGTAACTAAGAGACTTATTATTATGTTTCCAAATAATTCTCCTTAACGTTGGTATTCAAACTTAGAAAGTATTTTTTTTCTCAAAGAAGTTTCTTTAAGTTGTATATGTGAACATATTGAGTATGTTTGTAAATGCACCCACGACACAGGAGATAACGCTAGTGTGGGGCAACGTTAAAAAAAAGAAAAGAAAAAAATGGAAAAAGAAAAGAAAGCGTTTGCGGTGAGACCAGAGACCTAAACAACCTCTTGTACGTTTTTTATTTTTTTTTGTTTGTTGATAATCTAAGAAGATAATGTTTTTGCGTTGATAGCTTGGTGATAAGTGTTTATACGAAAATTTTGTGTTTAAAGCGTTCCGAATATCTAACTACGTACTTCCTTATGTCATTATTAATGATGTACGATATTATAATACTAGTAATATCCAGTGCATTAATAAATAAAAAATGTTTTATTTCAGTCGATATCTGTCAAGAGATATCGTACTGGGGTCTCAAGTAAACAGTTAAAGTTTAGTTGTATACAACCCATTCTTAATTACTTATCTACAAATAGATAATATTCAAAAATTTTTTTTATAATGGGCGTCAAAAAATTCGTCCTCATCGATGTCAGCTGGAAAAGTACCCAGAAGGGCGTCAAAAAATTCGTCCTCATCGATGTCAGCTGGAAAAGTACCCAGAAGGGCGTCAAAAAATTCGTCCTCATCGATGTCAGCTGGAAAAGAACCCAGAAGGTATGACGATATTAATGAAGTACTTTTTCATTTTTTAATATACTAGTGGTCATGGTCAGGTGACCAAACCAAGTGGTTTTATTAGAAAATATATCCAAATGATAAGAATCAAAAGATATCCATAACATAACATCACGCCTTTTATCCCCGAAGGGGTAGGCAAAGGTGCACATTATGCCACTGTACAATGTAACACCCACATTTCACTATTTATGTTATGAGTCCCATGTAATAGGGTGAGCCAGGGCACCGGGTACAATCCCTGACTCCATGCTACTACTGAGAATTTTTTAAAAAGCCAGTAATACTTTGCCTGACCCGGGAATCGAACCCGAGACTTGGAACCTCTCGGCCAACGAGGCAGTCAAGAGATCATCCGTGGGATGAAAATATGTAAAAATTGTGATAAGTATGTACTTAATAAAAAAAAAATAACTAATGTTTATTTGTCTTCAAACAACTTAAGACCAATTTACAATTGCAATAAGACATGAGTTTCTGATAAATTGATGAGATTATCATTTGTAATCAAACGAGACATAGCAGGATAATCTGTTTCTACTATTAAATCAGCATTCCCATCATTGTGAATGTCACCCTTCGATATCCCTTCAGAAATCAAAAGGCGTGATGTTATTATAATCTAATCTACCTCCTCTTAACCCTCTATTTGATTTTTGACAAATCTATCTGCATTTTCTCTTCACAGTTGGTGCTAGAGATGTGCAGAGATACCAATCTGCCAAGAGTTTTAGAATACCTATGTAACTATGTTGAGATAGTGTGAAAAAGATTGTTCTCAACAAAATGATATTCGCGGATCGGATGATTCTTAATTCTAAGCGCCTGTTTCACCACCCTCATATAAGTACTTGATAAACTAAAAACTTACTATGTTATAGTTCATGCCAATTATGTTCTTCATATATATAATCTGGTATATAATGATTTTCCCGATATTGTGAAACAGGCCCTAAGTTTGCTATTAAGACCCAGTGCACACCGGCGGCGGCATGGTGAAATTTTTGAGAATCAATCAATCATACGGCATGCCGCAGAAGACAGAAGAAGTTTGGAGACACGCACCGCGCGCCTCCCACTAAAATCGATCTTTGGCATACCGTTTCCATTCGTATGTCACAGTAAAACGTTTATTTTAACAACTTCTTGTACGTTTTTTAAATCATATAAACAAAGTGGTTGTAAAAATGATGTTCAGTTTTATTTATCTTAGGCAGTATTTACAATTTTTCTTCATTTTGCAGTAGAAACTAATGTTTCTTTCGGTAGATGTCTTGGATATCTTAATATTATTTAGTAGGCATTATAATTTAGTTGAGAGCTTCGGGGAGGGCGACGACGGCTTCAGGGAGGATGGGGACTCCGATGACGACGGGCTCAACGGGTACAGGGGCGGCTTCGATGACCTGGACGGGCTCGGGGGCGGCTTCGATGACCTGGACGGGCTCGGGGGCGACCTCGACAACCTGGACGGGTTCAGGGGCGACATCCACAACGTGGACGGGCTCAGGCACGATAACTTCGGGGGCGACAGCGGGGCCAACGGCGATGGGGCTAGCCTCAGCGGAGGCCTGGTTGATGTTCAGGATGATCTGGACCAGAGGAGTACCGCTGGCGACCTCAGCAACGGGAGCGGGAGCAACAATAGCGGGGCCGGGGACAACGGGCTCTTCAGCGACAACACCACCGTCGGGGAGGGGGAAGTCAATGATGGCGGGTCCAACAGAGATGGGGTGGGAGTCAGCGTCGATGATGGCGGGTCCAATGGCGATGGGCTCGAAAGAGTCGATCACGGCAGGTCCGATGGCGATGGGCTGGAAGGAGTCAATGATAGCGGGTCCGATGGCAATGGGCTCGAAGACTTCAGGGGCCTCAGGGGCAGGGACTGGGCCGGCGGGTCCGACGGGGACAAGCTCGGGAGCAGGCACGGGGCCAGCGGGTCCAACGGGCACTAGGCCGCGGTGCGCAGGCACGGCGACGGCCACGGCGATGACGGCAGCGAAAGACAGTAGGAATTTCATTTCTGGGAACAGAATTGGTCAAAATGAGTAAAATTTGCAAGTAATTAATTAAATAATGAATTAATTTACAAACAATAGTGAAATGAATTAATACTCACTTATGTTTACTTGCAAAATACAAAGTATGCTCATCAATTACAATTCACGTTAATTTATACGAAAGCGTTATCGAATCAAACGGTAAAACTTTTGTTTTATTGCTAATCTTAGAAGATAATGTTTTTGCGTTGATAACATTGTGATAAGTATTTATACGGAAGTTTTACGTATTAAGCTATTTTATGACAGCTAGGTATCGGTTCATGCTAGGTATCACTCCGAGTAACTACGTACTTCTATTAGTCATTCACGATGGATGAAGTATACACATTATAGGTACGTAAAAAACTAGTAATATCCAGTGTATTATTCAATGACAAATCGTTCAATGTTCAATTTATTTCAGTAGGTATTAACCGAGGGAGTATAAATCTAACAGGTCTTTACAAAAAACTACCTTTTTATAATAACTATCGTGAGACATACTAAATTAAGTAAAATCGCGGGTTACTCACGTGAATATACTGAGAAAAGCTCTACTAGTTTCGAACCACAGAGGGGTTCTTCCTCATGAGCAGTGTGCGCGGTCGCGGCGACATCATTGAGCTGCGCGACGTCGTTTTTACTTAAAAAACTACCTAATTAAACTGTAGTTTTCGTTCCATTTTGATTTAAACCAACCCATTTTTATTACATTAATGCTCATGTCCATATCCATCTGGTTTTATTAAAAAATATGATAAATCCCAATGACAAGTATCAAGGGATTTCCCTGCCATGAAAATACGTCAATAAATTTTAATATTTATTTGTCTTTAAATAACTTTAAAACTAATTTACAATGGCAATAAGACACGTTTTTGATAAATTGATGAGATAAGCATTAGTATTCGCAGCAGACATAGTAGGTTTACCTGTGTTTCTACTATACAAGTTCAATATCACATATATAATTTAAACATAACATCACGCCTTTTATCCCCGAAGGGGTAGGCAGAGGTGCACATTATGCCACTGTACAATGTAACACCCACGTTTCACTATTTATGTTATGAGTCCCATGTAATAGGGGGTGAGCCTATTGCCATATACCGGGCACAATTCCAGACTCCGTGCTACTACTGAGAATTTTTTAAAAACCCAGTAATACTTTGCCCGACCCGGGAATCGAACCCGAGACCCCTTGCCCGGCAGTCGCACTTGCGACCACTCGGCCAACGAGGCAGTCATATAATTTAACTAACGAAGCAATATGAGACTTGTATTGTGAACTAATTGGAATCTTTTTAAAATCTGATTACAATAGAGTTACCTATGGAGTTTCTTGCTTTTTCTTCTGTTTCACTAGAGGACTGACCGACAGATTGACATTTTAATATATTGTTTGACGTTCAAAAGGGCCTATCTGGTCCAAGGACGTTGAAAAAAATGCGGACACAGTTTCTTGAAACAACGATTGTGGCATCAGTGCCTTTAGCCAAACGCCACTTTAGCGCTTGTCTACATGTAAAATAGAAAACCAAATTATATGGTATGGTATATTTTTAAACTGTCAAACACCAAGCGGTCACCGGTGACCGCGACCTATTGTTCTTTAATTGTGTCTATAAAACCGGTACTCGACGAGTTAAGGGGGCAACATCATCGAATGACTGCTCCCGCCTGGGTGAGGCGGGAGGAAGTGTCAGACTCTTACTGACTAAAAACCATCCCGTTCCTACTCCTGCGCTTCGAGCCGGAGCCCCGGTAACCCGATAGGTTCTCCGCGAATAAAATGAATAAATAAAATGAATAAATAAAATGAAGAATAGGAATTAGAATAGATAAATTAACTTGTGCTTTCAAGTACCCATAAAACTTATGCATAAGTTGACATATTGTGATTTTTCCCAAGGTGATGATATCGGCATATGTACTTAATTCTTAGCGCCTTCTTTACTACCTCCATATTAATTCCGGATAAACGTAAGTAATAATAAATAATAAAATGTTTACTTGGTGTAAAAAGCCAGACTTCAAAATAAATCTTTATTAAGTACCTAAACAAAGTCTTAATTTATATGAAACCTGAACGGTACAAGCCTGTGTTTACTTATTTCATAGATATAAAAAAAGATCTGACAGTCTTCTTTATGACAAATTCTTATAGATCTCCCTCTAAGTTGAAATTTGCTTGAACCGATATTATAAATCTGACAATATGTGTGTTTGTGTGTATTGTATGTTACTCAGTCACATCAAGACGGCTGAAGGCTGATATGAAATTTGGAACAGAGGTAGATATGTATGATATAAGTATCTGGAGTTTTTATTAATATAAGAATCTTTTATTTATTATTCTTCCGATACTTTGTATGCTCCCAGCAAGGCTTACTTAAACCTATACTTTGGTTTTGTCAAAATGATATTGTTATGTCACCTTTCGTGGGAATTATTTATTATCAGATAACTTATTCATTATTTCATTAACATTGCAATATCAGACAATTAGGGAAAATAAGAAACCAGTAAAATATTGATCAAAACATTCATTTAATTTGTCTTTTCAAATATATCAACAGCGAAATGGAGACACGGCCATCGTTATAGAATAAGTTATAGAATCTATAAAAACTTCAATAGTGCACACTCGTAGTTATGTTCACAGTGCGATGGTCTTCTTAGTGGTGCTCGAGGGGTGCGACAATTGGTTCAGGGAGTACAGGCGCACCAATGACTGCAGGCGGAATGTAAACGGGTTCAGGTGCGGGTGGTGCATCGACAACATTCACGGGGTGCACGGGCACGGGGGGAAAAGGCAGGGGGTAAACGGGCAGAGGGTGAATGGGCAAGGGGTGAACGGGCAGAGGGTGAACGGGCAGAGGGTGAACGGGCAAAGGGTGAACGGGCACGGGAACCTCGTCAACAACATGCACTGGCTGAACTGGCACAGGTGAAGGTGCAGGCGCGCTCTCAGCAGAGTTGATGTTCATGATAATTTGCACAAGGGGACCTTTAGGAGACGGAGAAGGGGCAGGGATGACAGCAGGACCAACGGCCACGGGCTCAGGAACAATGTGAACAGGGTCAGGAAGAATTTCGGGTTCTGTGATAAGAGCGGGTCCGATATCGATGGGGTGTACATTATCAATGATGGCAGGGCCAATAGCGATGGGGTGTAAGTTGTCAACGACGGCAGGGCCAATAGCGATGGGCTGGAAGTTGTCAAGGATGGCAGGGCCAATAGCGATGGGGGCCCAAGGTTCAGGTGCAGGGACTGGGCCAGCAGGACCTACTGGCACCAAGCCTGGGTGGGCTACAGCCACTGAGATGAGGGCAGCGAGAATCAGGACTCTCATGGTTTCTGTTGATGAATAATTTAATTATTAGTTTAAAAAGGAAGAAAATTTAATGTAACTATTATATTATGTCACTGCACAGTACATTTCACTTAAGACAACGCTAAGTCTACACAATCTAAGTTCAATAAATTAAAAAAATGACACCGTACCTGATTGTTTTCTGGTTCAGAGAACAACTAGTCAAGAATCAATCATTTTGGGACATTATATACATTTCTTTTATCAATGGAATGAAATGTAATACAAAAGGATACAGATAATTGGGTGCAATAAATGCAGTAATGAAAACAATAACATGGTAGTAGTAACAGACAATAAGATATAAAATTAACAGAAATGGTTGGAGATGTGGCTTAGACATACGTTTATTTAAATTAAAGATATGATGATGATAGAAATTACATAGGTACCTCCTAACGGACCATTCTTTTCTTTCTATATTTATAAGTCATTGAATTTCGACAACTGTAGATTGATATGCAGACATAAGTGAGCATAATTTGGGTTGAAACCTCTTACTAAGCTGACCTAAACCTAAAACTAAAGAAGACCTTCAATCAACAATGGGCGAGCGGTCCGACTGGACCGACCGAAGTGTTACCAACGCCTCACAGAAAACCGACTGTGAGTGGGGTTATCGGAGGCACACAGGCACAACATTATCCCAATCTTCCTGATCCCCAAATCGCCAACGATCCTGAAAGTTCTAATCCCTAAAACACCAATAATGCAAAAGTAACGCCTCTGGTGTTTCAGATGTCCATGGGTGACACCGATCCATCTGCTCGTTTACCGGCTTATCCAATAAAAAAACACCTTCATGCTGAGATTTAAAAGTAGATAACAAGGTTGAGGCCGATAAAAATCACTGTAAAGTTGTAACTAATTGTGTGCGGGATACGAAAGGAATGGATGTTTGTGATGAGATCGGAAAATGTAGAAAGGGTTAGAATAAAATATGATGCAGTTATTTCAAGTAAGAGTAAAGAGTAAAGAAAAAACTTCAACAGTGATGGACGATAAGATGATGGTAACTGTAGAAGAAACTCATAGTAAAACAGTGGACAATGTTAAAGACTACGGCGCTCTGATTGGCCGGCTCCAGTGAACCAACTAATCAATGTGCTGAACGCGCTCGATACTATAACGTTACGAATGCGATAATTATTCGTGCTTGGCACTCTGATGATAATGATAATGAAGAACAAGATGAACCAAATAAAATATTCCATTCTATTAAACAAATAAAAGTTAATAATGTTAAAAACGGCAAAGGCACGGATTATGATCACGTTTAATTCAGTGATGACGTCACAGTAGACAAGTATATGTAATCAAAATTTATCGTTTTATTAGCGGTTTATGATACCTGCCGAATTAACAATAGGTTTATCGAGCCGACAAATAACAGGGCTATAAATTTAACTAAGTGTTTTATCGGGACGATATCTTTTTGTTGTGTTATGCCACTGATATTGCGCATCGATGGTTTAATTTCACAATTTAAACAGTTTTGTGGTCATTGAGTGACTATTGTATCAATATTTGGTATTTATTCTGCAAGAAAATTATGAAAAGTGTCCTCACGATATCATAAATATTGGTCCAAAAATTTTAACACAATACGTCGGTTTTTGGTGACTGACGCTTAGCCTAGGTTCTGCCTTCAATAGTTTTCTGTCAGCAGAAACAGGCTTAAGGCGAGCAGTCACTTTTAAAATGTTAAAATAGTATTGTATTCCTCTGGTGTTGCGGGTGTCCATGGGTGGCGCTGATGGTTTACCATTTGCCTCCTATTTCATAAAAAAAATTGTCCCTACTCAATGCCAATTGCAATTTCAAGTGCTTTTAGTTATTGATTTTTGTATTCTTGATTTATTTATTTGATCGGCCGACGTTTGTTTACTATCTCGCCTTGTGGCGGCCTACGAGGGACCACGTCTGCCTATAAGCAACCTACCTATCTTTTGCACCTACCAAGTATTCAAATGGTATATGTCTATCGGAGTGGTAGCTATAATAGTAGTGGCACTTACAACTATTATAGTAAAGAAACAATTAAATCGAATGATTAATAAGAATATCGATAACCAATCATATTTTTACTAAACCAGGGATTTAACAGCTGATAACGATGAATGTACAAACAGACGTTTCTGGAATATTATTATACTAATTAAAACGCAAAAGTACTTCGCTTTTAGTGTCGACGACATTATCGTTACTAATGTGCAATTTGTGTATTTTAGGATTTCGATTCTCAGATTATTTAGACACCACTGACAAACGGTGAAGGAAAGCATCGTGAGGAACCCAGGGCTTATAATTTTTAATTATAAGTTTGAAATCGCCAACCCGCATTGAGCAAGCGTGCTGATTAATGTTCAAACCTTCTCCGTCTCCCTCTCAAAGAGGCCTTTGGTCAGCAGTGGTCACTTATAGGCTGTTGATGAAACAATATTTTTCAACAAAAGAGTTTACAAAAATGTTAATAAAAATGGTACAATAATTTGCTCCACAGAAAACTCTACTGGAAGTTAAGACGTATATGTGCTGAATCAAATAATTGTAGCAGCTAAATCCTGTGCAAAATGAATTCATGATTAGATTTCATAAACATCAAACGACAATTTTTCTTTCCAAACGTGTACCCTCTTTCAAACCATCCATCAAAGGCTTCGTTAAACGGTTCTTCACTTTTCAAGTCGGTTTACCACAGAAGATATAATCTAAGATTTGTAAAGGAATCTTCAATAAACCAACTATAAAACAAGTTTTCATTACTTGTTGGTGGATTTAGATATATACACTTGATAAGAATAAAAATTAATGACACGTGACGTGTAGACTATTACTGGTAGATTAATTTTATAATGAACCTCGTGTTTTCAGGCGCCGGTATTATGACGTAATCTTGGAACCTTTTTGTCCCTAGGGTGTCTTTATGGAGTCCTTTCATCAGGGAAAGATAAAGAAGACTGTCAGATTTTTCCTTATTAGCTCAGCTGGGTTCCATATACACTTCAGCGTTCTAAATATTAATTTTTCTATATAATTATGTTTCTTCCATGTCATTCATTAAGACGTGAACGCCTTTGTGACTGCTTCGTTGCTGCTTTTGTTGGTTCAATCCCCATGTTCCGATTTTTAACTGAAACCGAAAAAATCGGTTCAATCAATAGCGAGTTAATCGAGCACAAACATATATACAGGTCAAGGTTCCTTTCTTTTTCTTTTTGAAGTCGATTAAACATACATTCTGTCCAGCTTGCATCTTTTCAAAACACCACAGTGTCCGAACATAGATGTCGCTGTTAATAAAATCTGAATAACATGAATGCCTCGTCTATCAGATACACATACATACTTTTGATTGTTTACAACCCACTCGTGACTGTAGTAAGGTCTAAAGTTCAGTGATTTGGAATGTGTCAAATTTATTGCCCATTCATGATAAACAAAATAATCTTTCTGCTTGATAGAAAGTACTTAATTAAGTACGGAAACTTTTATGATGAGATGGCTTCGATATTACACTTGATTGCATGACAATTTTCAATGATGGTGTAAAAATTAGAATGAATATCCAATAATCTACAAAGTATAAGGGTTGACTGACTTATGAGTAACATTGTATTTTTTAAAGAATTTTGGTTTGAAGCGTTTTGCTTGACTCATTGCTCGCGCATTTTCCTGCTATCCGATTAGTATATATGTTCATTCCTGAGTTTTTGTATAAATAAATAAATATGTATAAAGTTTGAGTATTACAAACTTTGTATAAAGTTACGAACTATGTTCTGTAATTTAGATTATATTTTGCTCTATATGTTGCCGTGCCCTAACCGAATTACACCCAATTATGTAACACCTATTTTACGCATTATAATGCAATAAAATTTGATTTTGAATTCAATTTAGGGGGTGAGCCTATTGCCATATACCGGGCATAGTTCCAGACTCCGTGCTACTGCTGAGATTCTTTTAAAAACCCAGTAATACTTTGCCCGACCTATTTTGTTTTTGAGGGGGGAAAATCACCCAATGACTTCTCTCGCCCGAGTGAGGCGGCAGGGAGTGTCAGACTCTTACTGACAAAAAACCACCGCGTTTCTACTACTGCGCTTCGAACCGCAGCCCCGGCAACCCGTTAAGTCTTCCGCGGCTCCGTATCGACATCAGCCCTGTTGGGCCGCATCTGTGGTGGTCTGATGGCTCCTTGAGGCGCGCGTAACGCGACGCGCCGTACGCTCGGGCCTGGTTCTGGCCGGGCGGTGAGTCACCCGTGCTCGCCGTCCGCAGGCCCGTGACTTTGCCCGACCTGGGAATCGAACCCGAGACCCTTTTGCCCGGCAGTCGCACTTGCAATTCGGCCAACGAGGCAGTCTACAATCGTTTATCTACGTACTTAATTACATACTTTTGTTATAATCTTTTGATAAAGAAAGTATCAGTGCTTTCACTAGTATTGTCAATGCCAATGTCGAAGATTATATTAAGATACATAAAACCGTCTTTACATTTCTGATAATAATTAAGTATTGTCTGATGACATCATAAAAATCCGAAATAAACAAGTTATATCTACGTATAAAGCCTAGACGTGATACGATATTTCACAATGATGTTAAACACGTGTAGGTACTTTAGCTTTCACAAAGAACTTTGTCCCCAAGAATGAGTGATTAATGGAACGAAATTATTGCAGTTTGATCCGGAAAAGTCAGCTGGCTCTGGTTTTCCGTGAAGCCGTGGTAAGGTATCATTCGGTTGAGCCGGCCTATACGACGAAGGAACTATTTGTAGGAATTGGAAAAATATTAATCGGAACTGAACTAACGTCCCTTAAGTACCTGACTGTCTCGTTGGCCGAATAGTCGTAAGTGCGACTTCCGGGCAATGGGTCTGGGGTTCGATTCCCAAAGTATTACTGGGTTTTTAAAATAATCTCAGTTGTAGCACGGAGTCTGGAATTGTGCCCGGTATATGGCAATAGGCTCACCCAATATTAAATGGGACTCATAACATAAATTGTGAAAAGTGGGTATTAATTACATAGTACATTGTACAGTGGCATTATGTGCCGTAATGTGCACCTCTGCCTACCCCTTCGGGGATAAAAGGCGTGATGTTATGTTATGTGTACCTGAATAGGTATTACTGTTTGCTTATGTATAGGACCTATCCCATCACAAAATAGACAAAAATAAAAAAATACAATTTGAAGAACTCTATCATATTCAGTTTTCCCAATTTTTCTCTTCTCTGAACTGTTGGTGTTCTCACTTTAATAGGAAGCCCTAATGGGCTTCCGATAATATAATAAATAAGCGAGGATGTTCTAATGAACATCCTCGCTTATTTTGTCTCATTGATTATATAATGAGTATAATCATCCTACATGTTTTAGGTATTTAGGTTAGGATAAATACTAAGAGCGTGAAATAACGACAAAGGTATAGTTAGTTGGTAAATTAAATTTATTGTATCACTTGGTTTCTTAGTAAGCGGGGCGCACCATTACGGGGACGGGCTTGACGGGCTTCACACCGGGAGACACAACACCGACGGGGTTCACGGCGATGGGAGCAATAGGAGCCACCACACCGATGGGGTTTACAGCAATAGGAGCAATGGGAGCGACTTCAGGGGCTACAACACCGATGGGGTTAACAGCAATAGGAGAAATGGGAGCCTCAGGGGCAGCCTCAACAACATGGACGGGAGTAGGGATGATCTCCTCAGCAGCTACAGCGGGGCCAACGGCGATGGGGCTAGCCTCAGCGGAGGCCTGGTTGATGTTCAGGATGATCTGGACCAGGGGAGTGCTGGCAGCGGCGACGGGAGCAGCTTCAACGACGGGAGCGGGAGCGACAATAGCGGGGCCGGGTATGACGGGCTCCTCAACGATGGCACCATCGGGCAGAGGGAAGTCAATGAGGGCGGGTCCAACAGAGATGGGGTTGGAGTCGATGATGGCAGGTCCGATAGAGATAGGGTGGTGACCAGCGTCAATGATTGCGGGTCCAACATCAACGGGTTCGGGCTTGACGCCTAGAGCATCGAGGAGCATCTCTTCGAGGGCGGCGGCGGTGGCGGGGTCGGTGCTGGGGCTGTTGATGGCGGCGATGATCTCCTGGAGCTCAGCGAGCTCAGAGCCCACAGGCTTGACCATAGCAGCCGAAGCCACGGCGACGAGCAGGGAGATGGCGATGAAGTATTTCATTTTGACAGTATCTGGAAGGTAACATGTAATATTAGAAATTAGATTTTTTTCTTCAAATTAAATTGTGAATGGAACATGAAATAGGTAGGTAGCACTGTATCGTTTAAAACTTACTTGTTAAGACGCGTTTCAGAGACGACTTGCTCGTTTTGATTTCAGTTTACTATTTATATTGCTACGAATCTAATAAATTTGTCAAAGATTACGGATAATTATCACAGTTTAAGATTATGCTAAGCTATGTCCCTGAGTAATTAACATTCAAAGGTACAGTCGTGGAATATTTCGCAACTGATAAGTAAGGTTAATGAAAAAGAAACAAAAACAATTTATCAGGGTAATAATTTTACTACGAGGCTTTGCTCAGCAGTGGGCATTATATTATATTATCATATAGGCTGTTGATGATGATGATGATGAATAATTTAACTCATTTTAGAGAGCGTTATAATTTTATTATAGACCCTTAAGATTCTGTTAGTAAGTAAATAAATGCCAGAAAATGATTATCTTGGTACAAAAACTGAACTACACCAAGTATCAACTACTGGCCCGGATCATAACTACAGTCAGATACAAAGCCGATTCTTAAGCTGAGAGACCTCCACTCAGCAGTTAAATGTCATCTGACTGTTGATGAAAGCATGTTGTGTTGACGATGGAACAATGTTGAAAGCATGGATGGAAAGCTTAATGAAGCTGGTTAAAAATGAAACATGTAATGTAGCGAAAGACATAGAAGTCAGAATCATGTTATATTTTGTCTTAAACATGAATACAGAAGAATGATAATCCTAAAAGGAGAATTTTATGGCTTGGTTGTACATTTTGTAAATTCAAACTATCTTTAATATTATCTTACTACTAGTTTGATTTACACGACATGATAAGGCTGTGTGTACCAAAGATAAAGATGAAGATAAGTAATTTTTGTCATTAAACAAATTCTATCAATAAACAATGTGTTTTTAAATTTCCATCTTCCAACTTCATCATCCAAATAGGGATTTTAATTGAACGGTTTAGTACTGCCTCATTAGCTCAGTGGTCGCGAGTGTGACTGCTGGGCAAGGGGTCTCGGGTTTGATTCCGGGGCCGGACAAAGTACTACTGGGTTTTTAAAAAAATCTCAATAGTAGCACGGAATCTGGAATTGTGCCCGGTATATGGTAACAGACTCACCTATTATATAGGACTCATAACATATGTAGTGAAAAGTAGGTGTTACAATGTACAGTGGCATTAAGTGATATAATGTAATGTAAGTAATAAAAAAATAAAAAATAAAATAAATGTGCACCTCTGCTTACCTACCTCTGATAAAAGGTATGATGTAATGATGATGATTATGTTTAGGATCTTAATTGTATACTAAGATGCAAACTTTAACAATTTGTCTAGTATTATTGGTACATGATGCGACTCGTTCAGTACTGTTTCATAGTACTCAACCTTGATTGGACTAATTTTTCCCTTAGCGTCGGTGTGAATAGGATGACTTACAAGGGACCCGTAGCCACCAAAAAACACAACCATACCTGCCCTCGCTATTTTATCCTAAAAATTCTACCGTGTCGAGGATTGTTTTGAAATGTTAACTAAGTGGACTTATTCCAGGACAACACTACTTTTCACTACAGGAACCTTATATAAGGGCTTTGTAAAAGTTTACGTATTACTAGCTACTTCCGCGCGGTTTCACACGCTCTGCTCAGCTCCTACTGGTCGTAGCGTGATGTTTTATAGCCTATAGCCATCCTCGATAAATGCGCTATCCAACAAAAAAAAAATTATTAAAATCAGACTTGTAGTTATGGAGATTAGCGCGTTCAAACAAACAAACAAAAAAACAAACTCTTCTGCTTTATATAATAGTATAAGATACAACTAGGCCTCTACCTAGATGTTGAGAATATATTTTTTTAATATCTCTTCTATGTAATAACGTGAAGTTTTCTGTGAGTGGAAATTTTAATCGTCTTCTTAACCTAATTCATTAATTTATTACCGTTTATCGTTAGTAAGAAACCTTGAAATTATTGTTATGCGCGTATTTTCCAAAATAAATCACATTGGCTATCAATGGATATCAGGACACGTGGATTATGTCAGATTGCCTGAAGAAACTTCAATTACGAGTGGATGTACGATACCATTCACCAAGGGCGACTGTCATAGACTTACTAGGTTTCAGGCTCGATTAAAGGGTAATAATGAGTATAGCCTAGGCCTAGCATATTAGGGGTAAGGCTCGATTCGCTTGTCTGAAAAATAACAATTTGTGCTTTTCGATCTTATTCATCTCCAAAGGAAGTTTCGAATGCTCAACTCGCTGTGTGAATGATGGCTCATTCTCGGGCACTCTTCCCCGGAAACGATGACGCAATTAAACAGATTTCTAGAAGGATATACATACATCCACAACGTCACTCAGATACTCATTTCGTTTCATTCAGTCTTCATAATTATAAATTACTTTTGGTGTTGCTGACAAGATATATATAGTTAAGTCGGGAGTTGCAGACGGCTTAGTCGTTAGTGGGTTACCGGGGCTCCGGCTAGAAGGAGAAGTAGGAACAGGGTGGTTTTTGGTCAATAGTAGTCTCTTTCTCTTCACCCAAGGCGGGAGAAGCCGTTGGATGATTTTCCACCTCAAAAAAATCCTATGTAAACTGTTAAACATGATAATAATAAAGTAGGTATGTTATACAATGAAAAACTCAAGTATTGTATTTTTACTTTTTATTTAATAGAAAAATTAACAAGTTTCCTGATAGCACAAGTTCACATTATCAGGTTAGGCAATAATATTACTTTATCAAATGACATGCTGTAAAAGTTTAGCTTTATCTTCATAATACTCCATTGTCATTAAGCTCCTATAACTTTTACGACAATGAGGAAGCGTTTTTTAGTTTTAATGTGTAACGTGTTAAAAGTGTAACGTCATACATTATCATCATCGTCATCATCCTATGTTATCTCCTACTGTTGGGTTTAAGCCTTCTCTTAATTCTGCATTCCTTCATCTTCGTTTCTCAATTCTGCTCGTCATTCATCCATCTATTCTTCACAATTACACTTAAGTCTTACTTTCACATTTCCTTAATGATTAGTTCCGGTATTTTAAAGTTTCGATTTTTATCATAGAAGAGACGAGTGTATTGCTTTTGACTTAGAACTGTGTTTCAATAAAATTGCAGAGGTATGGTCTGTGTTTCGATTTCTGAATAAACAACTAATGGGGTATTGAACCCAAGATTTGTTGAGGTACCTTGGACCTTGGTCCAAGGTGTAGTTTGTAACATATCATATACAGTTAATAGTTTCTTAATTGTGTAAAATGTTATTGTCCTTATGGTGTTTTAATAACTTTAGTTATTTTGTAACCACATTTTGTAATGTTTAGTTAATAAATAAAAAATGAAATAGAATTTGCAAGTGTCTTTTATTGTATCATCATGTAAAACATTTTATAGACAAAATAAACTGATCACATCACGTCTTATTTAAGTGCGGGGAGCGACCTTAGGCAACGACGGGCTTAGAGGGCTTCACGGGAGAGCCGACAGCTTCGGGGATGACGAGAACAGGCTTGACGGGCCTCACGGGGGAAACACCAGCCTCAGGGAGGACGAATACTGGCTTGGTGGGTTTCACGGCTCCAGGAGCGACGACACCGATGGGGAGAACAGGCAAGCTGGCCTCAGGTGTGGGACGGTCGATGGCAGGACCAGCAGGCACGCTGGCTTCAGGTGTGGGACGGTTGATGGCAGGACCAGCAGGTACGCTGGACTCAGGCGTGGGACGGTTGATGGCAGGGCCGACAGCAACGGGGCTAGCCTCAGCGGCGGCCTGGTTGATGTTGAGGACGATTTGGACCAAAGGTGCGGCGGGAGCGGCGGGGGCAACAGGAGCGACCTCAGCGGGAACGGGAGCAACAACAGCGGGGCCGGGGACAACGGGCTCCTCAGCAAGGGCACCATCGGGCAGAGGGTAGTCGATGATGGCAGGACCGATAGAGATGGGGTGGTGGCCAGCGTCAATGATTGCGGGTCCAATGTCGACAGGCTCGGGCTTGATGCCTAGAACATCGAGGAGCATCTCTTCGAGGGCGGCGGCGGTGGCGGGGTCGGTGCTGGGGCTGTTGATGGCGGCAATGATCTCCTGGAGCTCGGCGAGCTCAGAGCCCACAGGCTTGACCATAGCGGCCGAAGCCACGGCGACGAGCAGGGAGATGGCGATGAAGTATTTCATTTTGATAGTATCTGGAAAGTGATGGTTGGTGATGAGAATTTAACAATAGAACAACGGTTGAAGCAAGTCTTCTGAAGTAATAAGAATGACAATTCCTTCTAGAATTAGTAGTATGTAATTAGTACTTACTTGTTAAGACGCGTGTCAGAGACGACTTGCTGCTTTCTGTTTCAGTTTACTATTTATATTGGTAACTATCTACTTATACAGATAACTAAATAGTCATTATCAAAATCTAGATTAGGTATACCTAGATAGGATCCTGAATAACCCAATATACTTCGATGATGTACAGTCACATACAGTGCAATTGTTAATTATATCTTTATGATGGGATCAATATGGTATTTATTTTATTTACCGGTAGTAGACATTGCTTCATAAACTGTAGTAATTTTTAAAATGCAAATTTTCAACGTCATGTTGGCGAATCAGAATTATAATGCGGATGAATATAAAAGAATTGCACCATCAATGAATAGGTAAGTGGACATGTCACGTGAGGAATGTCAAAAGGGTTAAGGAGTACCTATAATAATAATTCTTTGATAAATATAACATAACATCACGCCTTTTATTTCCGAAGGGGTAGGCAGAGGTGCTCACTGGAGTAACACCCACTTTTCACTAATTTATCTTATGAGTCCCATGTAATAAATAGGGGTGAGCCTATTAAATTCTTTGATAAATTACGTTTAAAAAACAGACTTTAAAGCCCTCTTTTCTAAAGTCAGTTAATTAACATACTAAAACCTTCTCCTAAGTGTAACAAGCACTTTTCTGAAAACCATATCAAAATCAGTTTAGCCAATCGCGAGATAATGGCACAAACATATTGTACACATAAATACAGGTCTAACTGGGAACGTCTTTCTTTTTTTATAAGTCGGTTCACAAAGTCAGTTAATGAAGTCTGTTAATGAAGTCGGTTAAAAAAGATAAGGGATGCAAACTCTATGAAAACTGATGGGCTCAGAAGTAGAAGATCAGGTTATGGAATGTTAATATTTCGACCTAATGATTGCCATAAAAATTACAATATTAACGTTACAGTTTTAAACTACAACTTCTGTAACGGTTGATTTTGAAGAAAATTGTAAGAATATTTAAGGACATCGCGTCGCGGGTTGCGAAATGCTGCTTGTGAATATGAGCCTCTAGCATGGCTTAAAACTAGTCGAGTTCCTCGTCAAATAATTACGTGAGTAATCCGAAATACATAATAATTTTAGGACACTTAACTACTGTGAAGCTGGATTGTTTATTACGGTTTTTCTTAAACCTTTTTGGTTTTATGTAACTTTCGATATTTATTCTTGTTTCCGTGTAAGTTTTTGATGTAACTATAATCCCATCAAAAATTACCAGTAGTACCTAATTGAAGTAGAAACGAATTCACCCACATTAAAGAGACTTTCCGTTTATTTGTTCATGCCGGAAAAAACCACTTCGTAAGTCAAACCAAATTGGTCTTATAAGGAACCAATTTTAAGGATAAAAATATTAAAATTTGGGTTTTCCCAATATGACTGTACAAGTACAAGTAATTAGTTTTATTACTGCAAACTATCATTTTTGATTTACATGATGATAAACTTTTATAGACAAACCATAAATATAATCGATAATTGTTTGATGATTCCACTTTATTGGAGTTTAGCAAACATTCAGTTTCAAATACGAAGTGGAGACGGTAGCACGATTATGTAATTGAAATTACATTTTGTTTCAATATTTATATAATTTAAAAAAAGGACTAAAGCAATAGTAATTACAATTGCTTTATGAAATAGTAATCGCTATTGCTATTTTGCTATTTTGTTCGTAACTACAGATCATTCTTCAGACCTCTGTGTAGTATTTTCTAATGTAGTGACACATGTCGATGTTCCAGGTGTCAATGAGCGGAGCCGATTGCTTACCATCAGGTGATCAGTCTGCTCGCTTATCGACTTATCTCATAAAAAAATCGTGTAGACAATATCGTGAGACATAATAAATTAACTAAAATTCGCGGGTTACTCACGTGCATATACTGAGAAAAGCTCTACTAGTTTCGAACCACAGAGGGGTTCTTCCTCATAAGCAGCGTGCGCTGCTTACAGTACAGGCGCGGCAATGTACAGTACAGACAGTACAGACAGTAGGCTGCGCGACATCGATTTATAGTTAACTCGTCGTCATTGTCATTTCTTTGACAGTCCTTTGCTGAAGTTAGAATCTCATTTACGGCGAAACCGAAGTAGATAAGTTTACAACCGATTTGTCGCGCCCGCCAGGCAAGGGATCTCGGGTTCGATTCCCGGGTTGGGCAAAGTATTACAAACGTTTTAAAAAAATCTCAGTAGTAGATGGTCTGGAATTGTGTCCGGTATATGGCAATAGGCTCACCCCCTATTACATGGGACTCATAACAAAAATAGTGAAAAGTCGGTGTTACATTGTGCATTAAGTGTCGTAATGTGCACCTGTGACTACCCCTTCGGGGTAAATTAGGCGTGATGTTATGTTATGTATAATGTATGTATATGTCATGTTTTGGCATTAGATGTACAGAATATCTGTTAAAGACTTAGATCGATCCAGAGATTTTCGATTAAGATTGATTACAAACGGCCGTAAGAGTTTTTGCAGATAATGTCTACCTTTGGGAGCATAGAGGCGATAGGACACATGGTTGGTAAAACTTATTTGTCTCCATTTCGAATAATTATAAAACCATCGCATAGACAAAAATCAAAGCAAGCATATTATCTAAGCAGTAAGCAAGCGAGTTCAGAGTCTTACAGGAGTTGCAGCGGTTTTGGGAGGTTGTGGCGGGCTTAAAGCGAGTTCAGTGATCAAACTTAGTGATAAATTTCTTCTCCGTGTGAGAATACCGCTTTTGTTCTACAGAAAAAGATTTACAGGCTGACTATAATCATGAAGCATTTTAACATTCTCGATATTCAATCAGCGTCAGTCGTACCTACTTCATAATGATACAATAATATATTCTTTTATTTTTTTATCTACATAACATAACATCATACCTTTTATCCCCGAAGAGCTAGGCAGAGGTGCACATTACGGCACTTAATGTTAATGCCACTGTACAATGTAACACCCAATGTTCACTATTTATGTTATGAGTTCCATGTAATAGGGGATAAAGCTTATTGCCATATACCGGGCATAATTCCAATTGTTTTTTATCTATCTCGACATAATATGACGCAAATTAGGATTAGGACTACAAAACCAACTCAGTCCAGTTTCTTTAAAAATGGCGATAAAAATTAAATACTTAACAACAAAATAATCTTCTGGCAACGATTAAGTATCAATGAAGTCTTATTTCTTTATTCTCATAACATAATATAGCATCGCGCCTTTTATCCCCGAAGGGGTAGGCAGAGGTGCACATTATGCCACTGTACAATGTAACAACTACTTTTCACTATTTATGTTATGAGTCCCATGTAATAGGGGGAAGCCTATTGCCATATACTGGGCACAATTCCAGGCTTCGTGCTACTACTGAGATTTTTTTTAAAACCCTGTAATACTTTGCCCGACCCGGGAATCGAACCCGAGACCCCTTACCCGGCAGTCGCACTTACTACCACTCGGCCAACGAGGCAGATTCTTTATTCTCATTTTATTTATTTATTTACACTTCATGTAGGTATACAAAGGCGGACTTAATGCCTAGTGGCATTCTCTAACAGTCAACCTTAGGGTGATGCAGAGAGACACAATAGTAGGTGTAAACGTTTACCACTTGTGAGTTTTGATCATACATTGACAAGTATTACATATAATTAACATTAAGATTAAAGTTAACATTAACATCATATATAATTATACACATCACAGAATATAATATACTTATTAAATATAATGAAGAAGTATTAAAATATATCCGTAATGCAAAACGAACAGTAGACAAATAAGTATGGACATATATATGGACATATATACACCTAAATATACGAAGGAAAATATATAACATAATATAACATATATACATACATATACATACACATATAAATATATAAATACATACAAGGCCTAAGTGTGTGTTGAGTCTGCTAGCTTCTTCCGCAGATACTCGCGTACCTTAAATTTGAAGGACAGACGACTGGTCGCCGTCCTGATATCCGTGGGCATCGCATTCCACAGCAAGATGGATTGGACGAAAAAGAAGAGTGAAGGAAGTCAGTTCGATGTGTGGGACATTGCAACAGAAGATTGTTAGAAGAACGGAGGTATTTGCTGTGGTTAGCGCTCACATACTGGAAATAGGGGGAAAGATAAGTAGGAAAATTGGGAGAATTAAGAAGGGAGAATAAAGTGGTTAGCGCCCGTTGTTCCCTGCGCTGACGTATGGGCAACCACTTTAGTTGCAATCGAAATGCAGAGACATGGTCATATTTGCGCAGGTTGAAGACGAATCGAATGCAGTTATTCAAAAGACGGTCAAGTTTGTTAAGTAGATCTGCATTCAGGTCGAAAAAACACACATCAGCATAATTAATAATGGGGAAAACCAAGGACTGGACAAGCATTATCTTAGCAGAGGACGGAAGAAAGTTCCTCAAACGATACAGGGCCCGCAGCGTCCCGGTGACCCGTTGGCATATGCTAGTGACATGAGCACGCCAGTTTAAGTTACTGTCAACATGCAAGCCAAGATTCCTCACGTCGCTGCTGAATGGTATGATCGCACCGTTGAACAATACAGGCGGCATAGATGCACTGTCAACCTTACACAAGGTACGAGAACTTCCCACCATAATCGCCTGACATTTATTCGGGTTCACAGCTATTCCAAACCTCTCAGACCAATTATATATAGCAGCTAAGTCAGCGTTCACTCTCGCGATTGCCCCAGGGAAACCCTCGATCCTAGCCCGACAGTACACCTGTAGGTCGTCGGCATACAGATGGTACGCACACTGAAGTTCAGAAGTAATAAGGCTTATGAAAATAGAGAATAAAAGAGGAGAGAGAATACCGCCTTGAGGAACGCCAGTCTGCAAGTGGTTCCAGTTTGATGAGGTCTCATCAACGTGAACTGATTGCTGACGCTCCTGAAGATAAGAAGAAATCATTCATCTCATTTTAGTTTATCTTTAATTATCTTAGTATCTAGAATCTATAGTCTCCAGTTATCTTTAATTTCTCATTCCAGTTTGAACGAAGATAATACTTATTCAATTGTAAGATATCGGAATGTTATTAATTAATGCTTTCGCATTCAAGTAGACAGAACAATTTATTATGCGGATTAAGTCATTATGTTTTAATCTATGATAAACTTATCCAATTTAATGATAGCTACCGAGTAATTGAAAGTTTTGTCAATGGAAATAAGTCTATTCTATCTCTCATCTGTATTTTCATAAATTAGATACATAAATTACCTATGTACATTCTAAGATTATTCAGACACCACTGACAAACAGTGAAGGAAAACATCACTTCAAACACCTGGGCTTAAAATGTCTAATTATAAGTTTGAAATGGCCAGCTCGCATTGAGCAAGCGTGGTGATTAATACTCAAACCTTCTCCGTGTGAGAAGAGGGTTTTGCTCAGCAGTGGGGACTTATAGGCTGTTGATGATGATGATTGTTTACTTCACTACATAGTATAAAATAAAGTCGCTTTCTCCGTCCCTATGTCCCTTTGTATGCTTAAATCTATGAAACTACGCAACGGATTTTGATGCGGTTTTTTTAATAGATAGAGTGATTCTTAAGGAAAGTTTATATGTATAATACATGTGTACTGCACCCATGCGAAGCCGGGGCGGGTCGCTAGTTATATACATATATATTATCCTATATACATATATATACCCAAACACAAGATAGCTATTATCGAGGGAACTCCGTACAACAAGAACAAGAGGGAACAACGTAACCGGCGAGGAGTTCCCTCGAGTGGCTCTCGGCTTTATTATTAGATCGACGCCAAACCTTTATCAGATTTTAGTGGTTTTTAAAACTTAATGAAAAAGTTAACAAACGCACTAGTCGCCCCTATAATTTTTAAAAGTTCTTTTTTGTTTTCCTGGTATTCCATTATCAGATCCTGATTTCCTTATCATGGGACCATTCTGGGACTATCTCCTTTTCAACAAAAAAATATTTATCAAAATCGTTTCATAAATAACGGAGATATCGGCGAACAAACATAAAAAATATGTATATATACGGTCGGTACGAATTGAGAATCTCCTCCTTTTTTTGAAGTCAGTTTAAAAATGGGTTACTAATTAGCTAGTGCAGCCGTACTTGAATAGTGTATTTGGATACTGAAAATACCTAAGTACTAATTTCTATCTTTGTACAGTAAATTTTTACTATACAACAGTTAAATTGCATTCATACAATCAAAATATCTTATGTTTAATTTCCTTTTCCTGTCGCAGGTCTGCAGGAAGAAATCCATGCATGCTTGTAATGTGCTGTCCTTTGTAATATTGTCTAAGTGGTGTAGGTACATGAATGATAAATAAATAAATTAAATACAAACATTAATGATAAAATATTCCTTTTATTGAATTTCATGTAAAAACATTTTATAGATTCAATATGTAATGCAATGAGTTTATAAATAGCCTTTATTTCTTAGTTCAGTATATCGGGGAGGACAACGGCTGGTGAAGGGAGGATCGGTTCGCCGATGATGACCGGCTCCACGGGTTCAGGAGCAGCGTCTACAACGTGGACAGGCTCAGGGACAATATCCTCGATATGGCCAGGCTCAGGGACTGGCCTTGGGATGATAGCAGGACCAAGATCGACGGGGCTGACGTCAGCAGAGGCGTGGTTGATGTTCACGATGATCTGAACCAAAGGAGATTTAGGTACAGGTGCAGCCACCTCAGCAGCAGGGCTGGGAGGTACAACAGGCGCCTCCTCAGGTAAGGGGTAGTCAATGATGGCGGGTCCAATTGCGACAGGCTCTGGTTTCACACCGAGGACATCGAGGAGCATCTCTTCGAGGGCGACAGCAGTGGCGGGGTCAGTATTGGGGTTTAAGATAGCGGCGATGATCTCCTGGATCTGGGCCACCTCGTTGCTGCCGGGAGTAGGCTTCACCATGCCGGCTGAAGCCACGGAGACCAAAAGGGCAATAGCTAGGAAGTATTTCATCTTGATGGAACTGTAAACAAAATAAAAAAAGTTAGTAAATAATCAATTGTATTTTATGTTAAGAACAGGTTTTCAGAAACAAAAAAAAAATATTTTCTTCGAATACTCACTGAGTGAAAAGCGTGAAAAACACTGCCGTTTACTGGTTTCTGTAGTATTTATATTGTGTTTTATCTACGAATCTATAAATGCAATTCATGTATTATCATCTTTTATGGTGACATCATAGTCTAGAGAGTTCTGTATTTACAGCTGCAATTAGATAAGCAAATAAAGTCTAGTATAAAAATACTTCTTCACAATCAAACACTAGATAGAGAAAGTGTGGATTCACTAATCAGTCAATTATCAATTTCTTTTACCGATATTGTAAAGAAACTTGTGACAATATGTTCTCATTTTCTATTCTCTCTGTATGAGACATCATCACATCACATGCTTTCTTTTCTTAAAATAGTTCTTAACGTAACATATCTTCCTTCTTTATTCATCCACATTTAGGTCTGCAATTTCATTTCAGCTTCACTTTTATAATATTGTAAAGGGTGCAAAAGTAACTAGAACACCTGTTTTAGACGTCAAAGAATTCATTCACATTATTGTCTCTGGGAAACGGTCCATGAAGACTGGCAGCATTGATAACTTTCTTGGATGGCGTTGCTAATTTTCTAACCGAAAAAATAGCCGGCCCTTTGATATTACTTTAGCCTAGCATAATAATGTGTATTGTGTAATCCACTTTGTTGTAATGTAATGTATATTATGTAACCCAGTCAAACTTTGGTATTATGACTGGGCTTGCAAAGCATTAAACGATTTATTAAAGCTACAAATATTGGGAGTGCACCTCTAGTATACCAACTTTACAAAATGTTTAAAATAATGCTTGCTGTAGAATGCTTCTGGGTGTAGATTACGTATGAGTCGTGAAATTTAATGTTTTGATAAATTGATTTATCTATTTTTTTATAGTACGCTTTAAGTAGCATAATTCCTCCACAGATAAAACGAAACGTCGTCATCTACACCTAAAACTCAATGAAGACATTATGCCTTGTTCTGTGGCAACATTTGCAAATTCGAAACCCATCCGTCGTCCATACAATCAACATAGTGCATTGGACGAATTAGGAATTTTTCATTCAGAAACTGTAATTGGAAATATTTTAATTCTATCTTGTAACTCTTCTGATGTGAGGGTGTCAATGAGCGGTTCTGATTGCTAAACATTAGGGGGTTCTTAAACGTGTGACTGATTAAAACAACAACATTATATAATAAGTTATATTACTTTCTCAGAAATGAAAAAAGGAGATGGACAGTTCTTAATATGATACGAGGAAAAGATAAATGAAGTAAAATTGTATCACGATGGGATTCCAGAAAAACTAAGAGGAAAAGAGGCAGACTTAGGATGACATCAGACAGGTAGCGGGAGTTATGTAGAATAGAACGGCCCAAGAAATACAGAAATGGAATGGGTTGGAGAAGGCCTTTGCCGATTGGTAAACGGAACTGCAAAATATAAACAAACAAAAAATCCTTACTTCCTTACTAATATTACCTCTATAAATCTGAAAGTGAGTTTGTTTGTTTGTTCCACCTTCACGCCGTAACTACTCAACCGATTGCTTTGAATTTTTGCAGACGTAAATTTAGAAGTCCGGATTAAATAATAGGGTACTTTTAACCCAGAAAAAATTGATATTCCCGAGGAAAAACCAAAAGTATTGGTATAGATGGCGCTGTGTGTATTGGTATATGTCACATAGGCTACTTTTTATTCTTTTGTGACGCGAGCGAAGCCCCGGGTAAAAGCTAGTAGAGAATAATACTAGTTCTTAGTTCAATACCAAGTATTTGCATGGTCTGAATAAAGGTTTATTGATTTATTATCTTTTATGTTAACAAGTTAATCTTTTATCCGCGGCTCGTGCCAGACTGAGCTTATCTCAAACTTGTCTGTATGGTAAACATTTTTTTTAATCTCATTTATTGCATGGGATTTTTGTATGTATACATTTTGTGACGATGTTAATCCCATCGTGCTTCTACAGTCTGGTAAACATTGTGTCAATGAATTGTTTACCGTTATTGTCCTTACTATTGACATCTATTCTGTACTTCAAATAAAATCATAGGAAATTCAAAACTGTATATTGATTTTTTTAAATAGTACTTGTGACGTGATCCAAACATATACTAAGATTTTAGTGTCTGTTTGTTTGTACCTATGTCTGAGCTAAATTAAAATTACTGCATAGAATTAATTCAAGTTTTGCATGAGTAGAAGATCGGATCAACATATATTATCACGCCATTAACTACGAGGGAGGAACTGTAAAGAACTATGCAGTTTCTACGCGAACGAAGTCGAGCGCACAGTTAGTTATAACTAATTGTACAGGTTGTTTTGTTTTTCTCTTCTTTTTCTCTATTTTAGTTTTATTAAGATCATCATTTAGTAATTCCAAGGTTTATTTATAAACATTGAATATTTAAATACTTTATAAGTTCTTTAAATTTTTTATCTATGTTGTAAATAGGAAAAGTAAGAAATAAGAAATTGAAATTAGATGCAACGATTTTATTGTTAGTATACTTAAAAATATTTCAATAAATTATTTTATTATTTAGTTGAGAGCTTCGGGGAGGGCGACGACGGCTTCAGGGAGGATGGGGACTCCGATGACGACGGGCTCAACGGGTACAGGAGCGGCTTCGACGACCTGGACTGGTTCGGGGGCGGCCTCGATAACCTGGACGGGTTCAGGGGCGACTTCGACGACGTGGACGGGTTCAGGGGCGACATCCACAACGTGGACGGGCTCAGGCACGATGGCTTCGGGGGCGACAGCGGGGCCAACAGCAATGGGGCTAGCCTCAGCGGAGGCCTGGTTGATGTTCAGTATGATCTGGACCAGGGGAGTGCTGGCAGCAGCAACGGGAGCGACCTCAGCGACGGGAGCGGGAGCGACAATAACGGGGCTAGGGACAATGGGCTCCTCGGCGACAACACCACCGTCGGGAAGAGGGAAGTCAATGAGGGCGGGTCCAACAGAGATGGGGTTGGAGTCGATGATGGCAGGGCCGATAGCGATAGGATGGTGGCCAGCGTCAACAATTGCGGGTCCAATGTCGACAGGCTGGGGCTTGATGCCTAGAACATCGAGGAGCATCTCTTCGAGGGCGGCGGCGGTGGCGGGGTCGGTGCTGGGGCTGTTGATGGCGGCGATGATCTCCTGGAGCTCGGCGAGCTCAGAGCCCACAGGCTTGACCATAGCGGCCGAAGCCACGGCGACCAGCAGGGAGATGGCGATGAAGTATTTCATTTTGATTTATCTGAAAATATTATACATTGAATTCGTTATTTTTTACTAATTACACTTAGAATATTACTAAAGTAGTACCGTGGTACTAATACTTACTTATTGTCTGCTTGTAACAAGACTATGCCAATTAATATTTTTCGCGAATATTTATATTGAAGTTTATCTACTAATCTGTATGCAGTATGTATATTTAGATAATTCTTTATCTAATGAGTTGATACAAGATTGCACTTAAAACTAAATTTATGATTCGATTGATTGGATAATGAAATGAATTTTATTGGGTTCGTATATAAGTACATTATCAAATCCGTTCCTTATTGGTTTAAGATAGGAAGATAAATTTGCGGCGCATTGGATAGGAAGGACATCATAACTTAAAGCAAAAACCACTGTAAAACAGTCGCTAGCAGTAGACAATCATTCTGAAATCAGTAATAATTATAATATTCATTAATCATGTAGATAGAAAATGTGGACTCCACGTACAAACTTTATGTGAAAGCTGTGACATATGAGGCTCTGTAGCGTTTGCTTGGATAAGATGAACAATTTTTTTTTATGGCGTAAGCCGGTAAACGAGCAGACGGATCACCTGATGGTAAGCAATCGGCGTCGCCCATGGACACCTGGAACACCAGAGGCGTTACAAGTGCGTTACCAGCCTTTTGGGGATCAGGAGTTTGAGGATCGTTGGGGAAATAAGGAATTGGGGAGATTGGGGAAAGGGAGGGTAATTGGGCCTCCAGTAACCTCACTCACACGAGGAAACAAAACGCAAGCGTCGTGCTTCACGTCGGTTTTCTGTGAGGCCGTGGTATTACTCCGGTCGAGCCGGCCCATTCGTGCTGAAGCATAGCTCTCCCACACTTACCAACATGTATAACATGTAGACAGTGAAGCTTAACAAAATAAGAGTTTTCTAACATCTCTCTTACGTTCCCTTGCCTCACGTGATCGACAACAGTTGTATAAGCTTACCTAACCAAAGGTGTGCACCAAGGTTCAATTTTGGGACCATATTTGTTTTCATAGTGCACCTTTACCCAAAACTTTGAATGTAGGGTTAGTCTTACTGTAAGTCTTATTTTACTTATTTAAATACAATTTTGTGCAGTGCAAAATAAATAGACATCATTCAATGACAGCATTTCGACGAACCCATCTAAATAACGTTGATACCATGACATGACACCCTAAACTCACTATAAAGTCATGAAAACTATAATTTGTATTTACTAATGATTCTCCGATTAGATTGATGACGTCATAACTTGGCGTAGTTCATGGTAAGCACACAATCACAATCGGTGCTGCCTATGGACACCAGAGGCTTTATGAGTGCGTTACCGGCCTTTTGAGAATTGGGAATTCAAGGATTATGGGGTATTTGGGGATCAGAGAGACTGGGGGGGAAGGGTAATTGGTAATTACCTATCGAGTAGTTTTTATTCATTAAACAGTTCGGTGAAGGTTGATGTTATATTAGACTTTAGACCATTAATGTAATTTAAGTAATTCAATCATATTAACTTATTGTTTTGAAAGGAAAGTGCTTTTATGCAACTTTTGTAAATAATAAATAAGACTGCCTCGTTGGCTGACTGGTCGCTATCGCGACTGCTAGCCAAGGAGTCTTGGGTTCAATTCAGGCAAAGTATAATAGGGCTTTTTGAAAAAAATCTCAGTAGTAGCACGGACTATGGCATTGTGCCCGGTATATGGCAATAGGCTCACCACTTATTACATGGAACTCATAACATAAATAGTGAAAAGTGGGTGTTACATTGTACAGTAGCATTAAATACCGAATGTACATGTCGGAGATAAAAGGCGTGATGTTATGTTATGCTATGTTAAATAAATCTTTAATTTCTCAAAATTACTCCACGGCTTGTGTCTGGTAAAGGTAGAACTTATGTTACAAATCTTGGTAATGGGTAGGCGCTTGGCCGCTGTCTATGTCGCCTGCATAATAATAGGAATTGATTATTTTCCTTTGGCTTATTATTATTGTCTTTTATCAACAGATGAAATGCAAAATACAATTTGTCAATATCAGATAATGAGTGATAGATATTTTAATCCATTTTAGTTTATAGCAATAATTCAATAATACAGCGGCAATAACTGATTAAGTATGTATGGCGCAGTGGCTGGCAAACTGTTCAGCTGTGGAACTTGTCGAGGCTTTCTAATTATTAAGGAGTAGCTTTTGCCCGCGACTTCGTACTCGCAATCCCGTTTTCTCCCGTTCCCGTAGGATTTTCAGGATTTTTCTTTCTTAGAACCTTCTCCTAATATTAACAAATACAACAAAAAAGAAGTAAAATATACTAGATGTAAAATCGGTCCAGCAATTTACGCGTGAAGCCGCGACCAAGGGAAAAAGGGATTCATTTTTATATATAGATTTTTCAAATATTCTGGATAGAGAAGTATTAAAATGTAATAAGAATGTTTGGCCAAAGTTATGTTAATCTTAATAGATTCTATTACCTAAACATTACCTCGTCTCTTCGTAGGGTGAGACAACTATCAGTAGATTTATTTTAATTTGACCCCTTAAGTACCATAATCTTCACCATTGTTTAGTGAATGGTTCTTTTAGAAGAGAATGAGACTCTTTGCTTGGTAATGAAGTCAACAATCATTACTGATTCGGTGTACTAACACGCTATTGCACTATTTTAAATAGCATCTTCTCCAAAGTGGCAACCACACCGATAACTTAATATTTTGAATGTATGTCTATTAAAATAAAATAAATATTTTTATGTATGCAACAATTTTTTTATTACAATTTCATTAATCAATACTTAATATTAAACTTTACTAGAATATTCTGTTTAGTTGAGTTCTTCAGGGAGGGCGACCACGGGTTCAGGGAGGATTGGTACTCCGATGATGACAGGTTCAACAGGAGCAGGGGCGACTTCGACGACCTGGACGGGCTCGGGGGCGACCTCGACAACCTGGACGGGTTCAGGGGCGACTTCCACAACGTGCACGGGTTCAGGGGCAACATCCACAACGTGGACGGGTGTGGGCACGATAGCCTCAGGGGCGACAGCGGGGCCAACAGCGATGGGGCTAGGGGCAGCAGATGCCTGGTTGATGTTCAAGATGATCTGAACGAGGGGAGTACCAGATGCAATTTCGGAGGACACGGGGCCGGGGATGACAGCCACTGGAGAGGGTTCAACGGGGGCAGCGGCAGCACCACCGTCGGGAAGGGGGAAGTCAATCCATGCTGGGCCGACAGCAACGGGCTCTGGGCTCTCAATGATGGCCGGTCCGATGGCGATGGGTGAGAAGTCAGCATCTACTATGGCGGGTCCCACAGCAACAGGTTCAGGTTTGAGGGCAGCGATGGCCTCGGCGAGGTGTTCTAAAATTGCGGAGGCGCTGGGGCGCTCCACGGGGGTGGCTGAAGCCACGGCGGCGACAAGAACGATGGCTGCGAAGAATTTCATCTTTGTAGATCTGAAAACACAAAGTTTTAACAAATAATATTATTTAAAGAATAATGGAGTCAAAGACTTTTTTAACCCATGTTTGCAACCAATTCGGTTGCAAATGATTTGATTTGACTTAGTTTTTTACATTTTTATTTTGAGAAATAAAGCAACCAATTATTATGTTTGCCACTTACTTTTCGGCCTGTGTATGATAGGACTATGAATTACTTCTTTAGTGTTGGCTTTTTATATAGTCTTTTATCAACAGCGGATGAAACGCAAAATGCAATTTATCAATTCTAGATTGTGGATTCCGGCGGAGATCATAAAACAATTTAGTAAATTACCTCTACAGGGGTATTACCTGGGTAGCCGCGGAAGACTTAACGGGTTGCCGGGGCTCCGGTTCGAAGTGCAGGTGTAGGAACGGGGTGGTTTTTAGTCAGTAAGAGTCTGACACTCCCTCCCGCCTCACCCAGGCGGGAGAAGTCATTGGATGATTTTCCCCCCTCAAAAAAAAAAAGGGGTATTACCTGGGTAGATATGCAAAAAATTGTATAGTGTATACGACTACTCTGCCTATCCCCTAAGGAACAAGGCTTGAGCTTTTACTAGGTTTTACGCCTGCAGCAACGATTTCGATCGCGTGGATTTCGAATTTGTCTTTAGTATGTTCCAAATTCTCGATCCTGTAAAAATCTTGTGTTAAAAATTATATGTGATTAAGGCGTAATCTAACGATATTATCCTCCTAGATAACTACCCTACCAGCACAGATCTTGACGGATTTGAAAGGCTTTAAAGAATGGAGGAGGTCTCTTCTCAATTCTGAGGAATGTTTTTTATATGACATAACATAACACCACGCCTTTTATCCCCGAAGGGGTAGGCAGAGGTGCACATTATGCCACTGTACAATGTAACACCCACTTTTCACTATTTATGTTATGAGTTCCATGTAATAGGGGGTGAGCCTATTGTCATATACCGGGCACAATTCCAGACTCTGTGCTACTACTAAATTTTTTTTTAAACCCAGTAATTCTTTGCGTGACCCGGGTATCGAACCCGAGACCCCTTGCCCGGCAGGCGCACTTGCGACCACTCGGCCAACGAGGCAGTCAGTTTTTTATATGTACACTAAAATTATAATCTTAATTAAATTAGGTATAAATAACAAGATCTTATATTATGCGTCTGATTATGAAATACATAATTATACTATGCAAGATAAAGTTAATCTTCATATTGCCTTAATTGTGATTAACGTTTCACTCGTGACAATAGGGTAGATGTCAATTTTTTTTTAATGTCCGTCTGCTAGATTATTTTAAATCATTGGACACGTATTTTTTATTTTCTTACAGAAACGAATACTTTCGACGATAGATTGATTTGAAATGTCGCGTGACATCACTTCTATGTATACATTTTATACGTAGAAATGAAGTTTTAGGCCCCACTCCTAAACTTAAAAAAAAACCAAAAACTCCAAATCCTCAAATGGCCGGTAAAGCACTTGTAACGCCTCTAGTGTTCCAGGTGTTCCATGGGCGACGCTGATTGGGTACAATCAGACGATCCGTCTGCTCGTTTACCGGCTTATGCCATAAAAAATCTTAATATCTCCGAGATTTGCAGCTGTAGCCAAATGCCATTTAGCGCTTGTCTACATGTAGAATAGAAAAACAAATTATATGGAATTAACGTAAATTAACGTAAAGCTCACCCCCTATTACATGGGACTCATAACATAAATAGTGAAAAGTGGGTGTTACATTGTACAGTGGCATTAAGTGCCGAAATGTGCACCTCTGCCTACCCCTTCGGGGATAAAAAGGCGTGATGTTATGTTATGTTATGTAACGTAAATTTTGACATTTGTCAGTGTCATACCCATACATTTTTACCGACTTCAAAAAAAGGAGGAGGTATTATGTTCGGCTGATTGTTTTTTTTTGTTTGTTTGTTCGCGCAGTACTCCGCCATTTGTGAACCGATTTCCAAAATTTTTTTTTCTTGGAAAGGGTATACTCCCGAGATGGTGCCATTTCCATGAGGTCAGGATCTGATGATGGGATCCTAGGGAAACCGAGGGGAACTTTCGAAAATTATATGGGCGAGTGATGCGTCTATTATGTTTTTCAATTAGGATTTTTAAACACAACAATTTTGATTTCTACTCTCTCTGTAGACAAGCGCTAAAATGGCGTTTGGCTAAAGGCACTAGCTAGATACATATTTAGATTTTTTTGCAGTTGTATAAGTATATTACTTATGTAATAAATAAAAATGCTATCCGCAAACTGATAATTATTTTGCCAAAAATCATTTTAATTCTCGTTCCTTTTACGTAAGAGATTTGCACTTATTACAATTAATACATTTCAAACTTACAATTCAGTGGTAGTTGATAAGAGCCAACGATTTTGCTTTGTTTAATAAATACAGACGAAAACCTTTTCAAAGAAATATTTGAGTCTCCTAAATGAAGTCGAATATCGAAACGGGGTTTTATAGAATGTTTTATTAAGGGGTAATCTAAAAGAAAAAAATATATAGCTAGCATCTACATAATTAAGGCAAAATAACACACTGTACTTAATTTCGTTCAAAAAGTTTCGAACACGATTTGATTGACATTATATGAGCTTACTGAGTCATCATCAACAGCCTATAAATGCCCACTGCTGAGCAAAGCCTCTTCTCACACAGAGAAGGTTAGAGCATTAATCACCACGCTTGCTCAATGCGGGTTGGCGATTTCAAACTTATAATTAGAAATTATAAGTCCAGGTTTCCTCACGATGTTTTTCCTTCACCGTTTGTCAGTGGTGTCTAAATAATCTTAGAAAGTACATATAACTCGGAAAAAGTCACATTGGTACTTGCCGTTGGTAAGTTTCGAACCCGCACCCTCATGTATGAGAAGCGGGCGTCTTAAACCTCCGGGCCACCGCGACTTTACTAGCTTACTGAGTAAATGAAATAAAATGATAAAATTATTTTTATTTCTGCAAATGGGTAACAATGTAACACTTTTACACGTCAATCTTTAAAGTACTTTTTTTAATGGGGGAAAATCATCGAATGACTGCTCCCGCCTGGGTGAGGCGGGAGGGAGAGTCAGACTCTTACTGACTAAAAACTACCCCGTTCCTTCTCCTGCACGTCGAGCCGGAGCCCCGGTTACCCGTTAGGTTCTCCGCGACTCCGAATCAGCATCGGCACTGTTGGGCCCCATCTGTGATCTTTAAAGTAGGGTCCGCATTTCCTTACTGACTATTCTGAGAAGAAACGCCGAAACAAACTCAGAGTTCATTGTCTCTTTTAAAGTCCAGACAGATTATAACTATAATGTACGAGACCGGGCAAGTTGATTACGTAGTGGTCTTTTGAGGCAAGATCCACAACAGTTTGAGCGGACCTGCAGCACAAAGCAGTAGAAAATACATACATAGATACATAACCTCACGGCTGTCTCCTATGTTCCTTAAAATTCTCATTTCTTTAATTTTTGTGTTTACTCTGGTCAAATTTGTAACAAGATTGGAAGTAATTCATGGACTTTTAATTGTCAGAATACATGAATATAAGTGTTCTCTGAGTTTTCACCATTCCTGCCATGTAGGTATGGAACATCGTTAAATACTAACATTAACTTTAAACATCAATAGTTTTGGCATCGACGTACAAAAATAAAATATATTCATTCCTGATGCAGCTATTGGAAATAAATTTAACATTCTACTTCGAACCACGAAAACGACAAAAAGTTCAAAAAGTTCAAAATTTTAAGCGGCAACCGTCTTGGATTTACCTTCAGACAAGAAGACTTGTCGACACCCAATATGAAAATAATAGGTATTATTATTATGTCAAACAGCACCGCGTGTGTTAAAGTTTGTAACTATAAATTAACAAAAGGAGCATTATGACCACTCTGTTACATTACGGCTAGATAAATTGAATAACGTATACTCGTATAGCACGGAAAACTATCGGGCGGATTTTTACTTAGTCCGATTCAATTCGGTTAGTCGTTCAGCCGTTGTATTACAAAACAGAACGGGATTTTTAAACGGCTAACTGTAATGTGATATAATGTGGCATATTTATCAATCCTCCTGTGACAGATACATTTTTTAAATCGGTTTCAAACACAAATCGGTTTCAAAATAAATTTATACAAGTAGGTACCTGCATTTCTTAGTGCAGACTGACGTTATATTCTATACAATAAGAAATAATAAATTTAGAGAACACGATTATGGCTCTTCTTGTCATTTCGGGTATAGGGTGTAACGTCATTGATGTGTATGTTATTTCTTTTTGACAATATACTACCTTTTTACTATTCCATGATGCTACTTGTAAAAAATAAGAGAGGTAACACACAATGTATTTGTATACTTTTCATTTCAGGTTTAGCTTGATTGATGGGTCATTTGTTTACGAAGTGCAATGTCGCAATTAAAATAGTAGTTATAGCTAAATATTAACCAATGTTTTTTTTCAGACTTGTAATCTATTTACATGAAATGCTCTCTTGTTCAGCAGCAGCAAAGCAGTTGCTTTAAGCAGCATCAGAAATCTACGATTGAAACTGCAAAATAAATCTGCATTCATTTTGGAATCGAATGACATCTCAGTTATAAACTTTCGAGGTTCCTGAATCGTTAGGGAATACAAAAGTAAAAAATATACAGTTTTAATGGATTAATGCAACGATTTTATTGGCATGTTATTATGTGATCTTATAAGTAAATTACATTTGATTATTCGATTTAGTTGAGAGCTTCGGGGAGGGCGACGACGGCTTCAGGGAGGATGGGGACTCCGATGACGACGGGCTCAACGGGTACAGGAGCGGCTTCGACGACCTGGACGGGCTCGGGGGCGGCTTCGACGACCTGGACAGGTTCAGGGGCAGCCTCAACAACATGGACGGGAGTAGGGACGATCTCCTCAGCGGCGACAGCGGGGCCAACGGCGATGGGGCTAGCCTCAGCGGA